ACCCTAACCCTAACCCTAACCCTAACCCTAACCCTAACCCTAACCCTAACCCTAACCCTAACCCTAACCCTAACCCTAACCCTAACCCTAACCCTCTAAAGATTTATGCGTGTTGAGCTAACCACCATGCATAACCAGTTTTTTTGCAAGACTCGGCATTTATACGTTTCTGGGGCTCTGGCTGTTTCTTTTCTCGTCAAAACAAAAAGTACTTTGCTGATGAATCTCCGGCGAGATCGCTACACATAACCCTGAAGTTTTGTCCATCGGGCTCGGCGGCGGCAGCAAGGTCGCGGTGGACGAATCCTGCGGGAGGGTGAAGGTCGGTCCCGGATCTCAGGCTGTCGGCTACCCCCGAGTCCCTTCAGCAAGAAGCCATGCTGTTTGGAGACCCGACCATGACGGCGACGGATGCCGTGGTGGGTCTCGGCAAGGCGCAGGTCGGCCCGTCGGAGATGCGCGGCGAGTTGCTGACATCTCGCCAGATGTGCTGGACAGGGCGAGGAAGGAGATCAAGAGGATGCTGGAACGCGTCGTGGAGCAGATGAAGGTCTCTTCGGCGCCCGCCCACTTGCTGCTTATCGGAGACGGCGCCCTTCTCGTGACGCTACGACCTGCGGAACGTGGAGAAGTGCATCCGGCCCATACACCACGGCGCTGCCAACGCGGTCGGCGCGGCAATTGCTAAGGTGTCAGGCGAGGTCGACGCGATCGAGGTTCTTTCCGGGAGAATCGAAGAGGCTATTCTCAAGGAAGCTTGTCTAAAAGGCGATTGGGCTGGGGTGCGCGGTCTCTGCCAACCCCTTGTCGGGCGCGGCGACCACGTCTTACGGCGTCCCTAACACCTTCTCATTGGCGTGGTATCTTGGTCGAGCCATCCACATGGCGCGCAGCCTGAAACGCAGCTACGTCGACGCAATCGTGAGTTGTCATCGCATCAACAACCCCCTAGCTAGATATGAAGCAAGGTTAGCAAGTCATACGACGCTAACAACGGATGGCCATGTACATGTATGTGGTTTGACATCTGCGCCGGGAAGCTGTTCTACACCGGAAAAGTCACCGACGCGCGTCGCTGCATTGGCGGCGGGTACACCATGGGCAGCGTCCTCATCGGCCCTGCGAGCGACGACAAGGCTGCCCCTGCCGAAGAAGCTACAACAACAACAACAGCTCTACCGTCTAATGATGACACCGGCAACACCAACGATCACACGTTTATCTCCCCCCAGAAAAGTACCTCCACGCGGCCCTGAGCGACGCAACTGGCTCCGAGGCGTCCCGCAGAGTCGTCTGCACCGTCCCTGATCTCATCTCGATCCTCGGCCAGGACAGGGAGGCCATTCGTTCTTTTACGGCATCTACTTAAGCCCCCAGCCCTTGCCTCTGCGGTTGTCGTGCAGTAGAAGCTTTCTCTGAGTCCGGTTACGGCGTCTTCCTTGCTACTAATACTACGTGTAGGTCGAGGCTGTCTGGTATCTGCGGTTCTCGCAGCTTCCACACTTTGTTGACGTCCTTTTTGGGCGATGTAACGGCAGCTAACACGGTGAATCCTAGTCCATAGCGACTCACTCAATCAACTGAAACTGGAAACTTACCACTGAAAAGATTGAGAGGGTTATAAGATGAGACAACAGTCTATTGAAGGACTGGCTGAGCCTGCAGCGTTGACTCAAGTACCTCTATATATGTACGTCTATACCCTGACCCGTTCATGGCAACGTGCCCGCGTGCCCTTCTCACCTGCCCATAGCAACGTACCTGCGTGCCCTCATGCTGACGGTATGACTTACACCCTCTCAGAAGGTTACATACACGGCCTGATGACGTCTCCCATTACGAAACGTTCCCTTGCCCTTTCCGAGTCCGCCCTGGCCTTTTCCGCCCTTGCCCTTTCCGCCCTTGCCCTTTCCGCCCTGTCCTTTTCCGCCCTTGCCTTTTCCGCCCTTGCCCTTTCCGCCCTGTCCTTTTCCGCCCTTGCCTTTTCCGCCCTTGCCCTTTCCGCCCTTTCCGCCCTTTCCTTTTCCGTTTCCGTCCTGTCCATCGTTCTCTTGCTCTCTTTGCGCCCAGGTATCCCAGGTATAGACCTTTGATCTCTTCAGTGTCCCCTTGTCGTTCCACATGCGGTAGAATTCCTTGATGCTGGTCTGGGGGATATCGAGCTTGGCCGCCCACTCTTTCTCGTCCTTGTGGGGGTTTTCTTTCCCCTCCTTCTGAAATGCGCCATCGGCGCTTTCAAAGCGATTCGCGATGTCTTTCGTGTCGATAACGTACACCCAGCAGGGCTTGGACACTGTAGGAAGCTTGCCGATGTCTTCGCGTTCAGAAGTCGAGATCCACGGGTCTCTCATTGGGCTGTGGCCCTTGCCGTATACTTTACTAACATGCTCGATGAGGCTAATTCCTTGATCGGAGCCCCTGCTTTTGAAGCCGCGACTGGTCCGGATTGCATTGGGGTCGCGTTGATCGGCTCGATAGACGTTATCTGGCACGGCCAAAGCGGCACCCAGGAGCGATACGAGGAGAAAGAAGAAAGAGAATTTCCAGTTGGCCATCTTTGCAGAGAAAGCCCGTTGGGTTCAGGTTGATTGACTGTAATGTTGATTTACCGCACTAAAATTGGAGATCTGTACGAAGGTGCAGAGGCTAGGGGTATCTGGAAGCTGTGGTGGGAGTTGTTTATTGAGGTTGAGGTTGAGGTTGTGAATGTCCCGAGTCGAGTCCAAGTGAGTCAGGAACGCATTCTCTTATAGCCTGGCATTTCTGACCCCTTTGAGCCAAATGGATGTCTTCAGGTTATTTACGGCATAGGTCATGTTGTTGTTATTCTTGTCCACTGCCATGGCTGGAAAAGGGGCTTGCCCTGGACAGCTGCATGGCGAGTCCGCCGACGGACCATGGCTCTAGACATATGAGGGTGGTACAGTACCTGTAGGTTAGCTATAGGGCTTGGGCTGTGAGCTTGAAGTACCTTAGCTAGGCCTGTGTGACTACATTCACATGAATGATGGGTAGTACGGGAATGACCGGCAGCGTACCGGTAGCTGCTCCGAATCCTCCTCGCCGGAATGGGCTCGTTTCGAACAACGGCGTAGGTAACTAGTGAGCCGCCGAGCCCCTCGACGACCAGGTTTCAAACATGGCAAAACTACCTGTATGGTGTTGGACGTAAATTCAGATCATTTCAGAAAGGCAGGGCCAACAGCCTAAGGTACCCGAGACTCGGACTTGTATAATTACATGGTATAATTTAGGTGACACGAAGCCTATCTTAGGGTGATGGCTTGGCTTACATCAGCTTGGCTTACTGGCAGCGCTGGTTTGAATCCAGGTTTGCCGACCTTATCGGCCTCGGACTTGGCTCTAACATTTAGAAGATGAAGACTGGGCCTTCTGTTACAGATCTTGATTCCTTCTCGGAAACTCTTCAAATTTTCTGCGACATCCAAGTTTAGAACACCATGATGTTATGTCGACCAATTTGCCGTCTTTGTCGGTTACAGGAGACGTGCTGCCTAGTACTGCCTAGTACTGCCTGCTGCCAGCTTGGTGTAACCAGGGCAACAGCACTGGCAGCGGATAGTATCGACGGGAAACTGCCTACCTCGTATAATCGACGTGCTTTTAAGTACCTATGCAGCCACTGCAAAAAGCCGTGTAGGGTTCCCGCTCACCAGCCACATAACCCCAGTAAGCCACAGGGTTATGGCTGTGCGAGCGGGAACCCCACACTGATCGGAAACCCTACTGAAAATGGTATGGGGCAGACCGTGACATGAGATACCAGTCCGAGCACCGTCACACGGGGCTCAACAGGAAGGAAGTAACCAAAAAGCGGGCCACATATTCCCCCCGCGTTTATGTTATAAGTACTGTACCTACTGTATGTATGTACATACAAACATAAATCAGGTTATTACCTTACCTGGCGTGCCATCCCCTCGCTGCCTGAACCAACACTCGCATCTCAAATCTCGTCCCTCTACTGCAGAATACTCACGTGCGCCTAGTGCCGACTCTTCCAACATTCACACTCCTAATCAACTCAACCAAACTCATCGTTCTAAGCCCCAGACCAAGTTACAAGAACTGGTCTATCTTTAAGGGTTCGTACCATCATTTACTAAGGTACATCCACGTACTTCAATATCACGGCCTTGAAATATAGGTAGGTAGACGAGATGATTCAATCCTCATATCTAACAAGATACCAGTTGCAAGCAACTTGCATATCACTCCAGCCCCATACCATCATTACCATGGTTGGACAAATCAAAATGATCGAGAAGCCCCAGACAGCGTCTTGGGATCTAAGTATCAGCGACGCAGACTTCGCCAAGTTTAGACGCAGTCTCCTGGCAAAAGATATGGATGACAAATGGGCCTTTATACCCATGACCCCTCAATACTTGGCGAATCAATTGATAGGATACTTTGGAACGACGGGAGGCGACTCAGACTCGATGCGGGATGGCCCCGGGGCCCTAGCGAACCGAGTCCTAATGAATGAACAACCGATAGACGAAGAGTTGACGGATGAAGAGTCAATGGATGAAAAGTCGACAGATGGAGAGTCGAAGGATCCCCAGGCTACACAGTGGACGGATGAAGAGTCGGTGGATGAAGACCCGGCACCAGTTGAAGAGTGGGATTACGAGTCGGAGCCCGAAAATGATGACGACGACGAACCCTCCACATTGGATCTGCATGAGTCTGGCTATATGTCCATCGTCCGAGCCTGGTCGTCCTCGGAACACTACAGAATTGCTGTCAAGCCAAGGGACGGGGACACCAGTGCCAAAATCGTATCCATCACCTGGGACCCAAACGAGCACCCCGCCATTAGCCTTCGGAAAGAGGCTCCCGGTCCTGGAACGTCGGAAGAAGTCGCCAAGAGGGAGGTTGTCATTCTATGTAGGGCAGAGCATCACCTTGGGTGCCATCTTGAGGCGGCCCCAGAATATGATTGAGAAAGTTCGTCTTTTTTCACTAGGCGTTTCCAAGAAGGGCAGCCCAGGGCTGTTCAAGTGACGCCGATCAACATATCAACTATCAGGGACGAGTTGGGTTACGTGTTTTGTTTGTAGGGACTCGTGTTAGTGTATGTACATGTAGTTTTCATCATCGCCCTGAATGCAATTACTTTTGACATCTATGCTACCCTCGAAGTTGGAGGTACAATACTACCTACCAAGGTACCTTACTTATGGTGTCTATAGTCGCAATTGGCAATTTCACGGTAGGATGGAGGCGCGTCAACGAAAACCATAGGTAGCGTTGAGTGTTTGTAGCCTGTCTTAGGAGCTTCTCCCTTGCTCTTGATAACACGACGCCATCCATTTCAGATATCTCTCTACCTTCCATTGCCTACCTACTGGCATCCATGATATACTAGAACCTCACGAAGCATAGTCAAGATTTAGTAACAGGCCAGTATGCGTGGACATTGTAAACTTGCCGTACTGAGAAGTTGAGAGCCACCATTGATTAGCACCATCAAGCTGCAAATATCACGATGTGCCGTCGTTGTTGGCGCAAGGGTTGAAGGCAGTCCCGACTGCGGCCGGAACAGCCCGTATCTCCAACACTTATGAGATTATGACCCTACGGATACATGCGTGATCCGGTCTGTGGTCTTTCACTTTTCTAGCAAGTGGGGCCGAGCACAAGTAAGTTGAAGTAACTTTGGTCGCCTGACCAGCCGTGACGCTTTGCTTCACGCTTGTTCTCCGGTTTATCCTTTATGCTGTTATATGGTCCTATCTATTTCTCCAGGTCACTCGGACTGGCCACGCCACAGAATGAACTGTCTAGTTGTCATTGCCCCAGTCAGTGTGTGTCCCGTACTACTTAGCTTAAGGCAAGTACTTAAGAACGCAAAGATTTCGCGGATGCCCTTCCCCTATTCTAGATCTCTAAACACAGGTACCTACCTTTAACTTCGTGCAATTACCCATACACGGAACAGAGCATTTTGCAGCACTATTACTACCTAGTTCAGCTATTCTCGGGCCACACAACTTCGCCTTACAGACCCCAAGGAAGGAAGAGACGAACTACAGCACTAACACTCATAATCCTACGGTATCTTATTCACCATGTGCTACCAGTACGGCTACATCTGCGACTCGCCGCTCTGCGACACGGTCTACATGACCTGGATAGTTGAGTGCAACTCGATCAGGAATTCCAACCCAAAACGCGCGGCAGGAAGTTGCCAAAGTGGCCTCAAGAGGGAATACTGGAGGACGTACATGTGTGTGTATGACTCGCACTGCTCATACCACCAGCGTCAACTCCGTCGCTCCCCGTCGTCGTATTAGTGATGGATTTGGAAAATGTTATCCATGCGGGGGGGGCGAGTTTATTTTGGGGCGCTTCCTAGACGGCTCGAGGCAGCAAAGGAGAGTCTGGTGGCTTTGTTGAGCCTGAGGAATGGAGGGCTACCGGGCGTGTCTGGGAAGAACCTCGGTGCAGGATGGTAATCAAGTACTAGGATTTGGCAGGCTGTAAGTGCGTTGATTTTAGTCTTGAGTACCTTAAGAATACGGGACGTAAGGTGCCTTAGGTAGGACAAGATGCCTAGTAGTAGCTAAACATGAATGCTCCGAGTCCTGGCATTCTCCCACCTGAATTGTAACAGTAATCTTCTCGGTAAGCTCGCCGGATATTTTTTTTCCGCTGCGCCTCCTTACTTGCGATCAACCTCGTAAGTTCTCGAATCCGGTGCTCATTTTCTGTACCTTTGATCCGGGACTGGCTGCCTTTGAGTTCTGTCCTCTCTGCCTTCAGTGCTTCAATCTTTGAATCGGGCGGCATCATGTCCCAAACCTGATCGGGGCCATATCTTTCCTTGCGCGGGGGTCGCGCATGTGGCCGATATGCGAGAGCATTGCAAGAAGGCTGTCTTCGGTCGGCTCCTCGAGGAACGCGTTCTGAAGGTGGAACCCGACCTTTTCGTTGATATATACGCTGTTGAAAGTAGCCCACTTGGGGTCATGATGCATCATCTGATCGCGGACAGCATCAGAGGCGTTGCCTATGTGCCGTTAGACAAGGCTATTCTAGCGATGAAATGAACATACCGTTTGCCGCATTGGCTGCCCCCCTACGCCAGGCCTTTGGTTCAATCGCTCTTTCTTCTCCAGCGTCAAGCGATTGCCGTGTCATATCGTCTAACAGCTTCTGGTATGGAAGAGGTTGATACTTTGAGGTGATTGAACTGTCTGATTTGTTTTCTGAACTGGACTGGTCGGAGTCGTTCTCAGCAATGGAGTCGTCAAGTCAACGGAAAACCGGCCGCTTGAGCCATTCATCCTTCCAGCGAAAGGGAGTACACTTGACTGGTCCCCGGCTTCTTGTGTTGAAATACTTCTCTAACGCTAGTGAACTTTCGACCGCAGCAAACGCGCCGTCGTGGACTGCTAGGCTGACGATGACACTTATGAAACAGAAGATCAACCTCCTAGTGGGTGTAAAAAAGAAAATGGTCCTGGAGGGAATATTGTTAGCTCCAAGACGCCAAAGATAAGTGGGTGATCACTTACGGCTTCGGCTTGTTGTCCGCCCCTTTGTGGTGTGCAAGCCGGATGGCCATTGCTAGGACGTCCCCGCCGGTTTCCGGGTGGCGTACAACCATCAGCTGAATGTCCTCGTAACAGAGCGCCTTTGGGCGTCGACGGCTCTCATACTCTTGCGACATCATCTCTTCCAGCAGCCTGGAATGCTCATCGGGCGCCTTGTCTTCGTCGCTAGGGACGCTCCCAATAGCGTGTTGGGGGAAGAGCTCCTCGAGACACTCATCCTTGCCCCTCTTTCTCTCGCCATCCACAAACTCGGCCGGCCTGGCTCCGGTGAAAGCAAGGCCGAGGTAGCACCCCAACAGCTGAATACGGTGCCTCTCCCGAGAGAAGATGCCGGTGTCGTACTTGATATTGAACGTCTGCAGGACCAACAAGGTGTCTGCGTTTGCGACATCCTTCCCACAGGTGCATGGTGCTTGCAGGCCGTACCTCGGGACCAAAATGGCATCGTGCCACTTGCAAGACAAGTTAGCTACTGCGTCGGTGTGCGAGGGCCTGGGAATGTACCTTCTTGACTTCTTTACTGTCGTTCCTGTCCATATAGCGGCCCGTGACACTGGCATACAGCTGCTTGTACTGACGGAAGTACTCCCAGGACGAAGCCCATGACCCGATCCTGCATGTTTGACACAGATATTCGAGAAAGTCCATCGCCATCGCTCGGTTTGTTTTCTGCATCACCTCTCGCCAGGTTCCCGGTAGCTTAGTGAACTCGCAGTATCTCGAAACTCTTCAGCGAAGATAATGGCGGAACAGAAAGGGAGGTGGCCATTTACCTCTTTCATTTTCTCAGCAAACTGGCGATGTTGATCTTGGTCTTATCGGCATAGTCAGGAGTAAGGAACTTGGTGTCCTCAAGCTACTTGCGGAGAGCTGCACACTACTCGGCCATATAAGCTATTGGCCGTTTCACAATTCGCTTCTCAGCTTCTCGTTGGGTAAAGCGCCGGACGAAATGCGCATTGTAATGCCGGTCTTCGGTGAGCGGCTGCGGCGGGCGACGTGCTGGCATGGCGATGGTGTTAAGTGCAGAAGGCAAAGCCGCCGACTCTAACGACAACGGCCGACGAGGCGGGAACGACGGGAAGCGCGAGCGGCGCCATCTTATGTATGTGTGGCTGCGCTGGGAAGCCAAAAATGGATGCCAGGTAAAGCGGTTTCCTGGATTCCGGGAACGACTTCTTTTTCGAAACCAACTGTTCAGGACTGGGACGCTTATTGGAAGATGGTGTAGGTGGGGTCGTGGATACTGCAGCCTGAATAGATTGAAGGGAGGCAGGCCTGTGGTAAGGTACCAACTACCTGGCTGTGACTAAGCGCCCCGCACTGTCGAGACACCCGAAAATGGCGGCCCTGCCCTGCCAAATTCGGCGGCTAGAACAGCAAGTTCTGTACTTAATCTGTCTTTTATCGACGGACATCTTGTAGTCTTTGCTAGGCGGTCGACATGAAGTTAGAAATTGGGGCATTCACGGGAACTTTTTACACTGATGTCATTCGCAGAGATGAACGAGTACAACCCCAGTACCGTTTAGATGGGAACCGGGAGCCCCGTCGGTAGATGATGGATGAAGTAACACCAGTACGATATATGGAAGTCGCGATTACAGCTGACATGGACATCCCATTGGACATTCCATGAGTGAGATGGCACAGCTGCGGGAGACTTTTGGACGCATCCGATTGGAGCACGCGGGGCATCAAGCTTCAAATGCCTAAAGAGAGAGCAACTTGAACATCCCCTCTTCAACCTCCACCTCAGTGAACCCGTCACCCGATGCTTCTCCCATCAATTCACACCATTCTGAAAGACCAAAAAAGTTCCCTGCAGTTTTTTCACGACAATCACGCACCTGGAAGGAGACAACATGGTTTCCTCGTCACGGCGGACACCTCAACACGGGGCGTGCATCATGAACTTTCAACCCAGCCTCACCTCGACCGCTGGATCGGCCGGATCGGCTGCCCCCGTGCCATCATGTGTCTTAAAACAGCATGCCAAAGCCGAACGGGCCGCAGTCTACCCGCACGTTGAGAGGCTGTACCTGCACGAGAGGTGGAAGCTCCGTCACGTTAGAGCCACCATGGAGGAGAAATACCACTTCAAGGCCAGGTAGGCGCCTCGTGCTCATAGGTGGTCTGCATGTGGACTTGCTCGGCTCTGACAAGGAAGGGCGGCAGCCCTCAGATGTACAAAAAACGTTTCGCAAACTGGGGATTCCGCAAGAATGCCACATATCAGTCGCGGCAGGGGACAAACACCAGCTTGCCCCTGACACCAGCTAGTACCACCCTCGACGCCTGCGCAATGGCTTTTTTCACCACCGTCAACCAGTGGACGTCAAGATTCTTCCAGTCCGCCGACTTCAAAAATTGTCTTGCTTCAAACGGCGTCTGGAAACAGGGGCCACTCTATCCCCCCGCCCCCTCTTGTGAAAGACCTGCCCTTCTGTACGACCCCGAAAGAGCCAGTTACGCCTTCCGGCTTGTTGCCAGGCTTCTGCGGGATGGACAGGGCATCCTCGCCGGTCGATTGGCCCGAAAGGCCTTCTTGCAAATTGAAGATACGATGCTCATCGAAAGCCCCGCCTTCATCTGGAATCTGCTGGATATCATGCACGCTATCCTTCGCATGGGGCAAGCCAAGCTCTTCCATATGCTGCTCATGCACCTTCTTGGCCTTGCAAACTTGCACCATGACTGCAGGAATCATCCAGCATCTTTGATTCCGAGTTCTCTGGTGCAACTCATGCGACATTGGAGCGCTGAAACTGGGGTGGGATCTCTCGTATTGATGGACCATATGCGAGAGATTGTAGAACGTGGATGGCTTCTTAACGCCGGTTACTTTGACGCACGGCTCTTGTTTCTCTATTATCGTCTGATGTGGGACTCGACGCCATCTGCCTTGCCAGAGGACAAGCTACACAACGTTCATCTCTGGTTTCCTCTTCTTGCCGACCAGGTACCCGTTGTAGCTGCAGAGTTGCAAGAGGCCAAGTCTCGCACATGCATTCATTCCGTCCTCGAGCCTGCTGCCTGTTGTCGGATAGAGGATGGCACGGATAGTGAACCGCCAGACTACGAGCGTATCCGCGATAGCACTGCCGCTACTCTCCGTGACAGATACAGTGCAGACAATGTCAGCCCATGTGTGAGGGTTCGCATTATACAAGGGCTTCTTAAGAGCAGGATTGCCGAGGGAAGAGACGACAAGACAACCACAATGACCCACGCGAGGGCAAACAGTCGTGCTTTGCGCCTTTTTGCCAAAATTGTAGCATTCGCGACTAAAGTTCTTGCAGAGGTGGACATGGAGCTGGGAGGAAACCTCGACGTCGCCATTGAGCGATGGCGTGCAGTGATTGCCCTGCGGGAATACGGACAAGATGCTCACGATCCGATCGTGATACACGACTTGGGCTCATTGGAGGCCTTGCTCCTGAAGAAAGGGTTCGAGGAAGAGGCCGATAACGTGCGACAGGAGGCACTTTTAAAGGATGGAAAGCTACGTCGAGAACATTCCAACTCATTCGAATTAAGAGAAGCACGATGTGAGCCATCAGCGAAACGCCAACAACGAGTGGAAAATGTACATCCCATACCGGACAAGGCCGGCAACTAGCTTTAACTATAGATGTTGTACAATAGGCGCAAGAGAACGCTCTTTTTTCTACCCATCTCTTTCAAGCCTCTAGGTACACATTTATCGCCACTGATACTTCCTCTCAAGTAGCAGGTTATGTGCATCCGCCATTGTCCATTTCCTACATCGCCAGTACTCTTCACTTCCCATGTCTGCTTGGAGTGTCTGTGATTGACGTTGACCACCAAGAGGGGCTATTAAGGACCACCGCTCTTCTAGTTTTCTGACCACCGGGCCAGGTCCATGTTGCCGTGTGATCAATGAACTGGCATCCTCCCACTCATGCGTCAAGTCAAAACTGGCTTGGATGGAGTCAGGGCCATCGGCCCCTGACATCACAGTCCTGAGCCAGAACTGCTTTCAGACGACCATCCCCAGTGATATAGCAATGTTTGACAGTGATAATCTGCCGATAGGTTTTCGGAATGGTCATGAGGTGACGTCGGCGGGGACTGGAGCTTCCATCAAGAGAGATAGTGATGGCGGTCACTAGGTAGTTCTTTTCGAAATCGATAACGAAGAGGGAATTGCCATGGCAAAATGTGTAGGCATCATAGTAGCTGATCAGATCTTCAGGCCATGAGTGATCGTGCCTGATTCCTCTCCCGAGGTCGAATAGGATGAGCCCTCCACATATGTAAGCCCAGAAATACCGGCCGCATGGAGAAAACGACAGCGAGAATTGACATGATCGCGTTTCTATGAATGATTGAAGCGACAGTCAGTTAAGAGTCTCGGGCAGTAGCAAAGAGGAAATAGGTTGAATACCTGGATTGAAAATGGGGATGCCATCCCCCTCTGTGCTTGCCATCCAAAACCCCCACTTAAACCAGGAGAATGACCATGCCATGATGGGCAATCTGTGGTGGAATATTGTCCACACCACGGTACCTATCAATCCATCTGTTACGCTCGTTGACAATCGACCAGCAACACGTGAAATTGAAGACTCGGAGAGCCTCAGACGTTCCCTCCTTGTAGACACGGAGTTTATACCTTTGACCATGCCTGTGCTGCCGATGCTGTTCCCGCCGCGTAAGAAGGATGCCGCCAACATGTACCGCCCGCCGCTTGCTATGGCAACGATACGGCTCTTGTTCAAGCTGCGTGGCACAGAGGGAGCCTTGCCGGTTCCGGCCCCGATGTCGATGGCAGAGCAAAAACTTCCCGATTTGCTTTTGGTGCTGAAATATACCTTGTCGCCGGGCAACGGAATCCTAATGTCCTTGATATCTTTCAAGCTGACAGGGGAGAGAAACCCGATCTCTACACCCAAAGGTACAGAAGGTTGACCGCCGAGATTCCGCACATGCCCTGCAATCTGTACGGAAGAATCAGCATGGGGAATCAACAGAATGGATAGCGGCATTCGAGTGGTACTCACCTGGTATGTGCTGCCTCTGTTTATGTCCGAGTGCAGGTAATACAGTGATGAGCCCCTCCAGCATGAACGGTGATATTCCTGTTCACGTCGGACACTGTAGGCTCCGACTGCGACAACCCTCTCTTGCAAGTTGTCAACTCTGGCACGAAAGAGCCCGTCTGGGCGAATACCGACAAGGGCTGAGTCATCATGGTTGAATGTCAGACTATTGCAACCCCAGTCGAAGACGATGTGGCCGGTATTGATCCAACCACTGATACTCCAACGCCAAATCAACCCCTCCGGAGTCTGAGCTCCACTCTTCATCCTCGATATGAAGAGGCTGGAACTCGGTTCCAGGCAGCCGAAAAAGGCCTTGTCTGGCCGTAATCGAGTGACGCTATCATCCCGGCTATCCCATGAGTCGTTTCTATATGAGTACAGCTCGCCAATGCTGCCTTTCTCTGTGTCAAGGATAGCGAAGCTGTGGGTTTCTCGCGATTCAAAGAAGTCATCTGCCGAGTATTCCGAGTCGTCATCTGATTCGCACTCCGAGCTGGGGTCGTCTGTACATTCAAAGGATTGGTCATCGTTCGGTGATGCCTTCAGCAGTTTGTGCGTGAACGCCACAAACCGAGCAGAACGACTGATGGCGAGAATGGTTGGTGTTGGAGCGATGAAGGTCTGACTTAGTGTCATGGGCGTCTCGCTGCTAACGCAAGCCCAGAGTTCGAGTTGGGAGCTCCGCGAATCGCCATTGGTAGGCCGTGTGATAACCAGTGCGTTACCGCTGGGCGATACGTGGACTGAGTCGACTTTTATTCCCTTCCCGATCGCAGGCGGGGTGAAGGAGTTGATCGGTTCTTGTTTCTCGACATCATACCACCCATTCGCATGCACCAGGGTGGCACTTCTCGCGCAGAAGGTTAACGGACGGGTCTGTCTCACTGGTGAATGGATAACCCCTCGGCTGATCATCGTGCGAGGTCCAAAGTGATCGTCATCCACGGTCGAAAAGTCCTTCAACTTCCAGCAGTACGTGAAGGCGTACTGACACTTGATGCCATCTGGCTCTAGATACTCTTGGTACCCAAGGTACTGGGAGTCGTCGCTGAGAGCCAATTGCGCGGTAACATATCCTGTCCTCCTCGATGAGCCGACTACTCCAAAGGGAGATTGGCCGCGGAACTCGGACACCACAGTCCCCGTATCAAGCGAGATGTACCGAATTAGCCAAGAAGCAAAACCCGGTTCGTCCTCTTTCAATTCGCCACGGACGCTGTGGTAGCAGAGCCGACTCTGGCGCACGATGTACAGTCGAGACTTGCTTTTGTCAAGAACAGAGACGTAATCTGTTCCACGGGACGCCTCGTCAAGCACAGTATCCAAGGGCTGGCGTTCCAGTGAGGTACCGGCTGGAAGCGCCCAATGCCGATTTAAGGGGTTGTATTCCAACCGAAATATTGAATCGGCTGTCAAGAATAGCCCTTGGATATGGTGGACCTCGCCCGGGAAGCGTTCAAGGATCTCGGCCCAGCCGTGTAACAACTCGTGGCAGGAACGCATCCACAATTGTAGGCACGAGAGTGTCTCTTGTGTGACGAGGCCTGTACCGTCGCGGCAAAAGTCGGCGACAAGCCCCAGGATTCTGGAAAGTGAGATACGGAACCCCTGACAGGTGAGATGGCGAGCACTTCGACCCAGGTAAGGCATGCCGGGGGGCTAATGAGGAGACGTAGCATCGTCTCGACTTCCGGAGACAATGGATCGCGTAACCGACGCAAATGAGTGGCCCAGTAGAGTGTGGCGTATTGCAAAATTCCGTACCAAGGACAACCCTGCAATCCTTCGGGTGTAATGGACTCGAATCTGGATCTGGCCAGTGGTTTGCTAAACCTGACCCCTAGGTATGCTTCCTGTGTGACGGCTTTCAGGATGGTCTCCAGTATCACGACATTTGCATCTTCGGCCGGTACAAGCATGTCGAGGATGCCAGGTGCGTTGGCGGTATGTGATACTGAACCGCTAGGGTCAATTTGAATGATTCCGAGACACTTGGCGATGACATCTTCCCGGGAAGGAAACTGAAAGTCATGGAAAAGGGCCGTATCATTGATTATGGCGCATGAAGCTCCGAGATCTTGGTACGTCAGCGGCCTCACTGCCCCAAGCACCCAGAGGACGATACGGGGCATTTCAGGGTCGAGGGTGTCCGGTCCCGAAGGACCAGGCGTCTCGTCATGGCGGTCAATTCCCATCCAGGATGCTTCATCCTCTGCTGGGGTCGGGTCGATCAGGGCGGGTGTGGAGTATACGAGTCCGGCTGGAGTTGCTGTTTCGTACCTTGGTCAGCAGGAGGATACCTCAGCTCAATATCGAAGGAGAGAGAATGGAGGCAAACTCACGTTGATCAAGCGGCATCTGGTTCAAGTCCCTCCCGTTGAAGCGCTCGCGAACGAATCTGTCAATCTTCGCTTCGTCCACCTCTCGACCGTTGTATACAAAGGCCGTTCGTTTCCCTTGCTCGTTCAGGCGTCTCTCTCGAGTAATGGCGATGAAAATCATGATCTCGGCCCTAATATTCTTCTTGATGCCCCAGTTCAAGAATCTGTATAAGTACTGCCTTCGGCTAATAGTTTAAGTAGCCAGCAAGATGCTAAAAGGCAAGATGAAGAGATATGGGAGCATAATGGGATCCAGAGAGGCGGGCGATATATGATCAGGGTGAGTGTACTTTGCGTAGAAACCATATTCCCTTTCCATCCTCTTCATAACTTCGGCAATGGGCAAGTCTTCCTCGAGGTAAAATCGCGTGATAGCCTCTTTATGCTGCTCCCAGCCCTCAGGTGGATCGCCATCTTGATGCTGAGCCTGAGATGCATCCATTTTACTTTGTTGGTGGAAATCAAGAAGGTAAAAAGGTCCTGAACAAGGCTGGAATAACAGAGTAATTGACAATGTTGCTTGTGAGAAAACCTGAAGTGCTTGGGAGGTCGCTGTGCATATATACTCGCTAGATTCGTTTGCGCCTCCTGTCGATCCTCTCCTGTGTCCATTCTTCTACAGCCTGCACGTCGGGGCGTGTACCAGAATCTGCTGGGGGGCCAACTGCAGGAATTTGTGAATGAGCAAGACCTTGACAGACTCAGGCTCCCAACTACCAGGTACAATGGTACTTGTACTTTTGTGAGCAACCCCTGCACGTCACAGCGATGGGTGAACCTCCGTACACCGCACATTCAGGGTGCAGGAACCAATCCTCACCGTTCACCTATGCACAAGCCTTCCTCAGCTCCAAGCCTTGTCCTGACTGGTGCCGGGAGGGGCTCGGGTGGCTATGTCTAAGACAGTATATCTCCGTACCGTTCCTAATGACTGAGCAGGCCCGATTGAAACGCCAAGTGTGGCCATGCCCCATCTTTGGTTAGCCGCTTGCTTGTGCTCCCGAGCTGAGCTGAGGCAGATGAGGGTGCTTGGTTGCAGGGTGCTGCATCTACGCCAGCCCCGAGTATTCTTGTTGTACTCTTCGAGGTCATCGACCGAGATTAAGTTGCTCGCGTTGAGTCTTCTCTCTGGGGCCTTGTTTTAACTTCTAAGGTGTATCTACCTTGAAGTCAATGTCAATCAGTCTCGCACCGGCTTTTGATGCATCCCAACGTCAGGATGGTGCACCGAACGGAGGCTAGGCTCCTCGGAAGGGTATTGTACCATGTTGGCCTTATCCCAGCATTATAACCCGGCTATGGCACAAGAAACGGCCATAAAAATCATGATATGTGTCCAGAAGTAGAGGCTAGAAAACAGATGCAAAATCACAGGTAGTCATCTTCAACCCCATTACCCCAACGCCAGGCTATCCAAATCTCGTCGTTATACGTTCATTCGTTACATCATAACTGTCACCGAGTAGCGGGAAGCTCTACCGGGTTCCAATCCCCAGTACCCAGCTCATTTGGTCCCGGAACCTCTACCCTTCCCATTCCGTATGCCAAACCAAACTTTTCAAACCCAGGAGGAGGCTGGTCAGTGACGATGCTTGGCATCGTGGGCTGAGATTGGACTTTCGCAGCTTTGCTGCGTCGAATAAGCCACAAGGCCGCGAGACCGAACCCGCAGAGCAGCGCCAGACAGCCTACTACGCCGCCGATAATGGCCCCGGTGTTGTTGTTTGTGCTGGAGCTTGCTTGGTTCTCTGCGGCGGGCGCGGAAGTAACTCCTTCCTCTGCGGTGTTGGTGACGGTTACAGATTGGATTCGCTAGTGGTAGGCGGGGGGACGGTAGAGGCCGTGGTTGTCTGAGGGGTGTTTGTCGAGACCGAGGAACTTGTCGAACTCGATAGGGAAGCCGAAGTATCACTAGCTTCGGTTGTAAAGGCCATATACACGTCCGTGCTGGGGCCCTTGCCGCACGCGATATAGCTAAACGGCCCTACGTTGTTCGCCAGGGTCAGGAGGGCTGTCGAGCAGTGTGCCGCATCAGACTCGGAGCTGCCAGTGGTCATGAGATGTCAGTGGAGCTCCCGCTTGAATCAGAGCAGACCGCTGCGGTTGTACCTTACTTACCAGGTAAACGTTGTCAATTGTCCATTAGGAAAGCCGCAACCCTTGGTGCAGCGGAATCTGTCAACACAGCTGCCTGCCAAGCCACAATCGGTTGCAGCAATGACACTGGTTGGGCAAAATCCCCATATGTCGTGTAAAAGATCGACTCGTATGTCAAACCCAGGGTTGGCAGTCCGTATATTCGTGGCATCACCGCTGCCGAAGATTGTAAAGTACTTTGTGATAATGGCAGTTCCCTGCCTCTTGTTGATGATCGGTGTTGTTCTATTATTGTGATGGGAATGCTGGCTCGTCGTTCCGAGAAGGGCAAGAGCAGTCGCTGTCGTCTGCCCAGCGCTGGCTAGGAGGAAAGAATGCACAGCAATGAACCAAAGCATTGAATAATGGGGTGAACAAGGAAAGATTAGTGAAATAAAGCAAAACGCAACCCGATTTAGGTAGGGCAGATTATTGATTGTCAGATGAAGTTGGGAGCATGCCAACGGGGTTAATAACAGTGACATGGAAGCAAGAGATGGAAGGAAGAAAACAGGACAGCTAACAATTGTGGGGGAACCGGGGAAATGCCTTGCCTTATTAGTGGCTTATCGCCGGCCTCATCTATGCAGCAGTACATGCTCTTGATCCGTATTCTGAGCTTTGCAAATTTGAACGCCTGGCTCGACTCGGGACGGTGTTGGGACAGAACTGGCCCAGCTGGGACCACAGGCCCAAGGGGCGCCCAAGGAGGTAAACAAATTGAAGTTCATGTTGGTTACAGCACCGAACACGAGCTGCTTTCTAATAGGTGCTTGAAGACGGGAATACCTCTTAACTTCATTCTGGCGCTTGAGACGTGAATCTGAAGCCCCTTCTTGACTTGTACCGATGGGGTTGACGAATCAGATTCCGTCCACTGTCCCGACACAACGGTACCGGCGCTTGAAACTCATCCTAGGGGGGCTGATAATGATTAGCTGCCCCCGGGCGCTTACAATCTGAGCAGAATGCCCCTCGCAAACTTCGCGACCCGCGACTTCGTCCACAATTTAGTCCGCGCGCCGCGAAGTAGCACACGCACCTCAGCCCATCGCTTCTGCCTCGAGGCCATCAAACCATATCGTCAAGCGCGTTTACGACAATTATCTGCCGGGTGTACCTTTCACCTTCAACTTTTGTACCTGCCTATCCAATACGACCGACGGCAAGTCTCAACGTACCTGAAGCAGCTGCTAAAAGAGAAAAGATGTCAAGTTTTACCTACCCAGTTTCCCCCTCCTAACTCGTTTCTTGTGCGCTCTTTTCCGTGTGCAGCAGCATGCGTAGACTGTTGCCCTTCCTGTTCGCGGCAGCCTGTCTGTTGCTCGGCGCTGTCACGTTCTATCTCTACCAAGAAGAGCTTTTTCGCCTGCCGCGACAGTTGTCGCTCCAGCACCATGGCGATGTTGGAGTCATAGACTCAACGACACTGACAGTTCCTGGCGTTTCCCACCCTACAGCAACACCTACATCCTCGTCCTCTAGCCATGGAAACACCCAATTCCGTAAGTAGCCCCATTGCCACGAGATCTTATGACAAGCAAAGCTGGTTACTAATTGGCGCTTCGTACCTTAGAGATCCTTTCCCCTGAGAATGGAACGACGTATCTCAATGCTATCCTTCACCCCAAGACGGCTGATCTGCCGTCGTTGCGCTGTCCCGAGCTGAATACATCCCGATACGAATACCTTCGGCCGAGTCGCGTGGGCGCTGCCGTCTCTGGGATTCGGTTCTTCTTTGCGCTCGACCTCCGACAATGCCTTCCTCTCCTTCCAACACTCCTGGGTAGCGTGGTGGAAACAGTTCGCTTCTTGGGTCCAGAGAATTGCGCATTGTCCATCGTTGAGGGGAACTCGGAGGATGGCACCGGCGAGGTTTTGGCAGCTTTGCGCCATGACTTGGAGGCCCTGGGTGCAACATACTACTTCACGCGTTCCGAGATCAACCCCAAGGAGGGAGATCGCATCAACAAGCTTGCAGAGCTTCGCAATATGGCACTCCAGCCGCTGCTCGGCAAGCCTGAGGCTGACAAATACTCGGCAAATGGAACAACAGTCATCTTCCTCAACGATGTCGCCATTTGCACCGAGGATATCCTAGAGCTAGTGCATCAACACCGTTTCCTGGGCGCCGACATGGTGTGCGCAATGGACTGGACCTATGTCGGTGAAAACCCGACCTTTTACGATGTGTGGATCGCTCGAGGTATGAACGGTGACTCGTTCTTTGAGATTCCCCCCAGCGGTAGCTGGGATTCGGCCTGGAATCTGTTCTGGAACAACCCCTCAGCAAAGTCTCGGTTTCTTGCCCATCAACCGTTCCAGGTGTTTTCGTGTTGGAATGGAGCCGCCGTATTCACCGGCACTCCGTTGATAGACGGGACGATGGCATTCCGATCTCCGAGTGAGGGTGAATGCCACCAGGGAGAACCTCAGTTGTTTTGCAAGGACCTGTGGTTTTACGGATACAGAAAGATTGCTGTGGTTCCTACCGTCAACCTGGAATACAGCACTGAGGATGGGAAGAAGATCAAGGACCTAAAGGGCTTCACCTCCCGTTGGGTAGGGGCGCCTGGACACGAGGACGAGAAGATTGAGTGGCAGCTTGATCCACCCGCAACCGTCAAGTGCATGCCTGGATGGGAGAACCAGTTTTTTGAGGCCTGGAACAAGACGCAACCAGGGACTTGAATTCGCAACCCCGAAAATGCTCAACTTCCGAAACCTCCCAGCAGCTGTAAACAACACTATCCGATGGTCCGGCCGGAGCCAAGGATTACACGCCGCTCCGCATAGCCTACGAAGACCACGTTGCGAGCTGGAAAATCCGGTTTTATGGCCGTGCTGAAGTTGCAGCCTCGAGCTTTGGGAGTGGAGGTTTCTAGGAGCTGAACTACTCCCCCGTTGCTGGCAGAGCTTGCCGAGGCGCCTACAGGCTTCCGTCACGCGCCAATGACAATGAATATGTCTTGGCATTTTGCTGTGAACCACTAAGGAAGGTCGAATACTCGGCCAGGGATACCAACATGCATTCTACATAGGATGCGCAGACTTATAGCCGTGGTAGGGCGGGCAGCCTTCACATGTTGAACTACCCTTAGGCAGTTGGTCGCAAGTTAACATGCTTAGCGGACGGCCTATCTGTACTCTTCCCACCATTATTCCCGTGGAAACCCCCAAAGCGAGCCGTCAGTCGGCACCCACCCTCCAGCAGTATGCAGGTTTCGGAACAAATCGTTCGATAGCAAGTGGATCGAATCTCAATTTGCAACCCAAAAGAGGGGCGGGATACGTAAGCTCGAGCCAAGCTGAAAAGTGAGGCCGCCTGCAATGTTTATCTTGACCCACTCTCAGAGTCTCCGTGTTGTGTCGTTGATTGAGGGCATGACAAGCCGCCCCAGTGGGAGGGAGCCAACGGCGATATTCACAGTTTCTACATGTAGCTTGTTCAGATATAAAACCGCGGGTCTCACCAAGGGCTTTCTAGGCTTTTTGTTGCCTCAAAATCGATTTGCCCTGTCATCTCTTATCCCTTTTTCCTGCCCTGACACAACAAGTTCAACAACATAGCGCCGGCATGTCGTTCTTCAAAAAGCTTGCTGACGGGCTTAGCGAGGACCTTGGCAACTTGGGCCTTGGGTCCGATAAGAATGACAAGAATAAGCACGACAGTGAGGCACATTCTTCCAACCGCGATGGGGTTGGCGGCCAGTATCCCCCTCATCAGTATCCGCCTCAGGGATACAGCCAGCCCAGCCCGCAGTCCTACCCGGGCCAGTACCAACCCCCACAGCAGTCTCACGGCGGCTATGACCACCCGCCCCAGCACCAGCCCTACTCGTCGCCGCCACCTCAAACCCCAGGCCATTATTCTTACCCCCCGGAGGGGGGTCCGCGCCCGCCGCCGCCCTATACCCCGCCGGCCGACAAGCCTCCGATTCCCGCGGGCTGGACTGCGCGATGGGATGACCGCTACCAACGGTGGTACTGTAAGTGTCTTCACTCCGGTCGCCATGGCCATCTCGAATTCTGATAAGCTGACCATCCACCCCAGATGTGGAGGAGGCCACGGGCCGCTCACAGTGGGAGGCTCCTGGATTCGACCACTCGGCTCACCGTGGCCATGGAGGGGACAACTATGGACATGGCTCAACCGCAGGCGGCTATCCCCCCTATGGTGCCCCTGCTTCCGGCTATAGCGGCTCTGGGGCACCGTATACCGGATACGACAGCCACCAGTCCGACTATAGCGACCATCATGATCGCGGCGAGCACAAGGATAAGAAGAGCAGCAGCGGGATGCTGCTAGGTGCCGCCGGCGGATTAGCTGTCGGCGCTGTTGCCGGTGCCGTGATCGCGCACGAACTCAGTAAGCACCCTTAAATATGGAACACGCTATAAGTCATCCTCCTTGGGTAGAAGTGTGCCTAACCACCCCACTACAGCGGAAGACTCCTCAGACGATGAACACGGCGGTCACCAAGCCCACCAGCAGGTCACCTATGCCGCAACACCCGCCGCTGCCCCAGTTGTTTATGAGACAAACAACTACTATTATGACGACGCGCCTCCTCCCCCGGGTCCCGAACCGGGCGTGATCCCCATCCACAACGCCTATGGCGAGGAGATTGATAGCAGCGACCGCGAGTCGCTCCGCGAGGCCCGGGACGAGTACGAGGAGGCGCTTGAGGACGCGGCTAGCTCTTCGGCGAGCAGCAGTGATCGTGAGGAGCTGGAAGAAGCGCGCGAGGAGTATCAGGAGGAGTACGAGGAAGCTTATTATGACGAGTAGCGCTGAGGTATGGCGGCTCAGCTTGTTCCTCGGAGGGTGCATGTTGCTAGGGCGTGGGATTGAGCCCTTAACATTCTTTTCGGGTTCCACTTATATCGAACTGGCCTGGGTTTGCCAGGGTCAGGCATATAAGCTTATATAATTCGAAAACGGACTGAATTTTCGCTAAAATCCTCATCACTCATTTTCATGCGTGCTGGGACGATTGTTGGCGCGACAAAGACACAGGGAATGGTGCTGGGACCGTCGTTGTAGCCCGCGATCTGGCGCAGTGTCATCAACACCCTTGCACCTGGCACGCGGCACACGAGGTCGCCTGGACGTGTGATGCGAGATCCTATACCGACGCTTCCCGATGCCGTGCGGTACACCACCCGGCACATCGACGGCCAAGTCATGCACTCAAGGAACCCCTCACTGGTCGCTCCATGGGCCCGTCGCCGCAGTTCGGCTCGCGCTTCCTCTGGCAGGCTGTCATACAGCGAGCCAGGGGGCGCATAACCAAGTCCCTCGCCATCATCCGCGCTGGCAATAGTCTGCCGCAGGTTGTGGTAGTCGAGGACGTAGGCGGCAAAGGACCGTTGGTGCTCCGCCAGGTTCTGCTGCGGTCCTACTTTGCTCGCTGGTTGGTCTTTTTCCCTTGTACCGAATGGCAATGCTAACGACAGCGCCTCCAGCACTGTTAGCGCATCGCATCCCTCGCGCCTATCCGGAGGAAACACCAAGTCCCAGACCCGGTCGAGCCAGAAGGGATTCCCCTTGGCCATCTCTCGGGTTAGGTTGGTCACTGGAAAGTCAGTCGTCTCCATCCGGTGGGAGACGGCTACAATCTCGTCCACGACCCAACCCCGGACGAGGAGATGCGGCATCATGGTACCCTGTATTCCCTCTATCCCTCCTTCAATCTCGATCCCGATATCCTCAGGACCGGCGGTAGGCTGCGCCCAATCTATCGGCGTCGTGCGGTTGATACTGTGCCAGTCCGGCACCCAGCTCGGCATCCTGCTTTCATCTCCTGGATCCCACTCTCTTTTTAGTTCGCATGGGTCCACCTCGTGGTCCACAAGAGTGACGGCGTACAAATCCTTCGTCTTCAGGATGATGTTGGCTGCTAGTTGTGTGTATACAACCCCGCGCGTAACGGTGTAGTTGGGGTGGATGATGAGCTGCCCGTCAAAGGTCGCACACGGGTGTCCTAGCAAAGAGTAGACACGGTCCCGAGCGTCCGTCACGCCGAGAATGCGCACCCAGTGCATGGCAGTTAGAAAATCACATTCCGGCGTCCCGTCCTCGGCTTTCTCCCAAACCATCCAGATGTGGTGTGCAACCCACGACATCAAACCCAAGTGAGTCACTAGAGATGCAGCGCGATAGTCCAGGAACTTGACAAACTGGCCAACCAACTGCCAGTCGATAGAATCAAGCAGCAAACTGTTACAATTCTCGGAATCATCAGGCGGCTTGAGTGCTGTATATAAGATGGCTTCGCGAGCAAGTCCGACCTCCTGGACAATCCAGGCGCGATGGAAATATCTTGTTTCAAAAAAGAACTTGACGGCCTCCCACTTCCCAGCCTGGTCCTCGAACTGGCGTCGGTCGTCCTCAGACAGCATGGCAAGACGCGATGGCGGACCTGTCACGGAAACGTCGTGGTGAAGCAGGAGGATTCGCGCTTCCTGAAGACCGGTCTCTGGGTCTTCCATGAAGGAATGGATAAAGCGTATGGCGTTCAGCGTATGTTGGCGAGCCTCTTCCCCTTCCTCCCAGCCAAGCCAAGCGAGAACACGGAGGGCGCCCTTGAAGATGGAACCCATCAGCTCGACCTGAGCAGTGCGCTCTGGTACATCGTCTTGGTTGATGCACAGGGCATCAGCCCAGAGTCGTCGTACTTGTGGCCTCCCTGGAAGGAGGTGGTGTCGGAACGCAGTGAGTGCTCCATGTAGATTTGCCGTCACTGAAAGTGTCTCGCTGTTTACTGTGATGTCGCGCCGTTGTCGTGGATCGCCCCATACATACGATACGGCCTCGTAAGCCTCCCCGTCAATTGCCTGGGAAACCAGTCGGCCCACGATGGGGTCTGCGGGGTTGCCGGGTTCCAGCTCAAAGACGCGGATGAATCCCGGCGCGAGAGGGCGATAGCATCCGGGGTAGTGAGGCCTCAAAGGAGGCTCAGAATTACTCGACATGGTTTTTCGTCAGGGAGTGAAGTTTCGCTACCTGCGGGTTGCTGAGTGTCGACCAGAATCGAGGAGAAGCGATGCTCCCGTCGACGTTGAGGATATGTACGGATCGACAAGATAAGAGGGAAGCCGGGAAGGGCTCCACCAATGTCTGCGGCTCATGGCGGGGGAGTCGTGGCCTCCCGGGGCTGAGGTTCAAGTTGGGCTAAACCACAGAGGTGAAAACAGGGAAGCAAGCCGAGGCAGCTGAGAAAGTGCCCGTTAGCGCCGGAAAACGGTGATACGTAAGGTAAGACGGAAAGGAACTAAGCTGAAAACGGATTAGCCGGCCTAAACGGAAGGTCTCCGTTCACCTGCCGTCACCGGTGACTGAGATAAAAATACCTAATTAGGTAAAAATTCTTGTCGTCAAGTGAATATGTATGAATGAGTTATTTGCAACAACGATGGCCGTCAACAGAGCATCCGTAGTAGATACGTACTACCTATCGAATATGCAGCGACCAATTTTGGGGCTAACGTCAGTCCGCACCAACTTTTGCGTGGGTTGCCGCCAAAGCAGCAGAACATGAACATGCGGAACATGGATAAGTGCAAGTGGGCCAACAGGTACTCCGTAGTGCATTTGGGGTTCGGCGACGGGATACGACGTCTCCAACTCTTTGCCCTCTTCACCTCACTGCTGGTCACTCCACCTATCTGGAACTCAAAGTCAGACTTGCAGTCTGGGATCACATCATCACACCTTCTCAGTCAGTGAAGGAGTCACCAGCAAGAATGGCAGATACAAATAGGAGCGAGCAGGGCATTTTCCCCGATGTTGTGGAAGTACCAGAGAGGTACCTCGCTCCCTTACAGTTTCGCCATTTTTTTGCCCTGAAACTGAAGCAGCCAGGCTTGACGAGCAACACATATTCACAACCAAGACCCTCGGCTTCCTAATCCATCCAAATATCCCTTCTCCAAGGCCCAATGCCAAGATCGCAGACATCGGCACCGGAACCGGCATATGGCTTTTTGATGTCGCCGAATCACTCCCACCAACCTGCCAGTTCACCGGTTTCGATGCCACTTCTTCCTCTTTCCCCTCACCGGATTCCCTCCCCCCAAACGTCACCTTCAAACTTCAAGACATGCACCGCCCGTTCCCAGAATCCGAAATCGGAACCTACGACATCGTCGCCGTCCGCTTCGTCAGCAGCGCAACCCCGCGCACCGAGTGGACAGAGACGATCAAGAATCTCATGACCCTGCTCAAGCCAGGCGGCTGGCTCCAGTGGATCGACTCATGCAACTTTGCCCTGTATAACTCGATCCCAGGCACACCACGTAGGGCATGCCAGGAAATCTATGACGGTCTCGAGCCGTTTCGTCGCGGGCAGGATCCCGTCATTGGACTGATGATGCGTGATGGGAGACGTGTCAACCGAGAGGAGATTTGGAGGGAATTGGGGCTTGTGGATGTGCACGAGGATGTCTTTTCAACGGATCGGTTGCAGGAACCGGAGTTGCGGTTGAGGGAAAAGGGGACACGGAATATGATCGTGTGTTTTGCACAGTGCTTGGAGAGTTTGGTTGGTGTAGAGGGAAATGGCTGGACGAAGGAGAGGGTTAGGAGGCTAGAGGAGGAGGCTATGAAGGAGATTGAAAATGGAGTTTATTGTACATTGGATCAGGTTTGCATTGTTGGGAGAAAGGCTGGGGATCAGGGGAACTGAAAGGCGGGTTTTCCGTTTGGGAGTTAATTCTTGATGTTCGGCTGACAACCGTCTCAACAATACCGATGACCCTAGGTATCTGGACAGCCGTTATGTCAGTACGGACTATAGGCTGGGATCGACTTACGACACCAACGTCTCGAAGAGTATTCATGCTGGGCTCCCGAGCTCCGTACCGAGTTGACCACCGCAGTCCTGACAGGTTTCATCGATGCAACACCCAACATCGTGAACTCATTGGAGCGAATCCTGGAAGCTCTCAAGGCCAGGCCAACATTGGTCAGGTCAAGAGCAGCTCCGGGTCCATCGTATCTTTGTTGCCGAGTCCTATTGGACGACAACTGTCACCAAGAAAGAGTCCTAAACTTAGGGTTACCCGCTGTCTCTGTAGAGGAGTCTAATATAGGACGAAGAAGTGTCACTCTTACACGCCGGCAAGTACCTATTGAACCAACCATTCCAACGTGAGTTCACTGTCGAGTGTTGGTAGGCTTTGTGGAGCCCCACTGCGGTATTGGCACGCCCCCGAATGTGCATTATGTACACCCCCTGGACTTACAACCAACTTATGTCCGACAATCGACCACACTCCCCTGTTTGAGTTGGAAGGTTGGAAGGGTTGCATGTCCTGAGGCGATGATAGTATATAACACGATTGTATGCCCTCGCCTCTAACATCTCACATGGACATGGACTTTTTACGTTCCCCTTCTCTAGGTTTCTAGCTGCTCCACTTGCATCTCTATCCTTCACTAGCAACAACGTTTGGAATCATTCGTCATGGCTGAAGACAAAGAGAAGAGCGCCGCTGCAGTTGATTATCGAAAACTAGGCAAAGATGTCTTCGAGTTCTTCACTCACCGCACAGCGTACAACAGCGCCGCGTATCTGATCCCCACGCTCGAGCGCATGAAGCAGGAGAATCCACGCCTGAGACTGCTCGACGTCGGCGCTGGTGCAGGATCCGTATCCGCCACCTTTGCGCAGATCATCGGTCCTGAAGGGCACGTTGTGTGCACGGATCTGGCACCGAGTGTGCTTCCCCAGGCCGAGGCTTTTGCCGAATCGCTTGGGGTGAAAAACATCGAGTTCAAGACGGCAGATGTGCACCAGCTGCCGTTTGAGAACGACTCGTTTGACGTTGTTCATTGCCATCAGCTGTTTGGCCATATCAAGGACCCAGTCGCGGCTCTCCGCGAGATGTTGCGAGTAACCAAGCCGGGAGGTGTCGTGGCTGCTCGTGAGGGGGATAGGGAGACCGAGATCATCTGGCCGCCGCTCCCGGGGTTGAAGAAATGGCACGAGTATGTGTCTCGGACTTTCGGCCTGTTTCTGTAACCTGTTTACTGAGCTGTGATTATGGGAGTTTGGACATCACTGATTTGAGAGTTAGCTTTGATTCCAAAGTCGCTCAGGTTCATGGCGGAACCCTCACTGCCGGTAGACAGCTTCTTGCCTGGGCCCTGGAAGCTGGAGTGAAGCGCAACCAGATTGAGGTCAGCTACGGAACATGGCTGACCTCGGAAGAGGCAACAAAGATGGTCTACGGTATGTTGTGTTATTGATCCTCAAAACCAGGGGTAAATTGTATCTGGCTGGGATGATGAAACTGACTTGAAAGTTTTATAGCCCGGGGTATTTCCAAGGTTCTGAATGGTCCCTCTCGCAAAAATGCGCTTCAGTTTGGTCTAACGGAGGAAGATATTGACGAAATCTGTAGAGACACGCTGGCGTGGGCTGACAGAGAGGACTCGACGTGGCTCATGCTGCAGACAGAGATCATCGTTCGGAAGTAACCACAACGCGAATGGGTCGCCCCGATCTAGTTACACATTTTATAGCTCTATAAACTGTTGAAGCGTTTTGATCTTTCCCCTGAGTGAATGCAGCTTTGCCAACCCCTCGTTGCCCTCTATATCAGGATCATGTCGTTCAGTCCAGTTAACGTTACCTGTTCCTATTGCATCCAGGAGCAGACGCCCCTGTTCGTTTTCCAAAAGCCCAGTACAGGATGCATCGCGCTTCCCAACAACCCGCCATTCGTCTGGGAGTCCAAGCATTCTCTCCATCAGAGAGAAGTGATGCAGCACCGTGTGCAGAAGCAGCCTGGCCTGCAGCGTCCCATGCTGGACATGAAAGCCAGCCAGTTGGAGGCCTGGCAGTGGCTGAATTTCTTCAAGTTTGGATCTGCGGAGCGTACTGGTCGGCGAGCGCTCATGATATTCACCACCGCTGGGTGGCGAGGGCGACGATGGACATAGAGGCTGGCAGAAATGGTGGCAGAGATACCGGAAGAGCTCATCACAGATTGCGACTATCTGTAGATGAACAGAAAGTAAATTCAGCTGAATCACCGTACCAAGCCGTGGTCTGTCGTTTGCATTTTCTTCGGTGTAGGACTGCATGATGGAAATGAACTCAGCCATGTACCGAAGCAAGTCTCCCAAAGTTTCATCGCTCCATGGATCTGGACTGCCGAGAGTAGGGTATGGGCTGGCTTGATCGCGAGCAGGCGAGTTGGATGCCCGGGGTAGAGCGCCCTCTGCAAGGGGCTCTCGAGCCAACCAAGGAGAGTGAGAGTCTAGTAGCGTCGAAAGATTCAGGTTTAGCTGAGACAAACGCTGGTCGCATTCTCGGACAGGGGTGAACGCAGACCCCTTCCTCAGTCCGTGATGACCGTGATATTCCTGCTCTATCTCGATAGAACCAGATTCTATTTCAGCATTGCTGCTGTGACTGGGAGGCGTAGGCTCAGAAAGAACACCCAAGGCAAAGAGGTTCCCAGAACATGAAATATGAGACCACATCTGATTCTGCGTCTCGTGATGCCCTCTATAAGAGAAGTGAGGTTCCGCATCTAGGACGGGTCCGACAGATACATGGTCGAAGAGCGTTGAAGTACTGTGACTCTCCCTTTCTGGCAAAATGGCATGGGAAGGAGGTTGCTCGAAGCGAAACGAGCCCGAAAGCTGAGATAAATATGGTGCCCTGGTCTCATCCGAATCTTGGGTTGCTGAAGCAGTAGAAGCACTTCGGGTACGACGACCAAGAGGTTGCCGGTAGCTGGTGACGCATTTCGTTCCAAGCCGGGCGCATCTGTTGCAGGGTTCCGAATCGCTAGCATGCTCCCCGCGAGGACATCGCAGCTTTTGGTGGCGGCAGCGATCGCATGCTGACCTCTTACTCGAAGAAAGTATAGACTCCGACTGAGTGTGGAATGTCATCCTCTGTCCTTATTCGATGAAACCAAAAAGACGACACTGTGTGGTCTGCACATCCGTTAAGCTTGAGCAATTCAACCCCGTTGAAGAAGGGTCTTTGAACCCATCGGTCCCATCGGATCGTCACTCCTAGGCTCCAGTCCAGGGGGTTGGGATATCGGAAACCGGCTCAACATCAAGGACACCCCTGGGGAGGTACTATACAATGCACAGTACATAGGAAGCGGGCTACAGTCGTTTGTCATCACGGGACATGGATTTTACCCCTATGTCGGTACACTGCGAAGTACGACCGAACACAAATACCAACCTGCCAGACTAGGAAACGGCTATTCTGACGACAAGCTTGTGGCCCCTGACTTCTCCTCTTTTCAGCATGCTAAGCCCTTTCCTGATTCCATCCCAGCGCCCATCAAGCTCCTTGACGGGGTGATGCTTGATCTTTCCCATGTCCAACAACTTCTGCATCTCAACAGTCCAATTACAGCACAGAGCGAAGAGGGTGGGGTTTGCAGGTCGTGAGTATGCGGTAAGACCCGTCCCTACCTGCACGGGGTTTCCGTGCCCCTCGTAACCCATCACCTCCTTTACTCGGACGGCCCGACGCGTACGCCAGCTTTCTGGCAGGCTCTCCAGGCACACATAGCGGCCCCCAGTACGCGCCAAGGCGGCGAAGCACGTGGCGACCGAGTCCGCATTGGTAATACAGTCCAGGGCGTGACGGAGGGGAACACCCGCAAGCGCGCGAACCGTTTCAACGCAGCTTGGCGATGTATACTCTGCCGTGCTGACGGCGCCAAACTCGGCCGCGAGTGGTGCTGACTGTGTCGAACAGATGCCGATAGGTTTGTAGCCAGATCTACACAATGATTAGGTCAGTCTGCATCTATGTCGTACATGTAAAGGATGATGAGAAGCGGGAACCAGTAGGGCTTCCGTGAATCAATAGGCAATAAGGAGATCCTCGGGGACTATTCCCGAGTCACCGACTGCCAATGTAACGTAAAACGTTTTAGTGTAAGACCGAACGTCGACCGAAAGGAAAGTTCTGCACCACACCACTTACAGAGCCAGAAGCTGGCACGCCATGGTTCCCGTAGCCGTTGCTGCGCCGTACACAAGCACCGGCTCTCCTTCCCCTGCCGGCGCCGATGGCAAGCCGGTCAGGCCAAGCGCTTCAGGATCCGAGAGGGCCAGTGAGGCCGTGCCCCAGCCGACCTGTCCCAATGCGGCGCCGCCAGAGTCAGACCAGGTGTCCGGCACACGGAGCAGCAACCGACTGTCGGCAGTGAGAAACTCGGCGAATGCACCACTCTGTTGTGTCTGCTTCTGCTGAAGATGGACGTCGTCTTGTGGCTGAACTTGTGTGGCAGACCAACTATAAGGAAAGGTGGCACCGCAGACCCGTGTTCCTACATCATGCACGGCATTGGTGCCTCTCTCCACCACAATCCCGCAAAAATCACAGCCCGCCATATTCCCGGCCGCGGGGAAGTGTGCCAGCATTTTGTAGTCGATGGGGTTCAGGGCTACGGCCAGGACGCGGACGACAACATGGTATGCCGACGATATGGCTGGCTTGGGAACTGTGTGTGAGACGACAACGGGGAGCTCATCGTCCTCAACTTCAAGACCATATTTGAGAGTGTGCTGCGGGGATTGGAGGATGGCGGTCTGAAGCTGTCGGGGTTCCATGTTCAGTTGCTAGAGGCAAGGCGCTACTGCCTCAGCACCGCTAGGGAAGGTGCATCGCAGGCCTGTAATTTTGATCAGGATTCACCATGTACTCAGGTATTTGTACTGCATCATGCAATGACTGAAGTCAGACCGAGATAGGAGGGCAATGTGCTCGTTTTCTCCTGCCTCGCTGCCTCGGGTTACCTGCCTTGCGACTTGGAATACAACGTCTACATGTGAAGCTTGTCAAGAGGGGTAGTCGAGAGGATCGTTTTTGCATACAAAATTTTGGCTGCACTAACAGATCTCTTCCCCATCGAAATACCGAATGGCAGAAGCGTTCCTTCCGATCGTTCTTCAGGAAGCGTGCGGCAGTACTGTGCCACACTGGGCAACAAGTGTTGCCCAAATCGGAAACCGATGCCGAATCTGCATGCTGAGGGGTTCTGAAGGGGTGGCTTTATAGCGTGTAAGTCGTGCCACTGCCCACTGCTTCACAACCGTTGCTTCCCCCACGCGGCAGGGTTTTAATGACGCGACTGTGCCGCGCGCCATTCAGCTAGCAGCGAAGGAGGACCGATTACTAGGTGGTGGGGTGGGTTGCGACCGTACCAGTTCTTTGCTTATATTACACTGCAAGGTTCAACGTTGCTGCATCATAGGTAGTAAGCCATGGGTCCAAGTCCTCACCAAATCCGCTTCCATCGAACCACCATATCACGGTCAGGGGGTAAAGACCCGATACCAGAAAACCGTTGATCGCTCTCTGCTGGCCTGTCGGAAGGTGATCCATCCATCTTGGTCCATTTGACAAACTCCATCTCGAACCGGTCTACCAGTATGCCCACCATTGTGAATATCTCGTTCTTGGCAAAGTGACGTCCAGGGCACATTGGCACTCCGCCACCTGTAAGAGAACAGCAGTTAGAATCTGAGCTGTATGTTGCTTCCAGGTTGAGCATTTCAGGAGAAAGACTGCAGACGTACCAAATGGGAAGAAGCAAGCAGCGCTAGCAGCCATGACAAACTCTCGCTTTTTGCGAACCTGACCCGATGCGTCTCTCTCCTCGACGTATTTGATGTGCCTCTCGGGCCAGAACTCGCTCGCCGGGTGTCCTGGAGCTCCCCAGGTATCTTCATCGGTCTGGGCGATGCGGGAATAGGCGTGGATAAGTGCTCCTTGTGGCACGTTGACGCCGTTGATGACCATGGGCTTCTCCGCAACACGCATAATCACCATGCTGACGCGCAATCGTAACACCTCGGTCAAGAGCGAGTTTAGCAGCGGCAAGCCCACCACCTTTTGTTGGTCAAGCGTCCGCACCCCGGTGGCAGGGTCCGTCTCGAACGCCGTGGCAACTTCTTCTCGTACGGCTTTCAGGAGCTGCGGGTCCTTGTTGAGCTCGATCAACATCCACTGAACAACAGGGATTGTGTTGGAGTTTTGGCTGGAGAGAACCCCGTTCGGTCAGCGGTTAGGCAGCTCATGGAATACGGTGACAGCACGCGAGGGAAAATACTGAATACTCACCCAAACACAAGCGTCCCCAGTGCTCCAGCAACTGACTTGCGGCGGAAGCCGGCATCGGTAAGCCACTTGGTGAGCTCACGAGAAATGCGCGTCCCAAAGTGCGGCTCCCACTGCGCCTCAACATCCGGTCCGTTCCAGTCAAAGTTCTTCAACCCGGCTTCCACGTATTTCTCGATCCTGTCAAGGAAGCGGTCCGAAGCCCTGTAGGGCTGGGGATACACCCACTCAGGAAAGCCATAGACCAAGACGGATGCGTAAGAGTCAAAGTGCCAGAAGGCATCGAGGAAATCGGGGTTTAGCTCAAAGATCTTGGGGCCAAACAGCGTTGTGATGGCACATCGAGTGAAATCTTGGCGGGTCAGCTCGTCGATGCTCAGCGTCTTCCACTCGCCGATGGGATAGCTTTCCACAACCGTCCGCGAGAATTGCCTGGAGAATTCCTCGACGATTGGTTTGATGTGATGGCTCCGGCTGAGGAAATCGTATAAAACGTGGTACTTGGCGGCCCAGTATCGCTCTTGTGGCGGAACGTGCTCGGTGCCGGGGAGTGGCGTCTCCTTGTGACCGGTCTTGTCGTTTGCAAAACGTTGGACTTCATCGTTGGTCATTCGGTACAGCCTGGGGAACCCGATTTGCACCATGATCCCGTTGTACGTTAAATCGCGAGACGCGAAAATGGATTGATAGTTCTTGAATCCGCCGAAGAGATAGACTGGCTGGGTACCCATCCAGAATCGGACGACGGGGCTTTTCTCGAGCGCCTTCCTACAGACCGAAGAGAGTCGTTAGGTACCTGACGCCGAGTACATACAGCACTGCCGGCCGGACAAGAAGCCCACATACGTAGCTCGTTTCATGAATTTCTCATTGTTAAACACGAACTGAACCGTGTTGAACAGATATGGAATCGGATCATGGAGGCTCGGGGGGGTCGTGCCGCCTTCTCCAGCATCGCTGGAGCGGGACACGATCTGGATGAAGACAAAAAGGGCCAAACCAGCAGCCAGAAGGGTTGGCACTGGCACAAACCCCGGAATGAAGTCAATGGCGTTGAAGCCCATGATTGCGCGCGCCTAGAACAAAGTTCGCATTGGATTGATAGTGTCAGTCTGCAGTCTGCAGTGAGGTTGCAGGCTGTCAGCTGTGGAGTGAGTGTCCCAATTTACGGCATCTGGAAGCCTTGTCGGATTTAGGGAATAGCGAAGTACGAAGCTAGGGACAAGGCAAGGAGAGGGGGAGCCGCGGGTGGCTAAAGGCCGGGCGTTGGCAGCATGTCATGCTTACCACCGCGTCTGACCTGAACGCGATTGGCAACTCCCAAGATGGATGTTGGCTGCATCATTGCATGTGGGTTATTGTTTTGAGGGAATAGGGGCCGCAGAGAGGTAACGTTAAGGTTGTTCGAAATGCGCTAGGGGAGTTGGCACCCCGGTTCCGATTGGCCCCCTGAGTATCGCAAACATGTCACTTAGTGGTGCGACTTTGACCCCCGCATAGCACTAACGGGGAATCTGTCGAACAAGGGTTATGATGAAGGGCGAGTGGGTCAGATGTATGTACAATTTTCCACGCATTGACCTCCCATTAACAAACTTGGCGAATACGGATACATCTTGCCTGTAGTTACAGGGGACTCAGATCTAATATTCTACAATTTTTACACTTCCCTGAAGCTTTGAGTTTTGAGTAATTCACTTACAGAACGATCATACAAGCGCCAGGCAAGAGACGATTTTTCAAGGACCCCCGCCTTGGTTGGCCTAGTTCGTACTTGGTACTACAGCCCCTGATCACGTATCCCGTACGACCAGAGGACAATCCCCCTTGTTCGTATGTGTCCTGGCCATCAAACGACTTCCACCGTCTGTCGAAGTTCGACTGTCTGCATGATAGGATTGCCCGGGGACTCATGCTCGACCCTTTCTTTGTCGGCCCATGCCGTGGTGGCGAGGTGTCGCGTGCTGCAGGACTCATCCAGCTGTAGCCATTCTTGGCCGACCTTTCTTTTATCCCTTGATGACTTCTGCCCAATCGTGACGATGTTCTGTTGGCCATTCGATCCGTCCCTGGGGTTGGTGCTGCCGCCCGTGCGAAATGTGCTTCTAAGCTTCCTCAAAACGGGAATGTCGACCAATGCTGAACGGTAGATGGGCAAACAGCAGCAGATGAGGCTGGCAGCCATTTGAAGGATCAGGTAGCAGAGCACCTGGTCCGAGTCACCAACGGTGCCATAGGCCATGCCAATACGAACGAGACCCATCACGCCGGTCCTGGAAGCAAGGTTAGCCTACCACGGCCAAGCAACAAAGCCGGATGTACCGGCTTCCAGGTTCTACTGACAAGCCACCAAAGGCAAACAGTGTTCCCAGTTTCCACTTGTTGCCCTTCGACGTCTTCAGTTCGCGGACGATGTAGACGGCCATGCCAACCATGACAAAGTCAACGGCTGAGTTTACGGACTCGGTTGCGGCGAGAACGGTTGACAGGTTGAGACATCTATAAATGATGGTGATGGCTCAGTCATTAGCCGAACTTGGGTCGCTATTCATGCCAACATCCGGCACCTCGCGTTGGGTTCAGGGCGGGGGGTTGTGCTACTTACTCGCCAGGTGATAAGGGTTCCCACGTCTTGCTGGGCGGATTACACATCCAGATGCTCGTACACACCCAGGTGATGCAGTACATGATCTGGACCGTACCAACAACATAGGTCAAGTAAACGAAGCTTCTCTTGACCGAGAAAACCCGGTGGTAGAAGATGAGAAGGCTCAACTTTGCCAGAGTTTGCTGTGGGCCGAAGAAGATCTGGAGGACATAACCTGCCTATGCTACTGGTCAGTACAGGCAGGAGTCAGGCAAAGTGTTTGGCAGAGCTCAACTCCCTCACTTACAATAATCGTGTCCCTCCATACGATTGGGTCAAATTGGGTGATATCGAAAATCCGCTTCGTCCCGCCTTCGATAGCGACGACGACTAAGGCGCAACAGGTGTCAAGAACCGAACAGAGCACACAATGAGGACCAGAAAACCGGGCAATCTGAAGGCGACTTACGGATAATGCCATAAATCGTCCAACCCAGGTAGGGGAGCAGAGCAAGAAAGGCAAACCAATCCTCGAGACTCATTTTCCTGCGAGAACGGATGATCACGAGCGCCCGGATGAGGGTGACCAAGATGCAAATCGGTAAAGTGACGACGGCGACCACGAAATTAGCGCCCTGGTTAGGGTCCTCGAAGACTCGGAACGCCATTGTGGCCGGCGGAATGCGATCAGAGTCGCCAGAGCAGGATGATTGGTGATGCCGACGATCGTGATGGGTGTTGTAAGCCTTCAAGAAGGCTGAGAGAGAAGAAGGGCAGACTAAGGATGAAAAGGGGGGCCGTATCCACATTAACACACACAGGCAGACACAGCCTTGAGTTGCCCTTCGGCCCGTTCCAGTGGCCACAGGTACGTACATACAATACCATACTCTCAGAACCGCATTCTCAAACGTACGGTAGACCTTGGACAAGCAGTGTACCACAGTACTGAAATTTGATTACTCAAGTCGCATCCCTGCTCGGATTCTACCACACCAAGATGAACGGGGAAACAGCCGAAATCCTTCTATACCACCCTCCCTGCATGCACGTTCGGAGGCACACTAGGACCTTTGCATGCAGAACTTGGTGTATACACACCAGGGGTGTTGCTCACCTCAAATGCCTTCCCGGTGTTAACATGTGTTCGGGAGGGTTTATGTCAGACCCGTTTCTGACCAAGCAGGCTGACCCCTGACTTGAACCGCGTCTTGGACTCTTGGGTGCGTTAACTGCGGTTTTCGATTCGTTTTTCTGGTCCTCTACGCCACATCACAACACAAACAGTGTCCACTCCTACCACGACAAAATCCAAACAACTCCCAGTGGATTTGGTTGTATATGCGAGGACATTGTTCTCGGCAGTGACCTGCCAGAATCAGATTCGGCGGATATGGTTTTCGATACCGTTCGGTGCTATTCGGCATGGAGTTCTGGGCGCTGCGAGTACGGAGGCTCGAAGGGAGTCACTACCGGTCACGGTATGGCACTAACCTGTGGCAGAGTGGGGAGAGAGATCCAGGAAAGGACCGACGATCTGGACCGTGATGGTAACTGGACGCGGGGAGGGTGAAGAAGCCTACCATTCAAGTTCCCCGCGCGCATCGTCTTTCGGACTAAACTCCGTGCTGGCCCTGACACAACAGCACAGAAATGCTGAAACTGTCATCGGCTTTGGTAGCATCTTGACTTCACAGTTCCGTCAGACACAGAGGCCACCATGTCTCTCCAGCCAGGCGAGCCCATCGCCATTGTGGGTAGCGCATGCCGTTTTGCCGGTTCTACGAACTCGCCCTCAAAGCTGTGGGACCTCCTGCGTCAGCCCCGGGATCTCCGCCGCGAGGTCCCAGCAACTCGGTTCAGCGTCAGGGGCTTCTACCACCCTGATGGAAGCTACCACGGACATAGCAACGTCAGCCATGCGTACATTTTGGACGATGACGACGAAAATGACCCTAGTAAGTTCGATTCCGAGTTCTTTGGCATCAAGCCGGTCGAAGCCAGAGCGATGGATCCTCAGCAGAGGGTTTTGCTCGAGATCGTGTACGAGGCGCTCGAATCGGCCGGACTACCAATAGAGCGCTTGAGGGGCAGTGATACAGCTGTCTACGTGGGCTCCATGACGGATGATTACACGGCCCTGTTGCTCCGAGACCTCCAGGACACACCCACGTACACGGCGACTGGAACAGCTCGCAGCATGCTTTCGAACCGCATCTCGCACGTGTTTGACTGGCGCGGGCCCTCTGTCTCGCTCGACACAGCATGCTCCGCCAGCCTGGTCGCTGTTCACTTGGCCGTCCAAACCCTACGAGCTGGCGAATCGAGGACTGCTGTAGCCTGTGGCGCCAACTTGATCTTGGGGCCTGAGAACTTTATTATCGAGAGCAAGTTGAACATGTTGTCCCCTGACGGACGCAGCAAAATGTGGGACCAGGGGGCAAATGGATATGCCCGTGGAGAAGGCGTGGCCGCTGTAGTGCTCAAGACGTTGCGCGCTGCGCTAGAGGATGGCGATCATGTCGAGTGCATCATTCGGGAGACTGGACTCAACCAGGACGGAGCCACCCCAGGGATTACCATGCCCAGTGCAGCAGCACAGCAGGCGCTAATCCAGAAGACATATTCCAAGGCCGGGCTTGACCTGGCGCAACGAAGTGACCGTCCTCAGTACTTTGAAGCCCATGGCACTGGAACGCCAGCTGGAGATCCCGTCGAAGCTGAAGCCATCTACAACGCCTTAGGGTCGCTACCCCTGAACCCTGGAGAGCAGCCCCTTTATGTAGGATCCATCAAGACCGTGCTTGGCCACACCGAAGGAACCGCGGGTGTGGCGGCCATTCTCAAAGCATCACTTGCGCTTCAGCACGCCTGTATTCCACCAAATCTCTGGTTTGAGACCCTTAGCGCCCGCGTAGCTCCGTTCTATAAGAACGTTGAGATCCCTGTTGCTTCAAGACCGTGGCCCCCGGTAGCGGCGGGGGAACCGCGGCGAGCAAGCGTCAACAGCTTTGGCTTCGGGGGAGCGAACGTGCATGCCATTTTGGAGAGCCACATTGCCGAGTCAAGGGTTAGCTTGCCCACTGGAGGCAGTCTGCTTTTTACCCCTTTTGTATTCTCGGCGTCTTCGCAACAGTCACTTACTGCCACCCTTCGAGCACAACTTGAGTTCCTAGACCAATACAACAACAACAACAACGAAAACCGGGAAGACCTCGACCCTCATGATCTTTTGTGGACATTGCAACAACGTCGATCCGTCCTGGGGTGGCGGATGGCTATCACAGTGCCTGCATTGGAAGAGTTACCGGTCAAGTTACGCGCATGCCTCACAGACGGCGCCGCCAGTATCGGGGTCAGAGCATTGCCCGCTTCGTCCAATCGCATCTTGGGTATTTTCACCGGCCAGGGAGCCCAATACGCACGCATGGGCGCTGAGCTCATCCAGCATTCCGAGACAGCACGAGGCATCATCCTGCGGTTAGACTCATACTTGAGGGAACTCCCTGATGGCGACAGGCCTGCCTGGTCTCTGGAATCCGAGTTGATGGCCGATGAATCGTCATCCAGGGTCCATGAGGCTTCCATCTCCCAGCCGCTTTGCACAGCGGTTCAGATCCTCCTCGTCGACCTACTCCGCCTCGGCGGAGTCCGCTTCAGCGCTGTAGTCGGCCACTCGTCAGGCGAGATCGCGGCCGCGTACAGCGCAGGATTTCTGACGGCTCGTGACGCCATTTGCATTGCTTATTACCGCGGTTTCCATCTTCAGAAGGCCTCCAGTCCTCACGGTCACCACATCAAAGGGGCCATGCTGGCGGTAGGGACCTCGGCCGAGGATGCTACCGAGCTTTGCATGGACAGGGTCTTCAAGGGCCGCATTGTTGTCGCCGCCATCAACTCCCCGTCCAGCGTGACCATCGCAGGAGATGAAGATGCCATTACCGAGCTTGAGACTATTCTGGAAGACGAGAAGATATTCTTCCGTCGCCTTAGAGTCGACAGGGCGTACCACTCGCCTCATATGCTTCCTTGTGCCGACCCCTACGTTGAGTCGCTGCGCCGCTGCGGCGTGACGATGCAGACGCCCAAGCCAGACGACGCCACCTGGTTCTCCACTGTTTACGAGGGCATGACGGGCGGTCAGGCGTCTAGCTTTGGAGCAGAGTACTGGGCCGCCAACATGACCAAGCCGGTTCTTTTCTCGCAGGGCGTTAGCTTCGCGATAGCAACGCAATCTTGTGATCTGATTGTCGAAATCGGTCCGCATCCGGCACTCAAGGGACCTACGAGCCAGACCATCCAAAGTGTCCTAGGCAAAGAACTTCCATCCCACGGCACCCTTTCACGTGGGGCAAGTGCTGTTGAGGCAATGTCTTCTCTCTTTGGCTTCATTTGGATGTACCTAGACTCTTCTTGCGTGAATCTCAACGGCTACGAGCGAGTTATGAATGGCGTGAACCTGGATCGCCGCCCACCAAGGCTTGTCAAGGGTCTGCCGACGTACAGATGGGATCACAGCGTTAGATATTGGCACGAGTCCCGTCGCTCCAGGAAAATGAGACAGCGGGTTCACAGAGTCCACCCCCTGCTGGGAGATGTCTCGCCGGATAGCACTTCCCATTGCATGAGCTGGGATCACTTTCTTAGCGTCAGCGAGATGGAATGGCTTGACGGGCATCGCGTTCAGGGCGGTGCTGTCTTTCCTGCGGCAGGTTATGTCTGCACTGCGTTGGAAGCGGCGCGCTTCGTTGCAGAATCTGTGTGTCCGGGGAAGAAGATCTGTGTCGTTGAACTGGGCAACTTTACGATTCATCAAGCAGTTACGTTCGACGGCGTCGCCAAGCGTGTCGAGGTGCTTGTGTCGATGCACGATATTGAGCGGCCACAGCCTCATCGGATCAGTGCTACATTCAACTACTCTGCCGCGCTGGGCAGTCAGCAGGACGACCAAGAGCTGACCCTCGCTGCGAGTTGCCGCGTCCACATCGTCGTGGGTGACACCGCCAGCTTTTCACTCCTCCCCACTCGAAAACCCGATTCTCCAAACATGCTCGATGTGGAGACCGAACGCTTCTATGCTGCCCTGGCCGATCTTGGCTACGGATTCAGTGGCAGATTCCGATCGCTTTCAAGCATGTACAGGAAGCACGGCAGGTCGACCTGTCAGCTGGAGATGGCGCCGCGAGAGGAAGGATATGAGAATCTTCTTATCCACCCAGCCGAGTTGGATGCAATGCTCCAGTCCATCATGCTCGCCCGTAGCCATCCATACGACGAGGAGTTGCGGAAAATGCATCTGCCTACGGCGATACGACAGATCAGGGTCAACCCGTCGTTGCTACTTGACGGCGCAGCCAACCTCAAGCAAGTTGGGATCAAAAGGGCTGCTATTGATAGCGTTGTGCAGGAGCCCGAGGTGGAAGCGCGTGGAATCACAGGGCATGCAAACCTGTATAGCAGGGCCTCGGCACATGCAGCCATTCAGATTCAAGGGGCGACCTTCATGCCACTAGGAGGCATTGGGCCCGAGGACGACCGTAAGGTATTCTCCAAGGTCCATTGGGTCCGGAGTAAACCAGACGGAGAGGAGGCAGCGCAGCAAATATCCCTGGACAAACAACACTACGAGACGGTGAAGGTCCTCGAAAGGATCGCCGTATTTTACCTGAGAAAGTTTAGCCGCGAGTTTTCTCTCGAATCCGAATCTCTCGCAAAGACAACATCCGAGGACCACGCTCTGTATCTCAAGTTTGCGCAGTATGTCGCATCCGTGGCCGAGAGCGGTGGGAACCCCTGGATTGAGAAATCCTGGCTTGAAGATACGTTAGACGACGTTATGGAGGCAAGCAAGCCATTCTCTCACATTCCGGACGTTCATATGATGCACCTTGTCGGAGCAGAGATGCCCAAAGTGTTTGCCGGCGAGACAACGATGCTGGAGCAGTTTCGAACCGATGGCAAAAACATCCTGGACAAGTATTACACTGGTGGATTCGGTGTCCGCGACTCGGCTGCTTGGGTCGGCCGGACTGTGAAGCAAATCGCGGACCGCTATGCACACATGAACATTTTGGAAATAGGTGAGTAAACAATGGATTACCGTAGCAACCATTCAGGGGTCCCCCCTTTTTGCACCCTTGCACACGTGCACTGATACGCTCCATTTGCTTGTCAGGGGCCGGCACCGGTGGAGGAACAAAGGCCATTTTCCGCGAGATTGGTGATGGATTCTTGACTTACACGTAAGGCAAACCTCTCTCTCCATTTTCTCGTTTCGAGTTGTTGAACTCCTGGGTTTTTGCGATGCTGAACAACTTCTCTCAGTTACACCGACATCTCCACCGCCTTCTTCGAAGATGCCATGTCAACCTTCTCGCAAAACAAGAACCGCATGAATTTCAAGACCTTAGATATAGAGCGAGACCCAATCGAGCAAGGCTACACCGAGGGCTCATACGACCTGGTTGTTGCCTTCCTGATGCTCCACGCAACCAGCGATGTCGGGCTTTGTCTGTCGCGCGTTCGCAAACTCCTCAAGCCCGGGGGGTTCCTTGTCGTGGCAGAAGGTCACGATGCGTGGGAGGGGTTTGCCCGGGCGGGCTTCATCTGGGGCACTCTGCCAGGTTGGTGGTTGCGAGCGGGCGAGGGAGAGCAAACGCGTCTTTCGCCGCACCTGTCGCCTAAGGAATGGGACGAGCAGCTGCGAGTGAGGGGATTTTCTGGCGTGGATACCTGCCTGCCGACCACTCATCAGCAGGTGTTTAGCCAGTTCTGCTTTGTCTCACGCGCTACGAACGATCAAGTTCGCTTTCTGCAGCAGCCCCTTTTGGAGTCGAGGTCATCGTTCGCCCGCGACCCTATCCAAAAGCTTGTCCTTGTCGGTGGTGACACAGCTCGGACACGGCACCTCGTCGAGGGTCTTCAGAGCATATTTGCTGCCAGGAATGATCTTGCGAGAGAGATCTACCACTTCACGACCCTCCTGGATGTTGACTATAGCGTGGTCGATGCCGGCTCAACCGTCGTGAGCTTAACCGAGCTTGACCGCCCTGTCTTCAAGGATATTACACCCGAGGCTTTCGCGTCACTCAAATCCATGTTTGGTACCGGTAAGACTCTCCTCTGGATCACTAGCGGCCGGCTTGAACATGAGCCTTTCTCCAACATGACGGTTGGATTCGGGAACGTAGCGGTCAACGAAACTCCCGACTTGCATCTTCAACAGCTCGAAATCAAGGATCCCGTGAGCACCCGTCCTGAAACGATAGCCGAAATACTTTTACGTTTCCACAATAGCACCACTATGAAGACAGGCAAGCTTGTTTGGACAGTTGAGCCTGAAATCGTGCTCGACGAACGAGGCCGCGAGATAATCCCGCGCATCCGCCCTATCCCGGAGCTTAATGATCGCTACAACTCGGCAACGCGGCCCATCGTGCGCGAGTTTGAGTCTGGAAAGCTGCCTTCTACTGTCGTCTTGCAACGGAGACCTGCGTCAGGGGAATTTGTTCTCCGACGACAGTGGCCTGACCCTGAAACCCAGGCCAGTGAGCCTGGCATCGAGTTACGCACAACCCACGCCACGTTATTTGCAATTCCAACTCCCCTAGGGCACAAGTTTGTGGTCCTCGCGCAAGATACGGAAACCAAAGGCCAGTATCTTGCTCTTGTTTCGTCGTCAACGTCACTTATTCGACTACCCCAGCGGTCCATCGTCCCTTGTCCTTCTTTCCAAGGCTGCTCTGATGCTCAGGTCTTGTCACTTGTTAGCACCCATTTGACAGCAATGCACCTCCTGCACCCAATGTCCGCTGGCCAGACTCTAGTAGCACACAACCCCTCGAATGTGATGGCCAGGGCTCTTGAGATACAGGCTGGCATAAAAGGAGTGAGGGTACTCTTCACGACTGAGGCCTCGAACTCGGAGGCTCCCGAAACATGGGTTCGGCTACCTGGATACGTGACGCAGTACGATCTGGGGGAGATGCTGTTACGTTTCAACCCATCTGCCTTTGTTGGTTTCGTCCCCGACGACGACAGCACCGAAAAGGGAGCAAATCAAGCAGCGCTGATAGAATGCCCGAGGAACCGTTGCCAGATTCTGACGACGGTGGGCGCGATATATTCGTCAACCGGCTCTGATAGCGGGCTGCCCTCAGATCCTCTTCTAGGAGAGGTATTGAGGCAAGCTCTGGAGTATGTCAGGCGTGACCTTGACTTCCGTTCAGAGGGGCTTTATCTCCCGAATGCTGCCCCCCGGGAGTCATTCCGCCTCAGCGACATCGTTCGCGGACACGTTCATCCTAACGACCCGCTCTCTGCGGTGGACTGGACTGCTGCGGCTGATAATTTGCCTGTTCATATCTGCAGGCTCGACAGCAAACCCATGTTCAAGAGCAACGCCAGCTACTGGATCGTCGGCATGTCACGGGCATTGGGCCTTTCGTTGGCCGACTGGATGATCAGCAAGGGGGCTAAGACCCTGATACTGACAAGCAGGAAACCGGATATTGATCCCAGGTGGATTGCATTGCATCGTGCCAACGGCGCCAATGTGGTGATCTTGCCTTGGTAAGTGAGGGTGCCCTGACTTTACAAACCCCCACACTGTTGGGCCGTAGCATTAACATATCTGGTGTCCTCAGTGATGTAACCGACGAGCCTGCCCTGAGAAGTGTACACGCCAAGATCTGCGCCTCCCTGCCCCCTATTGCAGGAGTCATCAACGGCGCCATGGTGTTGCGTGATACAACCATTTCCAAGATGACCTTTAACCAGCTCATGGACGTCCTCCGGCCCAAAGTCGATGGGAGCATAAACCTGGATCGCATCTTCCATGACACGGATCTGGATTTCTTCGTCCTCATGTCCTCCATCAACAGAGTTTACGGGAACCACGGCCAAGCCAACTACGCAGCGGCAAACTCGTTCATGTGGAGTCTCGCCGCGAACCGGCGGAAGCGCGGACTTCGCGCCGCAACCGTCGACATTGGCGCCATCATCGGGGCAGGTTATTTAGCGCGGGAGCTGCGGAGGGAGCTGGATGCTATCGTGAAACGGTACAATATGTTGCGCCTGTCCGAGGAAGACTGGTGTCAGGCCATCTGCGAGGCTATCGATGCCAGCCGGCTGGAATCACATGTTGGGCCTGGGCTGACCTCTGGGTTTGCCGAGGTGGCCATCGACGCGCCCAATCCCCCGAGCTGGCATTCGAATCCCGTGTTCTCGGCATTTGTTGTGGCACGGGGGGCTGTCCAGGAGAAAGGCGTGGTGAAAGCGGGCGTTGAGATTGGGGAGCAACTGCGTGCCTGTCAGACACTGGAGCAGGTCTGGCAGGTCGTTGAGCGTAAGTGCGGTGTCGACATGCTTTGTCAACGGTTGAATGAGGCTGACAGCGGTCATAGGCTCCTTTGCCACTCAGATGCGTTCCATCCTGCAAGTGACAACATCAGACGAGCGGCTGATGGCCATGCGAAGCAACGAACTGGGACTCGATTCACTAGTCTCGGTAGACATCCGCTCATGGTTCCGCAAGAATCTGCAGGTCAATGTCCCAGTTCTGAAGATCATGGGCAACGACACATTGGCAAGCATTGTTCAGTATGCGGTTGACAACATACCCTCGGAGCTGGTGCCGGGGCTGGCTGCTGTCGACGGCATATCAGACGCCCAAAGCAGCGGAGACCAGACGCTCCAAGCTGGGTCGGACGACGAAGGCCTATCCACACTCAATGAGAAGTGGGAAGCATCAGCAACCCCCACCAAAGAGGGAACCATAAACTGGGAACTGGAGTCCCGCCCGCCTGCAGACCTGGCCGACATGCCCGTCCTCCCCAGTCCCCAGCGGGCCCGCAACCCTCCCCACGTCGTCGTGCTCACCGGCTGCACAGGATTGCTCGGCCACCATCTCATCTCCTATTTCCTTGCCCAGCCCACCATCGAGAAAGTCATCTGCCTTGCCGTGCGCTCTCTGCCATCCCGCATCAAGAACGGCACGCTTCCCAGCAACGACCCGCGCGTGATCTACCACGCCGGCGACCTCTCCCAACCACTCCTCGGCCTCTCCCCGTCAGAAGCAGCCGACATTTTTGCCTCTGCCGACGCAGTCGTCCACAACGCCGCCGACACATCCCACCTGAAATCCTACGCCGACCTGCGCGTGCCCAACGTAGGCTCCACGACCGCCCTCGCACGGTTATGTCTCCCGCGGCAGATTCCGCTGCACTATGTTTCATCTGCCGGGCTCGGGCTGTGGCACAAGGACAAGACCGGGTTTCTACCAGGGCCCGTCGAGCTGGCCCCGGGGTGGCAGCCGGACGGTTCGTTTGGGTACCTGTGCAGCAAGTGGACGTGCGAGCGGCTGCTGGAGCGGGTGAGTGCAAAGTGTGGGTTGCCCGTGTGCATCCACCGCCCGTCGACTATTGTGCGTGAGGGGCGGGATGCGATGGATCACAGGGCGGAAAAGGATTGGATTAATGCGTTTTTGGTTTATGCCCGTCGGCTTAAGGCCGTGCCGAGGGCGGTGAGGAACCAGGGAAATTTGGACCTGGTGTACGTTGGGAGCGTGTGTGAAGCTATCATTGAGCAGCTGTTTGGCCGGGGTGGTGAAGATGATACCCCTGGGGTTGGGAGTGAGTCTAACGGGGATGCCGAAGGCGGAAACGTCACGTATGTCCACGAGGTGGGCCACAGGCGGTTGCCGCTGGGGGAGCTGCACCATGTTATCAGTCGGGACAAGGACGACTGCGACCCAATGCAGTTCAACGTGCTCGACGGAGAGGAATGGCTTGCTCAGGCTACTGCTGCGGGGTTGCATCCAGGGGTTGCTGCGTTGATTGAGTCCATGATTGATGAAAAGGAGGACTACCCCAACTTGTTGAAGGGGGTTAGATCCGCTCGCGGGTCTGAGATGGAGGCAAAATACAGGTAGTCCTGGAGTCTGGCCCTGATCCGATCCATCTGTTGTATATAGAGTACAAATTGAGCCTGCCATTTGTATTTTTTGCCCCCTGCAACCTCATGTTGTGAGATACTTTTGCAAGATCTACATTCAACAGGTCCCGCTAACTGATACCGTACCTACGAGGCTACCAGGAAGAGGGGGGTCCCTGACATTACTGGGTTCATTACAATTCACCTTGGTATCAATTTATGTACCTAAGTTTGGTACGATGCGTTGCTAGTAGAAAGTATCGAGGTACATGTAGGTACTACTAGTAGTATTTGCGTCCAGTCCAGTGTGCTCTAAGACTCTGCGAAGCATTCATCGCGAAGAGCTAGCCCACCCAGCAACCTGACGCTGTCCGGGGATTAATAGAAGAAATAAACACAGCTAACCTGACTTCTCGTAGGGCCTTCCCCGGACGCAACTCACGATCCAGCAAGCAAAGGCAACAACCGCAATCAAGCTAGCAGCAAGCAAAATAAAGATCTCATCCCACCTCAGAGGTCTCCTCTGGGCCGAGAGGGGAGGAGCTGGATCGTTTAACCTCGTATCAGTAAGGGTTGGTGTTGATCTTGGAGAACTTGAACTTGAGGTTGCATAGTAAAGTTCCCAGTAGTTGTCCTTCATATTCCACGTTCCATTGTCCAACGCTTGTTGTGCCGTTCCGATTGTGATGTTGCAAGTATCAACCAACCAGTTCTTGATTTGGTTCTGCTCATCCGTAGGGCACTTGGTGTGGCAGTCAAACAGGCTGCCATATGAACAGATGCAATTGCTGGTTTGTGTGTAACAGCCGGAAGCGAATGTCTCGTCGTCAAGGCAATTACGTGCGCACTCTGGCAGACTGGAAAAGTCGACTGGCTTGGACATCTCGGGACACACTCCGGCAAACCAGTCTTCAAAAGCCCACCATCGTCTCCATGCACAAGCCCTGTCAAGCAGTGTCAGTTGCTTAGGGTTAGATCAGGAGCTCTGCATGATTTGACATACCATCCGCACCACAGGCCGGTTTCAAGGTTGCAGTAGCAGTCTCTGTCAAACCCGCCTGCGACGCAGTCGTCGTCCATCTTGGGATCACAGTTGTTGCCAAGAGTGGCGGTGGCATTGGATTTCCAGATCGTACACAAATCCGCGTCCGGCCAAGTGTAAGAGAAGTTCCGGCAGTAATCTTGGCCACAAGCTGGCATGGTGGAGGCGTCTATATCACCACCCAAGCTGGAATACCGGGCAGCTTTTGCTTGGGCCTCAGGGGCCCCCTGAATCCCGTTATGGAGCTGTGCGGCGAAGCTGAGGTAAAAGAAGAAGACTCCTAGTCCATATGTTGAGAGCAAGAGATTGCAATTCTGCGAATGTCGCATTGAGAGTGTCATTTTGTCTGGTGTTGAGCGGCAGTAGTCTCAAATGCCTCAAGGACGTCAGGATGGGCTGCTGGGGAGGAGAGGCAGGTCCCAGGATGGTGCTGGCCTGGCTTAGTCGAAATGGAATATACAAGAAAGATGTATCTCTTCTCAAACAGAACTGGGTTGTGCCAGATTCACAACCGGTGAAACCCGCGGAGGTTAAAGCTCGGGGCTATGGGTAGTGCATTAGTGCATGGACCCCGACATGATGGATCTCGACGTGTCTGCTAAGTTTCCGCGGATGAGGCGGCAACCTTTCAAGGCAAGTCGATTCAACTCGACCGGAAGTTGCCATTTGCCCACCCCAGAGTCCTTCTCAACCTCCAATAAGATAGCAGTGTTTCCTGTCCACTCAAGCCATTACTCGGGTCCAGTCTGGTCAAACGAAGGCTCTGGCCGGGCCGACCTACGGATATGACTAGTAACGTGCATTACCATGGTAATGGCGCCGAGGAAGAAACCCCGTTGGGCAGCAGCAAGCTTCTCTTTACATCCGCCACTGCGTTTCCGGTAGACGTGGCGACAACGATCGCGGACCGCAACTTCGATCCAGAAGACAATTCGCGATGCGGAAGCCCGGCACATGTGGTGGCTTTTGTGACCAAAACCATGGATGTTAGCCACAGCTCGGTCACCCAATGTACGCACACCTATGTGTGTGCGGGGATAAAGCACCCCAATGAAGAGTGCAGTTGGGGACTCGGGGCTGAGAGGAATACGCCTATTTTCATTGGGTTTGCGGAGACCTGGGGAGACCGGTGATCCGACATCATGCCGTTCGCTTGTTGACTTGAGGCTCTTGCATTTTGGGCATGAGCATGATGATCATGGATGGGCCAAGGGTTCTCAACTATTTCCTTTGAAGTTTGTTCCCTTCATTGTCTCTGCTCTTCCCCGGAAAAGCATGGTGACCTGAAGAGGACTCACCGTTTTCATGGATATTTCACAGTGCTTTGGACTCTTGTTGGAAACTACCTACCTACCTAACCTACCCACCTGCCTACCTATCTACCTTACCTACCAGATACTCAAGCTTGGCTGGATCGACAAAAATAAACGTGTGCAAGCATCCAGTGAATCACATGATGGAAGGCACTGGGGGTAAGTTGAAGTCTACTATCTGACTGTGTACATTGCGGCGAGTCCAAGGGCTAGTACTAACAAGAAAACCATGGTTGAGCAGTCCCAGACGCTGGCACCGTTGCAACCGGACCTCCTGATGCACGATGGAGCCGATGGGCCAGGGCTATTCCGATCTTGTTTAGGAGTGCAACGCTGGTGCACCTTGCCAGCTCGTTGTCGCCAGTCGAAGCAACTTTCAGCCTATCGAGATGCTGCGTGGTCGCTGTGCGGGAGAGCCTGTCAACGTATAGCGAGGATGCCCTCCCATGGGCTGTCTGCAACTTCAACAGAGACATCGACTGGTCCAATACCAGCGCGACATACGACTCGGTCAGCGTAACATTGTCCTGGGCCACGGAGCACTGCACGGAATACTGCTCGGGCTTCATACTCAGCACACTCCGTCAGTGGCTCATACCGCTGGTGACATACATTTCCCCGTACATCGGCATCCTTCTCTTGTGTCCTGTTGGCGATGACATCAAAAAGATCCCAATTAACAAAAAAATGAATGGGGTTGTCCAAGGGTTCGTGGCCGCCCTCAATCTGGTACTCCAGTACGTTCAGGAGTATGTCAGCATTCTGGGAGACCCCGCAAGCGCCGTCTTCGGGGCGTTCTCCGAAGTCATCGGAGACGCAGTGAGTGTACGACGCATTGCGCAGAGCATGCATATCTCGGAGTCGCGGCCGGAAGAGGAAACACGCGAGAGAACACGCGAGGAAAGGGTCCTGTGGGTTTCCGTCCTCGCAGGTCAGCTCAAATTCAACAAAGAGACGAACTGGAAATCCGTTGCCGAGGACATCCTCAGTCCACCCATGTCGCCGGCGATGACCACGGACACCCAGCATCCTCGACCGCAGCAAGCCCAGGATCTCATCGCTACCACCCCTTCTCCCTCTCCTCCCATTGACAGAAGGATCTCTGATGAGATCAAACCCTCCGAGAAATTCCTACCCACTCCTACCGTCAGCACCGACAATACCACGGCCCGGCAATCAAAGGCCACGGAACTTGACAAGGCCATCGCCGTCCTCCTTGTCGCGCGAGGCAAGTTCTCCATGGGCATCTTGATCCCAGTCATCCTCATGCTTGCCGCGACCGCCGCCGCCTTCTACGACGCTTACTCGAGGCTGGGAGATCGAGACACATCCCTCGCCCTCGCATACTGCGTCTGGTACTCCTGGCTGCTAATCCTTGGCGTCTGGGGCAACTGCTATGCGGCGGCAATGAACTCAGACCTTGCTCGCAGGGCCTTCTCCGAGATTGTCCACTTTGGTAACGAGCGGGCCGTCACAGTCTCGCTGCGGGACCGCTATGTCAACAGCCAGTTCTGGGACAACTGGGCCAAGAAGATGAGTGGAAGACGAGAGTCATTCAACAGTGACAAAACACAGTCTGACATGGACAACAACCCTTTGACCTGGAAAAGCTGGCTTCACTTTTGCATCGGGCAATTCCTAGGCTGGTGCTGCGTGGGCGTCCCTTCGGGTGCTGCAGCGGCCATTGCCTGGAACACTCCGACCATCGGTCTCGGGTGCAGAGCCTTCAACGTCTTGCTCTACGGCGTGTTATCGTTTGCCGTTGCGTATCTCAACGTTTTGCGGTCCTGGCTTGTGCTTCGAGACAAGGTCAAGAAACCAGAGCATTCCGAAAAGGGGTACCGACAGGCGTCCACGCATTACGTCAGCCATATTTACTGGCTTCTGACATTTCTCAATTCCATGGTCATGGTCCTTGGCACCATCTTCCATCTGATTGGCGTTTTCCGCACTTGCTGGTGTGACCGACTGGTCTGGACTGACGACACCCGGATCGAGTTGAACAATAGGACCCACGAGTCCCTGGACCATGCAAAGCGCTACTGGCTTTCGACTGCCTATGTTTCCTTCAGCATCGTGTCCTTGATTTCACTTGTGGGAATTGTGTTGCGGCACAATATCGCCCAGACGATGGGCGATTGGATCGATCGTTGCAACCGTGATGAACAGAGGCGAAGGGAGGAGGCTGACAGGCTTACACAAATCACACGACTGACGTCTGGTGGGGCCCAAATCGGATGATATGAACTGCACTCTTGATGAACCATGGAACCTCTTAAGTCTATATGAATGGATGGAAACGTATGACCTGAGTGCATGTGCGACCTCAGTGGTACCTAGGTAGTTAACACATGTCCAACATCTGACGCACTGTCATGGTACCTACCGGGATATTTGTAGTTGAGATGTGTGGGACAAGTAGTTCACCGAAATCAAGTGCGACGAATGACGCTGGCGATGCTCCCTGGCTCACAGTACTCTGTCAAACACACCCGAAGCCCACAATAGTCTAGAATATACGACTGTCAGTAGGGGGACTGGTGTATAGGGCGCTACCGGTCAGTTCAAACGCGACATTAGTAAGGTAGTTTTATCACAGCTTCCTTAGCCTGGCCTGATCCCCGGACCGGCTGTAGTACACGTTGCGTGCCTACATATGGTCTGGTAGGTAGGAAGGTTATATAGACGAGCGAGACCATCGACAAACTTCATTGAGCAACTCGGCTCACTCGTTGAGGAACTGCAATTGTCTTGCTTTTCTTTATTTCTCCTTCCCCTTAACCCCCATCTCGTCATTCCGGTCAGCCCAATCCTTCGGCCTTCAAGTTTACCACTCATGATGAAGTACGCCTTCTTTGTAACGGCGGCCTCATTGTCACCTACGCTTGCCTTAGGCCGTCTGAGGATTTCTGAGTCATGCCGTGTCAGTACCGAAAGGGGCTGAGTACCTAGTCTGCTGTAATGCCTACTGACCTGATGAAGGATATAAACCTTGGATCCTGGCCAGACGGAGGAAAAGACCATTACTATTTGGAGGCAAAGATGTACCAAGTGCGCCAAGTCACAAGATAACTATGACCTGCTCGACCTTGGCAATTGTATTGTAAACGTAAATGGCAAGATGGTACCACGCGTCGGGTACGCTTACTCCATTCGACTTGACCCCTTAACATCCCAATCCGTGCACTGAATCTGCTCTCACCTCTATCTCCATACTGGATATGAAAGAGACCTCCATACTAACTGTTATTGTGCAATCATTCACTGCAGTGGAGGTTTCTGGGGATCTTGCGGCTTCTGCAAGCTCTCGGGAACTGTTTTGACCTGCCTGTGCCATGATGATGCCCGCCGTCCCGTTGGGGCGTCGATAGACCTAAGTGAGTAAAGAGACCACATTCCTCCCCCTGTATTCCAGGATCTCAACACAGTCTGCTTCTCATTCGCTGTTGCTGCCGCTCTTATGGCTGACAATTGACCATAACAGATGATTTTGTGTTCAATGATTGCGCTACTCTTGGTTGCGCCGACAGGATCAGGGGCTAGGGGATGTGTTCAAGATTCTAACACATTCGCCACAATGCTTGACAAGACAACACGCATCCTTGAGCTTAGATTGTATCGGCAATGAACCAAACTGTATGACGATGACAATGGCCGAGTTGAATCATGTTATTCTATACTAGTAGCTGTGGGTTGTCCGTCATGGTGAGTGTGTTGCTAGGAAAGACTTGGAACCTATCTACTATTGTTGAAGCCATCTAGGGGTTCGAAACCAGGGAATTGGGAGGTTCTCAATGAAATCAAGTCCTCGAATTGCTGTGGCGATTGCCGTGATAGCGTGCGCATGTGCAGTGTTTTGTCACGCTACGAAAGACACAGCTAGGTGGTCGGATGGAATTACCCCTGAACAGCCGGGAGGTGCAGAAAATACTACCCCTGAGTGCCCATAAGAAAAGTTGCACGTAAGAGTTTTTGATTGCTCCAACTACTTCTAGATGCCATGATGATAAAAGAGACACATGAACCTACACCAGTGGGCTGAGTGTTAGTGGAAGTGCCCCTGATACTAGGTGGTGACACGGCGTCAGGGTTAGGGTTTACCCTTGAAAGCACTCTGCATTGTCTGCAGTTGGATGAGGCGTGCGACTCGGAGCAGGTATGTAGGTAAACTCGGACGGAACAACTCTTGAATCAGGATAGTAGGCCACGTAAGTATCCCAACCGTCTATAGCTTCTCGAGTGAAAACATTCAGCCTGCCACGGCAACCTCCGGTCGAGTGGCGACCCTGCAGAGCCTGCTACATGTAAGTGCCTAGTTGGGAATACGCGTATCCGATCCCAAGTGGGTCCCGCCTACTTTAAGCGCAGTGTTGCTGACGTCGCAGACCAATGATTCCAGCTGTCTCGACCCGGATATTGAAGCAGAAGACCGAATTAACATTCCCGGCCCCACTACAGCCCAGTTTAAGTTATGCCGTCGCAGCACTTATACGCGTGTATCAGGGATGGACGATCCGAAGATGGTTGCTATCTGCGACCTCAAACAGGAGAAATATCTAGTATAAGAAAGCCTGGTGAGGTCGTCCACTCGAGACCATGGCATTCAGATGTTCACAAATCCCAGTTGATGCCAACTTGATCTCTGCAAACGAATTGCGAGGCCATCTTTTATCGCTGCTTCAGTTTCATTCGGATCCCCTACACACCCAGGCAGCGCCGAATCCACCTCCTCCGGCACTCCCATATCCATATACACACGGCGGCAACGATGTATACGACCGAGCTGCTCCCGAGAGGAGAACTCAAACCGTACCGAGGCAACTACTACCTGTGGCAATATGTTCCATCTTTGCCCGCTGCCATCATATTCACCATCATCTTCCTGGTCTTATCCGTCGCCCATACCTGGAAAATGTGCAAGAAGCGGATGTGGTTCTGCCTTCCCTTTGTCATTGGTGGTTATTGTAAGTTGTTGAGTCCCAACCAGTCTTGCATTCCGTCCACCATCATATCCAGACGCCCACCTTCCTTGCTGTTGATGTTCACCTAATGGTGGGGGGATTGGACGGTGTTCCAGCCCACAAGATAAACCCGGCATCCGGCTAACAGACGACGTTCCCTACAGTTGAAGTCATCGGCGTTGCCGCCCGAGCCGCGGCCGAAAGCAAGACGGACGTGCTCATGCCCTACATCCTCCAGTCCATCCTGACCCTGGTGGCGCCGTCGCTGTTTGCCGCGTCCATCTACATGACCTTGGGCCGCATCATGCGAGGACTCGGGTCCGCAGCCGAGTCGCTGTCCATTATCCCTGTCCGGTGGCTCACCACCATCTTCGTGGTTGGCGACGTCTTTTCATTTCTCATGCAGGGCACAGGCGGCGGCATGATGGCGACCGAAGGCAGGCAAAAGCTCGGGGAGAACATCATACTGGGAGGGCTGATTGTCCAAATCATCTTCTTCGGCTTGTTTGTTGTCGCCGCCGTCATCTTCCACGTCCGCTTCTCTCGGTACCAGTACAGCAGCATGGCGCTCGGTGGTTCGCGTTCCAACTCGGCCGACACGTTCGGTTGGAATGGCATGCTGAACATGCTGTACGCCACGTCGGCCCTCATCCTGGTTCGCTGTATCTTCCGCATCGTCGAGTACATTATGGGCCACGACGGATACCCCCTGAAGAATGAGTGGACGTTTTATGTCTTTGATGCCACGCTGATGGCCCTTACTATGGCCGTATTTTATTGGTGGTATCCGTCCAGCATTCAACGGTCGCGCAAGTTTCGGGCCGAGAGCGGCACCGAGAGCAGCATTGGTATGATGGAAAGGTAGATTGGCAGCCAACTCTGGTGCGAGAGCATGTTTACATTGTTTCAGACTGGCTAGACGTGAGCAATAGCAACATGAACTTCCGGCAGTTGACCTCTCCTACCTGTTTCCTTGGATAGTGCTAGTAGATGTTGACGTCGGGAACTAACAGTTAACAGTCTTAACAGGTACCCCGACTCAGCCGACTGGTTCTGAACTACGGGCGGTTCAAGTTATTGAGATATTAGATATGTATTACTAGATAAGTAATGTATGATAGAGGTCTGGTACTATTAAATGCTCCCGTTCACTTCATGCTCCTAGAGAGACTATCATGTGTGTAGAAGGTGCCGACGTTCAGTTTCTTCTGGACATGCTACCCGATTAATATTGCGTACGTGACAGCCGACATGGGGAGACTATCAAACTATAGCTTTCTCAGGTCAAACCACTATAGGGCCATTTACAGCGCCATTCCGTGCCCATTTCAACAACCTGAGGAACGCTGGTCCCATAGAAATACAGTGCGTCTTTCTTCCTCTGACTTCTCACACGTTGAAAGGCTTTACAGTCGGCAGTTTCTCGTACGTGTTGACTTTGTTGCTCTCACTGGAAAGCAACATATTGGGAGTATGGCTATAGGTCACGGGTTGGTCCCTCAGCAGTACTAAGGTATGTAGGCAGAAGTATGTCTGCGAACTCGCTGGATAGAAGACAGGTTTTCAGACAGGCATCCAACAGTCTTTGTGGGCTTCAACTCCCTATTCTCATGGTGAGTGCGACTGTCTGTACTACTAGTACAAGAGAATAAGCCTGGCTAACACGCTCACAAGTCCCAGGCTTTCTTCCCCACCATGCCTCAGCCATCGGCCGAGCGAATGAACTGGACTGTCTTGGTGTATGGGGTTGCGGTTCTGTTCAATTTGGTGCGTTGCGGTACTGATAGTCGGGACCTGTTGCGGATGTCCGGAAGAGCGTGTGAAATGCGGGTTATCGAGATTCGAGCCTTGAGCTTGCAACGCTTATAGAAAGGGCGCCGCCGTTAACCCGGGCGTGCAATCACGTTATCGTATGCCCGGAAGATCGCCCTTCTGCGGCTGTTGACCGATCGACCATTTCTGTCTCAGGTTGTTGGTTTGTTGCCCGGTGACCACTGGCGCGAGGCGCCACGCTGCCAATAGCCAAGTGCCTTTCGCAACTTACAATGTGCTGGATTATTCTGGGGAGGGAAGTGCATGGCAATCTGTGGCGTACGTTACGTGAGGAAGGAGCAAAAAAACGAGTGGAACCACTGTATTTATGGGCAGACAGGCACGCAGCTCACTGCATGAACAAACCTCATTCAACCGCCGAATCGAGTCCTCTCCAACACCTGCGTTCTTCACTCACAGACCGTGGTACTTTACCCCGCGCCGTTGCCAGCAGTTTGGATCGACAAATCTGAACTGCCGACCAGCTGCCGACGGATTGATTGATTGAGCTGGTGCGTTGCGCATGACGTAACTTATCCCAATGCAAGCCCCTGACCAGCTGTTCTTTCCTCTTACACACCGGCTCAATGTTGGCGAAGTCACCTGCGTCTGCATCGCAAGTTAGAACAACCTGAAGCCATCACCAACCAAGAAAGCTTTACTTACGCCTAATCAATTGATTAGTTTTTATTCCTGGTCGCGGCACATTATTCGATTTCCCTGTTGAATTCCTCTCTGGCGAGGATTCCTTACTTGCACCAGACGTACACCACGCACGCCGTGGTACCTCAAGTCATCATGCATCTCCTCCTCAACGTTCTAGCGACATCTCTAGCGCTGTAAGTTCCATGCGGGCACCCACCCCCTCATCCACACTCAGCTAGCCTGGCTGCTCCCAACCCTCATTCAACAAACCTCCGTGAACCCTCTACAACCCCGGGACCCCACTAACCGCAAAACCCATATCCTAACCCAAATCCCAGAGCCGCCCCGTCACTCAGCCAAGGCATCACAGCAACGCCAACAATCGAGTCAGTGTCCGGATGCCCCGCCGTGGTGTCGACGACACACGTCTGCTCGACGTGCATGACGATACAGTGCGTGGCGTCCGTGACCATCACTGCGGGTTGCGGCACCTGCCCGGCGTCGCCTCCCACCATCTACCGCGGGTACCCCTGCGAAGAGGGCTGTTCGGCCCTGACCGGGTGCAAGCCTGTGTACACGGTCGTTACGGCTGCTGCTGGTGAAGGGGGTGAATGTGAGTTTGCTGCTACTGCTACTACCACTTCTACTGCAATTTCAAGTGGTGCCGCGACCGGGTCTGGTACTACTACTGCTGCTACTTCTATGTCGTTTGGGGAGCAAAGTACGTGGAGCAGTGGTAGCACAAGCAGATCTGTTGACGTGTCGGTTAATTCTGGTATAGGTTCTGTCACGGGCACTGGGTCCACTGCGGGCTCCGGGCCTGCGTCCACCGGGCCGGTTAGCGTTAATGCCGCGGCCCGGAGGGTGGCGCTGCCGATGCGGCTGTGGTAGTGGGGTTCATGCGGGGTACCGTGGACTACCGTGGATACCCAGTTGATAACCGTGTCGTGTTGGGTTTGCGACTTGACCGCGATGCTTTATTTTTAACGAGAGGAGTTGGATTGAGGCTTCGGTTTGATGGGTTCGGTGTGTCTTCTGGAAGTTGAGAAAAGGGTATTTTACTCTTTCCCTCTCATCTTGGAAGGCAAGCGGGATACCTGGGTTGTTTCTGACAAGAGGTGCATCCGCCTCGGGGGTTCAGTTGGGAAATGAAGGGAACTCCGTGCTGGATCTTGTTTGCTTCTGTGTCATCGTTTGTCATGACCAGTTGCCGCTTCCTAGAGACGATTAGTTGACTCTGTAAAGTGTGGGAACAATCATTTGGCTGTTAGGCCGCACAACAATGATGGGCGCCACGGACTCCAGCCGTCAAGCTGATGCCGATGAGATTTGCCGGTCAAGTCAGGGTCTACTGCTAGGGATGCCGCAGGAGGTGGGCTCTATAACTAACTCAGGTACGTAATAGCAGACAGCTGGAGGAGTCATGTTCTAACTTCACGTTCTAGGTGCCCAGGTAGATTCTTGAGTCGCGGTCGACGTCGTCACGGATAGCCAGTACGGGTCAGACTCCGAACCAGGATTTCAACCCAACATCCAGTTGAAGACCAGACAGTATTTTCACGATCCCCTACAAATCTTCCGAGACAGGTACACTCCTCATGCATGATATAATTCCACGTCTTTGCGAGTGGCCACATTCCGGTATGCGAGAGCCTCCAATCTCCGATGCTACCAAGTAAGGGGCATGGCCCATGGGGAGGAGAGCGGACTGTAGCATTGATCAATATCAGGCTAAATGGAAAACATGGGATGTGGTCCAGCCCTAGGACGGCCGGGATTAAGGGGCTCGCTAGCGCGGCTGGGTGGATCTGGAAGGGCACCAGCAGCCGGGTTAGGAACCCGTTTAGCGTCGCCTTGGCTTCCCGATTTGCACCGCGTAGGAGGCTCTCCGAAGAAAACTGGGCTACTTCGCCGTCGAGGACGAACGACGGACCCGACTTCACCTCCTCGAGCATAGGCCCGTCGGCTTTGGCGGTCCTGCCAAGCCGGATTCCATCAAGTTCTACGCCGTTTACCATGTTTACCAGGCGAATGACGTGCGTGTTTGGTGCGCATAACACGTCCTTGACTGCTACACTGCAGTGACTTCTAAGGACGAATGGATGCTTTTCGTGGGTGGTGGGGATGACGAACCCGCAAGCCGAACAGGGGCATCGTGCGGTGGACCCAGGAAACTGAGGAAAGGCACCCTGTGGCCATACAAGTACATATAAGACGAACCATCACCAGACATATCCCACCGTGGTTTGCACAGTCCGATAACCTCAACACCATCGTCACTGTTGGGCCACTGTCAAGATGTACAGCACAGCTTTCCTGGCCGCGCTTCTTGCGCCTGCCGCTGTCAACGCACAGCTCAACGACCTTGCTGTCCGGGCCGGCCTCAAATACTTCGGTACAGCCCTCGGCGAAGGTTCCATCAACAGCGACTCCCAGTATGCCGCCATTCTTAGCGACAAGAGCATGTTCGGCCAGCTCGTGCCCGAGAACGGCCAGAAGTGGGATGCCACGGAGCCTTCTCGCGGACAATTCACCTACACGCAAGGTGACATCACGGCGAACACGGCCAGAAGGAACGGCCAGGGCATGAGATGCCACACGCTGGTGTGGTACAGCCAGCTGCCCAACTGGGGTGAGTGGCAACCGCGTGTCCTTGTTGATTACCTTACAATAAGCATCTGAAATTTACTAACCGCTGATAGTCAACTCGGGCTCCTGGACCCGGCAAACCCTGCAGTCCGTCATCGAGACTCACATCTCCAACGTGATGGGCCATTACAAGGGCCAGTGCTACGCCTGGGATGTGGTCAACGAGGCCATCAATGACGACGGCACCTGGCGGCCCAGCCCGTTCTACAACACCTTCCAGACGGATTACTTCGCCATTGCCTTCAACGCGGCCAAGAGGGCCGACCCCGCTGCCAAGCTGTACTACAACGACTACAACCTCGAGTACAACCAGGCCAAGACCGACAGGGCCGTCGAGCTGGTCAAGATCGTCCAGGCGGCTGGTGCCCCCATTGACGGCGTTGGCCTCCAGGCCCATCTCATCGTCGGCAGCACCCCGTCTCGCAGCAACTTGGCCACCGTTCTGAGACGATTCACTGCTCTTGGTGTTGAGGTGTAAGTGTTTCCAATGCCTCACTGTAGGCTAGACAAGAGGAACTGACATGTGCGGCTTAGGGCGTACACGGAACTCGACATCCGGCACTCCTCCCTCCCTGCATCATCCTCCGCCCTCGCCACCCAGGGCAACGACTATGCCAACGTCGTCGGCTCGTGCCTTGACGTGGCCGGCTGCGTCGGCGTCACCGTCTGGGGCTTCACCGACAAGTACAGCTGGATCCCCCAGACCTTCCCCGGCACGGGCGCCGCCCTCATCTACGACTCCAACTTCAACAAGAAGCCCGCATGGACCTCCGTCTCGTCCGTCCTTGCTGCCAAGGCCACCGGCAACCCTCCCGTGTCGTCCTCGACCAGCACCTTTACGACTATTACTACGCCGCCGGTTACGACCACTACTACCTCGGCCAGGCCCACGTCGACTAGCTCTGCCGGCGGCCCCGAGCAGACTCGCTGGGGCCAGTGCGGTGGTAATGGATGGACGGGCCCGACGAGGTGCCAGAGCCCCTGGACGTGCCAGAAGCTTAATGACTGGTATTGGCAGTGCTTGTAAGGGGTGGATGGAGACCTAGCCAGAGGTAGGTGCCTCAGGTACCTATCGAAGCCTGTCCGGGAAGGTGTATCCGGTCATATTTGCTGGCTGGAAGCGGTGAGATTGAGAAAAGGGGTTTTGGTTCTTGTATCTAATTCACTTTTATCGTATATACCTTGATAAGTACACATTCGTATCACAACATTGCTATTGTTATTGAGAACTCTCAAGTCATTGAGTGAGACCAACCTGTAACTTGATCTCTCTGTGCTAGAATGCTTAGGTGACCCCCTGCTGGTAAGTGTTAAACCCCTTTGTATATGCTCCGGGTGCGCTGCCAGTGGGCCGTGTAATCACTAGCAATCTCAAAACCCGCAAGCAATTGAATACACCTCATTCGCATCAATCCATTCATTGACGACCTGCTACCTAGGTAATTTACCAAGGCAGCTTCTCTCCCGTATACAAAAAGAACCCCCCACTATCCTCCCCCGACAGACCATCCAAAGTCCTCAAAACCCCCCTCGCACTATCCTGCACCTCCACCACTGCATTCGGCCCGCCCATCTCAGTCTTGACATGTCCCGGGTCAACCGCCACAACTACCATCCCCTTGGTCGCCTCCTCACTAGTCAGCTGCCTTGCCTGGTGCACCGTCAACATATTCAACGCTGCTTTGCTGATACTATAAGGCGTGATCTCGGCGTTGATCCTTCCATCCGCGACCAGACTCAAACTGCCGATGCCCGAGCTGATGTTCGCCACGCGCGCGTCGGCTGCTAGCAGTCCCGTCGACAGCAGTGCCTGCAGCACTTTCGCCGGGCCGAGTACGTTGCTGGTTATGTGTGAGGCGAGGGCTGTGGAGGATAGGTTGAGGCTTGTCTCTTCGCGAGAGTGGAGCACGGCGGCATTGTTGATTAGGGTGTTGATCTTGATGTTGGGGTTGGATGAGGCTGAGGCTGTCTTGATGCGCTCGGGGAGGCGGGCGACGGAGTCTTCAGAGGAGACGTCGCATTCTAGGATGTGGACCGCGCCGAGGGCGGTTTGTTGGATTGTGAGGAGATGTGAGAGGTCGCTGTCTAGGCTTCGGACAAGGGCGAAGATTGTGTTTTCTTTGTGCTGGGAGAGTTGCCGGATGTATTCACGGCCGATGCCCGCGCGAGCACCAGTGATGGCGTAGACTGGCATGTTGACTTGGGCCTTTCTAGGAAGAAGACGATGTTCCTATGCCACGGAGTGTCTGTGAAGTTTCATCATTCACGTCCAAGGAAAAGCCTACAGGTCCTTATATACATGCTAACAGTTCCCCACGGCCTCATGTTTTCATCCAGTCGTCCTAACTCCGGAGTTCATGACTCACATCAATCATAAGTCCGGTGTAAGTGGGACGCTCTCATGTATGTATACGTACGTGTAGTCCCATCCTAGATGGTGATGAGCATTAATAATTGGTGGGTTTAGCTTCTACAGTCTTCGAACTGCTTGCCTAGGTTACCTTGGCGACACGGAGTTTCGGGCCAACAGCCGAAAACTTGCGAAGACCGTAAGACGGGGCAATGGGTAATAACGGATTCAAAACTTAGGTACTACCAGGGCCTCATCGAAGCATTTCATACCAGATGTTTTCATTCCCAGAAAAGTACAAGTCCGATCCCACATGCAGCACAGTACATAGGTAAGCAAAGCTACAGCTATTCAACAAATATCCTGCGGCGAGCTCATCAACCTACCATCGATCCTGACGTATGGTATTCGTCTGGTAAACCGCCTTCTGCACTTGAATCGCCCCGCCGGGTCCCGGAGCTGACTGTGGGCCTGAATCTGAACGCTGTATCCTTGTCCTCGTCGTCGTCCCCAGACCCAGGAGGCGTTCCTCATCTGCAATACCAACGGCTGCAAAGGCCGGGTCATCATTAGGTGTCAGACCTAGACAAACAGATCAATTAAAAAGGAAAGAAGACGGATTACTCACAAGTATTGTCGTCAGTACTGTGGCCCCTGCCGGCAGAGGGCACGTGCATATGAAGCTCATAATCCATTTTATCGGCAAAGGAGTCGGCGCTACCCCTCTTCTTGCCGGCCGGCCTCAACTTGGAAGAAGCGCTCTTATTGGAGCCCATCATCTGCAAAGCACGACCACCCGAACCACCGATCGTGTTGGGGAGGTAGCTTGTCGTACTACCCGTCGCGCTGGAAGTCAGACCCAGCGAGGGGAAGTACTTGGAGATGAAGGGCCGCAGCGTCGGCAGGCTGGAGCAGGTCAGGGCGGAGGCCAGCTCGCCGATGGACCAGCCCGATGACTCGACGTGTTGCCAGGTGACGTCTCCGCCGATATCGAGGAACTTGATGCGGATGACCGAGATGGCGACGGTGAAGAACCCCAGAGAGAAGATGCCGAGGAGCATGAATTTCTGCCGTTTTTGCAGGCTCAGGTGCTTGATGGCCGGCAGCGGCAAGAGGAAGATGGCCACGTCAGTGACGATGTTGCCGCCGGCGTTGACGTAGATTTGCGGGGCGTTGGGCATGCAGTCGGCTGCGATGGTCTTGTCCCAGAGCCCCTGGATGGGGCGGCAGATGAGCAGAGCGATGAGGACCTGCGCGAAACTCCAGGCGCCGACGACGATGATGGCAATGATGTAGACGACGCGCATGCGCTGCAGGGCAAAGATGCGGTAGTATTGGAGGAGGAAGGTCATTTTGGCTGCGCAAAGCCCGGCGTGGTAGAGCAGCAACGTGACCCAGAATGTCTGGAGAAAAGGGGGGCCACCGTCAGTGAGAGCAAGACAAGACTGAAAGTAACCAGGCCAGCAATACCTTCCAATAAGTCGGGATCAAAATAGGTGGCTGAACAGCAAAGATGTGTCGGCCGAGACCATACTCGATCCCTAAGTATGAATCCTGAATTAGTCACAGGTTCAAGACACAAGTGATTGCAAGTCACGAACCCACTGCAATGCTGATGCCCTCGCCCCAAGTTATCACCAGCGCGATGATAGCAGCCCAGTCGTCGGCGCCCATCTTGTTGATGATCACCTTCCTCGTCCATATGCGCAGACCCACCATCACGGTGGCGAACAAGAGACAAAAAACAACGCAAAAGATGACCAGCCCGGACCTGTCATCGTAGTAACCGGGAATTTGCTCTGGGGGGATGTTGGGAGGCGCATTGGGGTCCGCCATCTTCGCGGTTAGCCTGGTGTTGTGTTATTGGTATCCTTCAGAATTGAACAGGCAAGGGCAGGGTAACCAACATTTCCAGCGGTTAGCGTCATACGCTCCGGAAAACAAGAATGGGAGGAAACCCCGTCTCTAGCACAAGGGTCAAGGAAAGAGCAACCCATAAGCTCGGGACGGCGGGACTGTTTTATCTGCCCTGGTGTTTCGCACACTTGAAGATTCGACTCAGGCTGAATTGCCATGTGGGAGGCAGTCCGCGTCCGAGAGCGTGGTCCCTCAGGCAAATGCCTTAAACCAACACAGGCGATTCTACACCGAGATGCAGATAAATCCATGATGGGCTAGCACACTGTCAATGCGTTTGCATGCGAGCCAATATGATTGGCAAAGGCTTGACAAGGCTTGTCGCGACTTCACTCATTGTATTAATAACCACTCACACACCCACACCCAGCCCTTCAAAAGTTCAACAAATTGTCCCGTCTGCAAGACGTTGCATGTCAAGTGCGGGGCTCCTCATCTCGCATCCAGGGTAAGATCACGGCCCGTGATAACCCCTGGTTTGTTCGCTAGCGCCTGACTTGAGGACAGGGGTCAACCTTAGAATTCAAATCTCGACAGAAACACGGCGACTCTTTGAATAGGCAAGAGGGAGAAATAAAGCGATCATCCCGAATATTGCTAGATACCTTTTTTTTCGCGTTGGAACATTCCCTATGGCTGTTGAGATGCAATTTGTTGAAATTTTAGAACCGGAACCCCTGTCGTGAGTTCCATGCTAACAAACAAACCAGTGTTGTTGTACTGTATGACAGGGGCACGGACACTTGTCCCGCAAGCTAACGATTTGTTCCGCGTCTTGGCGGCGTCCGAGATCGATGTGATCGTCGAGCTTGACAGGTTCCACATCCCGATTTCAAGTACCGACTGCTTGGACCGCCGTTTTCTACGTCGGGTGGGCATCGACATGTTACATTAGACTTCACACATAGGATGGAGCAGATGCGCATCATGATGGTGAGAGAGACACTGCCTAACGCGGACACCGGCGAGTCCGGCGGCTCCGGCCAGTACATAAATGATAAGCTCCCTGTCATGATGCTCATCGGGTGTTTTTAGGTAGTCTCGTGAAAGTTGGAAGCGTCTTTTAAGTAGTGAAGCGGTGAACTGCTGCGGCTATTGTACTAGTTGCTTCTCTTAGTCCAAGCAAATGCAAAAGCCGCCGGTCCCAACGAGTCCACCAGCACCTAGCTAGGGGTTTATTGTATTAAACCGTACCGTGTCGCCATTCTCTATGCGTTCGGCCCATTTGCCCACCCGCCCCCCCCATATCCCATCGCACTGCGAGATTGCTTCAAACAAGTCAATCTTACTCTCATGTCCATCAACCGGCCACTCTGGCCACAGCTCCTTCAACCTCGCTTTGTAAACTTTCCGTAGCTGCGTTGCCTCATACTCCATTATGTGCTCATAGTACAGGTCACACTTGTCGTTATTCTCCAAACCATAGGGAACCTGAGACCCGTCATACTTCGGATCTCGATCGCTGTATCTGTCCCTCTGCGGTTCTTCCTCTCGCGTCGGCCCCTCGAGAAACTTGGGGAGTTTGGCTGACATCCAGAGAGGCAATGCCGAGACGCATTCCCAGTCCAGGACGGCTGTGATCTCGCCTTGTTCATTGACCAGGATGTTATCTAGATGGAGGTCCTGGTGGTAGAGTGCTGACATCTCCGGCTCTTCCATGGTCCGAGGACAGACCTTCGAAACAAGAGCGAGTAGCTTACCCGCTACATACGTCGTCTCCTCAGCGCCCTGTCTCTCGTCTTCGTCCTTCGGATGCTTGAGGAAATGGCTCTCCTGTTGTAGGATAAAGTTCAGTAGGGCGCTCAGCCAGTCATGACTGGACCGGAAGGGACCCCGCGGGAGATGGTAATAAAGCCGGTCGCCCATAAAGAACTCGTGGGCGACAAGAAGACCGGGAGCGACTCCTCTCGTATCTTCAGTGTCGCTGATTCCACAGAAATCCAACGTCCCTATGCCTTTGAATAGGGACTCTACCTTGCCGAACCCAGACAACTCGGCTTGGAATTTTGCCATCTGCTCTGTGAATGCAACCTTTTGCTCCATCGACATGGCCCGCCATCGGGCCTGCGCCGGGATACCGTTCATTCGCTCCATCAGAATCCATTCAAAACCGATGGGATTGTCGTTGCTGTCGTCGAACCCGAACACCTCGGGGACTGGAATCGTCGTGTTGTAACGTACCCACCGCAGAGTAGCTACCTCGGCGCGTGTCTTCTGGCCTGGGTAGACGGGTAAAGAGACGCGTATTATCAGAGGACGCCCGTGCCTATTGGTGCAGTCGACGTAGTAAAGTTTGTTGAAGATGCCGGATGTGTGGAAGGTAACGTTGCAGGCTTCTTCCGGGGGGATGCTCAGTTGCTGGCGGCACACCTTCTCAATCGCCGCAATCGAAGGGTCCCGCGTCCACTCCGGCACCGTATGAAATAGCGTCTCTGTCCAGCGCAATCCATCTTGGCTCGCTGGCGGCATGATTACTGTAGTTACCGTCGATGGGGTGCGAAGGCAGTTTGATGATGAGATGCGTAAACACCAGACGTTGGTGCTTGCTGACAGAGGATCGGTTGTCACGCTATAAGCAGATAAATTGAGAGGAAGTTTCCACAAGGAAGGTACTACTGTATTGTAAATTCACTGTACTGTACTAATTTAGGCCAGGGTACCGGTAGTACTTTCCTCGTCAGTGCGTATTGGCCCCTTTCGAGATTTGTTTACGTCGGCAAGATGAGATGGAAGACCACGGCAGATTGCCAGTTCAGTTAGGAAGGAGCACCTGAGCGAACAAGACAGGGCCGATTTGAGTGCCAAACTGCTACAAGTGATTTTTATCTGAAAGAAAGCCAAAATGAACCCAACTCGCAACTGCCAACCATCATCAGCAGCAGCAATTACTCAAAGACTGCAAACGCCATCTCTGCAAACGATCAATTCGAATCCACAATCAGCATTCGTCCGGCAGCTCACCCCTGCAAAATCGATTAGCGCTCGAACCCAAGCACACGCGAAATCTGATTCAGGTCACGCACCGAGGCACGCAAGCGGACTGTCGCCGCAAGAAGGTCTCTGGGAGCTAGTCGGGGGCCTGGCCGTCGTCCGGGTGCTCGCGGGGCGGCTGGTCGGCTGGCGCGTAGGGAAAGGCACCGACGGTCGGCGGGTGGTGCTGGGAACCGGCGCGCCCCCGCCCGGTGCCGCGCCACATGCGCCCGCGATGCAAATCAGCTGGCCGTCGCAGTCGATCTCGGTCTCGCATGGGTCGCCTGAATGACGTCCGGTCAATACCCCTACGAACTGTCAACCCCTGAAAATGAACGCACCTGCGCAATGACCAGTCCACTCGCAAGTCGGATCCGGAGCGGGCCGCGTGGGCGTCGGCGTCGGCCTGACGGTGACGAAGACGGTGGTGGTCCTGATAACCGAAGTTGGCCTGGGCGGAGTTGGCCTCGCCGATGTGGTTGGTCGACGGGTCGGGGTCGGGGTCGGCCGACCGGTTGGACGTCGGCTGCTGGTTGGCTGGGCGCCTCCTGGGTTGGCGCAGCGGCCGGATCGGCAGATGAGGTCACCGTCGCAGTCATTCTCGGTCTCGCACGGATCGCCTGCAGAGTTGCAAACGTGTCAGCTCAGGTACAGTCAGTCAATAACTAAGGGGGAGGGCAGGCCATACCAAGGCAGTGGTCTTCCCATTCACATGCGCTGCTTCCGCCTCCGCTTCCGCCTCCGCCGCCTCCGCCCCAGGGCCAGTCATCGCCATTGCCCCAGTCGAACTGTCTAGCAACAACATCAGCTGCGGGTCCCGGGATGTGCGCAGCTCTCACACGGAGGCCGTAGGCCAAAACACCAAGCAGATAGGCCGACTTCATCTTGACAGCTGTATAAGCAACAATACTTGACCCGACTTCAGAGTTCAGAGTACAGAAGACCGGCCAAAGGAAGAGGTGCGAGGGATCTGCGCCCCTTAAAATAGCAACCAGCAGCAGCCGAGTCCAGACCCCCTGGGGACAGAACCATCCAACCTCCCGTCAGCGATCTCGGAGTGTGCCGAGCCATTCTCAATTTCCCGGAGCTGACGTCGCCCTCACAGCCCGTGGGCTAGAACAAATGGCTCTCGTTGGCTGGCCAGATTCGAACTGATGATGTTTAAACAAGCTCTTATACATGCCGTGTAGAGAAGACGCGAGCGGTAGCCGGCAAAACACCACGCTCTACCACCCGGTTGGCGGATCAAGATCGTCAGAGTGTCCCACAAGGTTCCGGCTCGTTTAGCCAGAGGGGGCCGGACCTGCCAAGAGCAGCACGGCCGGCATTGCCCCCGGGTGATGTTAATTGCAGAAATTTGCTCGCTGGCCGGTTTGGTGATTTGGTCCAATAACACAGGTGCGTGTAAATCCGGGGGGGCTCGAATTTGCCGGGGAATTTCCTGGATGATATCGGAACTCGGGTGAGTCTGCGGAACGAGAATCTGGGGTGCATGCAAGAATCACGTACCGGCCCAGACCGGGACCAGTAGAGACGGGAAAGGAGCCCTCGGTTAGGGCGACGACTAATCAACGTGAGTCAAGGCTTAGTGGACAAGGCGCCCGGCTGCTGACTGTGTTCGAGTCCAGTATCTTGGTTCATCACCAAGTATCCCGTTAGTACATTTCACTAGACTATGTAGGCACATCCAAAAGCGCTGCTAGTCAGGGGTAGGACCTCACATATCTAATACCAGCGGACACCACCTAGTAGAGGACTGGAAGGGGGGGTCTCTGACTGTACGGTCTGTCTCATGGCATTGCAGTCTGGCACTAGCAAATTGAACTGTAATGACAACATTATGGTACCTAGCCGGTGTCAAAATGTTTCCTTAGCCGGAGTCCTAATGTTCATATAATGATAGGTAGGTACTTGCTAGTGCCGGACTACAAATGTTAGGGGGGATGGTAATGTTCCCTGTACGGTCAAAGACCCCCCCTCTCCCTGCTAGGCACCCCTTAGTTCTTCGACTCAATCTAGACCAAACCAGGGGCACACCGGGGACACTGGACTCATTTCAATTTCAACCAGTCCACAGCTCCGGGCCAGGCGGCCGATAGTCCAGAAGTCTCATCTCATCCTCCAGCCCCCCATATATGCCGCGAGGCAAGTAATTGAAACCTACATGTAAGGAAATAGAACGGAAGAACAAGGTCAGTACCGTCACTCAATACTAGCCGTGATAAAGGATATATATAGAGAATATCCGCTTACCCGGGTCGCCGGGCTGATAAGTGCCCGGGAACTTGGCAAATCCCGTTGGAGTGCCTCCGCCCGGGCCGATGATGTTGATGTGGGCGCAGTTGATGAACCACTGGCTGTGGTCGGTGCCGGTAGGCCAGAACTGCTCAATGCGCATCAGATACTTGCCCGGCGGCGTGGTCGCGGGGATGGTAAAGTTCCACTGGAAACATTAGTATTGCCCTGTCATCAGCTCGACTTTCTTATGATCTTTCTTCGCATCATAGCTGAGGGTACATAGAAAAAGAACTCACATCGGGCGTGCCACGAAGCGTCCACGTGCTGTTGGAGGCCGGACCTGCGTAGGCAATCTTGAACCAGTCGCCGTCTCCTCCTTCGTAGCTCTCCAGGTCGTCGTTGGGAGCCCGGGACAGGTAAATCTGCCCCGGGCCGTCATGATAAAAGTAGCTCACCCCGCAGGCGTATTCGGGAGCATAATGGTTCGTGCAGTTGAGGGACCACGAAACGCGGAAGCCCACCTCGGAGCCAGCCAACACATCGGCCGTCTCCGTCTTGGCCGCCCAGTCGAACGCCCTTCTTCCGCAGGTGATGTTGGAGCTGTTCAGGTCCGAGGTTCCTTGTGGGATGGTCTTGGGGTATTCATCAGCGGGGGAGAGTCGCTCCATGTTCAAAAATTGGGATACGTCGCTATGATCTTGTCAGAGGTATTCAGTTCCGTTTCAGTCCGGAGGGCGAGGATTAGGCTATTGGGACGCTCACCGGACGTATTTCCATGGTGGGCTTGCGGTGCCGTTGACGATGAGGATCCCGTGGACCTCTGGTCAAAGGGGAAATAACAGGTTAGACATGAATCTGCTAGCAGCGACATGAGCAGCTGCAAACATGAACCTACGGTGAGCGGCCGCGCCAGGGGTGAGGCCAATGCCCACAACAGCCGCTAGGCATGAGGACAACTTCATCGTGACGGCCTGGCTTGTACAGGCGTGCTAGGCACTTTAGCTTGAAAGGATCGTCACCCCCCATCCAACACTCACCGAGATCCCACCCGGGCTTTATAGCACTGTCCTCGCGCCTCAGACTGGAAAATACTATTGCGAATCAATCTATTCCGTCCGTTATAGCGGACTTGGACATGCCGCCTGCCCTTTGGACTACATTCACTGATCATGGAGCTAACAACTCCGTCCGGGCCCGTCCGTCGGCCGCTCTGACAACGGGGATGTGTGGGAGGAAATTGTGAAAATGAAACCCGCCGTGCGGCGGGTATATATATCAATACAACCTGTGCTGTTCTTCAAGAGGGGCAAGTAGCAGTGGGATTCGTTCGCAAGATACTTCCTCTTTCGTTCATGCATCGAGGCACCGACGCAAAAGTCACTGTAAGATGACTCCGGCCGAAGGTCGATGTCCCCGGCACGAACGCCAACAACACGATTCTCCGTTTCGGGTGACTGGTGCATTTGTCATCGAATCACAGCCTTCACGACATAACCAGCGGGCCTATATGTCTCGGATTGAGACGAGTATCCAACTTCACGAGGTTTTCGTTTAGTCTCGAGGATTCTGCCAAGAACCTTGTCTCGGTCGACCACTGCAGGACTCTTGCCGACAAGAAGGGCTGCACACCTACCGGGCCAGCTGGCGCTCGCGGACGTGAACCGAGATGCGCTCGACGAGGGCAGTCAAGTCGGGGCGGGCCAGGAGGGTGCGCACGAACGCGGCAAGCCAGCCGTCCACGAGAAGCTGGACGACCGCCACACATCGCCGTATCCTGGGCTCCTGGCATAAACTCATGGCACAGGATGGACTGGGCGACAGAGCGGAATCGCCTTGAGATCAGGCACATGGAGTAGAGCGTCATGCGGTAGTCGCGCGAGTACAAGGACGGCTCCTCGGGTCCTGTCTCTCCTCAGAGTCTGACCCCGAGCAGCGGAAGTAGCCATATGGTGACTCGTAGGCGTGCTCCTTGGTGCAGTCTAGGCGAACTGGCGTAGGATAAGCGAGAGCGCATCGGGCGGCAGGTTGGCGAAACTGGGCGTCATGGTTTTGGGGGTTGACATGCATAGAGCCTGGCGCTCTAGATGATCATGGTCGATGCCCTCGAGCCCCGGACTGCTAAGGCCGGGAGCAGCTTCAATTCTAGTGGAACCATTGCGCCGCCTACATTCAGGAGGCCTCAGCTATTGGACTGCTTAATCCAGATTCGCCACTGAATCATTGCGGTTGACTTGTGTGCGCATTTGCAAACTCGGTGCATGTTGAGAGCGCCCAGCGACATTGTCACTTTGGACCATGCTGATGCCTGATGGTAAGGTGTTCTGAGAGGAAGTTGATTGACAGGCGGATTGTTTGTTCTTTGTTCCACCAACCTTTCCCTTCTTTGGTTTAGTATCATCAGATGCGACTCACATGTTCTCGATTTCGATCTCGATCTCTCGAATCCCGGGTCTCGGCCATCAATCACATGCAGGCACGACACTCTCCATGACAATTCTTTACACGCGCGTCAGAGGCCTTCGAAAACCTGGCTCTAACGACCAAAGCGCCCGCCTTCAATCAAGAGTATAGTCAGGCAGTTTGGATACATTCCACAGTTTACATCGCCTCTACTAACGAGCAAAACAGAGACATTTCATGCTTCGTAGGCCGGGCAGACTGAGAGAGTGCCTCGAGGCACGCCTTGCCAGTTCCTGCGCCTGCACAGATAGCAATCACGAATCAGTGTAACGTCTCTGGTCTAAGCGAATCGACTCGACCGATGCTCAGCCTTCAGAGACAGTACCAACAAAATTAGGTGATATGTCTACCTAAAGCGCCCAACCAGAGAGATGGGAGGCCGGCGTGTCAGCCACGCACTTGGCGTCCCGAGCTGTCGGGACACCCAGAATGTCTATATGGAATATAAGGTATGAACCCCTTCTCTTGGGCAGATGCCCATCACACAACCTCAAACCACCCAAGGTAGTTTAGGTTTAAGTTCCCAAACGGATCCCCGTTTTCACTGGACCAGCCAAAGGGGGGTAACTTTGACTACGATCATGTACACCCGCGCGCCAGAGTTGGGATGGATCGCCTATGCTGCGCTCTACGGCGCCACTCTTCTGTCTGTTCCAGTCATCTGGTTCATCAGCTTGCGCCGGCGTCGCACAGGGCCGTACCACGTGCAGGTTGTCAAGTTCGCCCATGTTCTCGTCAACGCAACACTACCCGTCTTCGCTATGTTAGTGTTGACTTTATTCTCCCAGTGTGGCATTAGTTAACGTGCTGACCCGTGTGTACACCGGCAGATCGATCGCACTTGCCATTGTGCTGCCCGGCATCGAGATTGCCAGAGCCTCGGCCCCATATCGGGGTACCCATGGCATATGGATAAAGCTCAGCAACGTCTCGAGGTACACAGGCCTCACATCATGGCTGCTCGGCACAGGGGCCGACATTTGCCTTACTTGGGCCCTCGATCTCGTTGTTCTTGCCCTTGTGTACTTGGCGTATTATGGGAGGGAGAAGTGGTGGAAGGAGTCGCGGCTTATTGGAATCTACGTCGCCAGCCTCTTCCACATCGTCGCCCTTGTCTACTACGCAGTGAAGATTCACCACGCCAGGATGGATCAGACGGCTAAACCCGCCTGGCAATGGCTGCCACGTTTGTTGTTGCTTGCGTTGTTCAAATCGGCCATTGGACTCGTGATAGCGGCAATCGCTTTATGGCGGAAGTTCAAGAAGAACCCTCATCTGAAAGTCGGCAAGGTGAGCGCTTCTCCCTTCGTTTCGCGCATATCTTGACCGATGCTGATACTCTGTCTCCCGCAGATCCCCGCCCTCTTCCTGTCCGCTTCCGTCATTTGGCTCTTCCGATGGACCTTTGTATTCGCCCTAGAGATCAGGTGTATCGTTCCGAACTGGACCTCTGAGGAGATCCAAGCTCAGAATATTCTGGGTCCGGTATTCGGCTCCTGGACCACGGCGGCAGTTTTTGGTCTCCTCGTTGCAATCCTCCGTCACGAATTGTGGTCCAATCGGATCGATAATCCGGAGTCCAGCGTACCAGACTGCACCGTTCAGTCTTCTTTCTGCTAGAGGGAGCTCAGCAGAAAGCACTGCATTGGGAGTGAACTCGGAGGGGTATTTCGAGACATAGAGCTGATGGCGCCGGATGTATTTATTCCTGTCTAACGAAGTATAAGTATGATGTCCACCTTAGAATTAATGTTGCTCCCGGGACTTGGGTTGATGGAAGCTGGAAAGTCGGCTCAGTGGGATCCGCCGATCCGTCCTCCCCCAGATTCTGCGTCTCTGACCCAACCAGACATGGTGGTTTACCTAAGGCACCTTGATGTGCATTGCCTTGCATACCGAGAGGTAGCTTCGTCTCAAAAGCCACGTTGATTCGTGCAACATGCAGATTTGTAGGCGAATAAGAAGCGATACTATCAAGCAGGCCTTGTTTGAAGGCTAACCGTGCCGACGAGTTTTGCGTTGCGTCATTAGTGCATGACGTCACCTTTCCTGGTCATCTGCTGGGACGAAGCAACTGCAGTAAACATCTCTTTCATAAATCTCTAGCAAACCCTCAGCGATTCTACCACGCTGTATCCCGGACGCCTTGTAATTCCAAAGATCCCAATAAGCAAAACACAATGATCCACGACACTCTTCTGTCAACCCTCATCCTCCAGCTCTGTCTGGCAACCCTTGGCCTGGGCGCTCCTATCCAGGCCGATGCGCTCGACAATAGCTGGCAATATGGCACCGGTGGCGGTCTGCTTGGACTGGTCGTTCTGATCCTGGATATCATTGTTTTTGGTAAGCTTGGAGCCCTGTCCCTTGCTATCTTCGTCGAGCCTGGAAGCTAACATATCCTAGTCGAGGTTTTGAAGTCCACCCGGCCGCCCTCCCACAAGCTGATCTGGTGTCTCGTCGTCTTCCTCTTCCCCGTTATCGGCATGATTGTCTACTACCTGTTTTCGAATCGCTCTGCGTACCAGCGCGGCTCCGGCTACGAGGCTCTACCCTAGATATATGCCGGGCGGGGCAGGGCAGAAGCACGGAACATAGCCGAGAGATGACCGCGGTGCTATGTTATGGGTGGCTGTAGAAGCATTTGAGCATGCCGGGGTAGGATAACGCATCGGGAGTTTCGAGGTGTTGGGAAGGTCGGGTCATAGTTTTCTGGTCTGGTTTGCGGCGGAGGGACTTCATCTATGATGTTTTGTATGACAGCAACGGCCAGGCAGCATCCGGCAAACACCACCGAATACCAATTGCTTCGTCCGAATAAAACCGTTTACCCACCAGCAGGTTGAGACACAGCGACAATGAAGTTGTTTGATCAACGCAGTGGAAGCTGCACCCGTTCGAATGGAGGGTTAGGGTCAATGACTAAGCAGCGCATGCAACTTCGCTGTTTCATACCACACTCGGACCTGAATGATTCGGATCCAGTCCTTGCGACGAAGCCACAACATCAACTGTGGCCAATTCCCCGAACGATGCGCAAGATGCGCGGTGTATCTTAGCCCATCGAAAGCAAAAGGGAATCCACCCCAGAGTGTCTGGCGCGATGTTCCCCCGCTTCTCAATCCAACTCCCGCTATTTGGGTTGGTTGCAGCGGCACTGGTGACGCGGGCACTTGCCGAAGGCCATCATGAGAATTCGCTGCCCTCTTACCACTACGGCGCTCCCATCCGCGTCGAGTGCATGAACCGGAGCTCGTGAGTCGAGCATCACCTGCAACACTTCCGCCATTGCCGTGGCTGACATGGCTGACCGTGCACCACACAGCGAAACGGGCGAACACATCGAGAATCCCGAGCACGAGATCCAATGGATCCCCTTCCCCGTCTGCAACGAGACCGGCAAGCCACTAGAGTTCTACTACGGCATCGAAGACGAGGTCAACTGCACCATCCCCATAGTCAGCGACCCATTCTTCCACCTCCTCGAATTCTATATCCACAGCGATGCGCCGCTCTCATGCCGTCTACCCGCGCGCCCCGCGCCGCACGTCAAGGTGGTCGGGGAACCGCTGCCCGAGCAAGAATATATTCCACTCGTGTTTGCCCTTGCCGGCACGCTGCAGATGAGCCACATGCACATCAGCACCCACCTCAACGTGCTCCTGCACAGCACACGAAAACATCACATCCACCCCCACGACAGCGGCGTGCTTGACAGCGCGACCGCCTACAGTACGAGCCCGCTCACACACATGGAAGGAGGCGCAACAAGGCGGCTCATTATTGGTGATCCGCTGCCCCTCAGCTTCAGCGTGAGGTGGTTCCCGACGCCGGCGCTACCAAAGGTTGGAGGCAAGGTGGAATGGTCCGGAATGGGCGGACATGTATACGCTAGCACCGTGTTTTACTGTTTGGTTTCGTTCGGCGCCGGCGTGGTGGTCTCTGCGGTTTATTTCTACGGGACGGTTTTGCCGAGGAGGCTTCGGGGAAGGGGCCTCGGCGGCGCTACGCCCATGGGATATGGGTTGAACGGCGTGGGCAATGGTTGGGGATACCAGAAGAGGGCAATTGATTAGCCTAGGTAGGCGCATTATGGTACAAGCGAATTCGAGTCGACCATCCCATGGCGGCAACTCAACAAGGAAGCAAGTGAGGCCACTACAGTTTGATGCCGAGACTAACAGATTGAGACTGTTGCGGCAACTTGAATTTGCAGCTACTGCGACTTCCTGGCTTCCAGGAGAGCATCGGCCACCCTGATGCGGCCCAGGATCCGAGTAGCCATATCAATGACTCCGATTGATGCTGCGTCCGGTCAGACGGCGTCTAGATTCTGGTATGGCAGTTACTTACGAACGATGATCCACGGCGCATAAAGCTGGCGGATCGACCACTTCAACTCGGACGTATACACGCTGTTATCCCAGTAGAAGCTGTCAAAGAGGCACACCAGCGTCGTAAAGGCCAGCTCGGCGAAATACACGAGGAACAGCAGCTCATCAGCGCCCGAGGTCCCGCGGCGCTGCACTCCCAGGCGGTAGACCCCGTACAGTGCCATGGGCAAGAGATAGAGAAGCTCAAGCCAGAGGAAGAGCCCCATCCAGCTGTCGTGGCCTGAGGCGCTCTCGGGCGTCCACTGCACGATTGGGTCGTTGTACGTCTCAATGAACCCCGTTTTGACGGTGTGAAAGAGTGCAGCGGCGCACCCGCCGGCTCGTACATCCATGCCGGCCAGACGAGCTCGAGCAGGTCGATGACTGATGTAAATTAGCTTCGCTGTTGCTATCAGGCGTAGACGCTGAGACGTACAGAGGGTGATGGGCAGTTGCAGAACAAACCACCCCAGCCAGAGTTTGTTCTTCCAGGTGTTATTGTATGCCACCATGGTGCTGTATGTAGTGTACCTAATAACCCGATATGTAAGGAATACTGAGAATGGGGGTTGAGAGGGTCGTCAGAACAGACTTTCTGCCATCTGCTTCACCGCTGTGCCACGCCCAGGGGAAGGATGCAGGTCTGATGCGCGGGCGGAGTGTCCATCAACATCAGGGTTGTATGTATTAGTGCAACCCAAATACGGTATGTTACGATTTCATTACACGCAAGAGCAACCCCACACAGCCGAATCAGGCAGGACCCTTAATTTAGTTGACCACCACCAACGAATGCTGTTTCCGTCCGATCAGAAGCGAATTATTAAACGACAAGAGCCTGCCATCTGAACTTTGCGCTTGCCGACTTCCCCATCTCAAACCTTCGCATCGCCCGAGAAACGTTGCCAGCAACATCGGCCGACCTCGCCTTACCTCGAGCCAAGATGGGCCTCAACTTATTTGGCCCCCATCAGGGTTTGCCAAGCTGCCCGAGACGCGAAATTACGTGAGGCGTGTTGATTGGGCCCAATTATTTCCCCAGGGGTTTGCTATCTGACATCTTCATCTTCCATGCCGCGGCCGGCTCCCAACCACATTCCAGGTTGCGTGATACCTTAACACCAGCTCGTCCGCCGGACTCGCCGATGCCTCTTGACCCCCGATTACAGCAATAGCAGCGCCATGGGCGTGGAGTCCGTCGGCAGCAGCCCTCGATCTTCGTTTGACCTCGACGAGAACGACCCCGAGACAGCATTAAACCCGCATGCCGATGAGAACGACACAGCAGTCCCGCTCTTCCCGCTTCGGCGGCTCGACCAAGATGGGAACCATGTGGGCTCGTTTCCCCTCGCCGGGTCGGGGAATGCCATGTCAGTCTACGTGACGATGCATAGGTGGGTTTCATGCGGCCTGTCACCATTGCAAGGAGCCGGAAACTGACCGTCGCAGGATCCGTCGTTTGCTCGTTGCAGCGATCGGTAAGTGCTGTTGTCAGAACGCCTCTGTATGTACACCGCACTTACCAAGTCCAGACGATACGTATACTCTCGATGAGCTTCGAGCTCCCCATATGGACCGCCTGCTTGTCCGCCCGCTTGTCGACCGCCTTTACAACCCGGGAGATCCGGCTCTAGGTCGGTGCCCTTTCAATGTACTCCGAACAAGAAGCTTACGTCTACATATCCACACCACAGTCTACTGTCTCGTTGCCAATCGCGTCCAATTCCTGCGGCCCCGGTCGAACGAGGCCTTCCACAAAGGCATCAACGAATCCCGCGCACTTCTCTGCGAGTTGCTCGCCACCCGTCTCTTACGCCGCTTCCACGAAGACCACCCCGGACGCCCTGGACTGCTGTTACTCGCCAACATCTTAGTCTCGGGGTTCGACCCTTGCGACACAGCGCCTGAGCCTGTGCGCTCTCGCCGGCCGCGATGGGCGATCCAGGAACGCGGCGGCCACGAGCGCAAGTTGACGGCTCTTGAGCTTGCCATCATCTCGGAGAGCAAGATGCTCATCAAGTCGCCGGCCTGCCAGCTCGTCGTGGACGCCGTGTACAAGGGAGTGGTGGTCTACACTCCGCTATCGTTTGTCGACTTCCTCCCGGACCACTACAGATATCACCCGGTGTCGCTGTACGAACCCCGCCGTGCCGCCCTCCTCAACCACCGCCGACTGATCGTCCCTCAGCTGCGGAATATCATCGAGCTGGTGCATTTCGCCATACTTTTAGTGCTCTACATGCTGACGGTGGCGCACTACGGTTTCGGCGGCGACATGTCGGGCGTGCGCATCTACGAGACGCTCTTCAATGTGTTTACGTTGGGCTGGGTCCTCGAGCAGTTTGCCGCCGTGGTCGAGCACGGCTGGGAAGTCCATGTCCAGAACCTCTGGTCTTTTCTTGATGTGACGTTTGTCGTCATCTACGCCACCTATGGTCTCATACGCAGCGTCGAGCTGCTCCTCGCCGACGACCCCTTCTACGCCCTCCCTGCGCTCTGCACCGCTGCCCCCGTGCTGCTCACACGCATTGCTTTCACGCTCATGCCCGACAACATTGTCTTCATTGCGTTACACGCCATGATGCGCGACTTTACGCGGCTGACCTTCATCGCCATCTGGTGCTTCGCCGGATTTGTCATGGCCTTGCTGTTGCTGGCACGAACAAGCGGCGACCTCAATGTGGGCGTTACCTGGGCTACCATTACCAAGTGGCTGCTGTGGTATGTTTCGACTCAACAGTGCGAGGACATTGACTGATGCGTTGCAGGATCTGGTTCGGCCTGGACGGCACTGGCATCGAGCGTGCGGCCGACTTCCACCTGATTCTCGGCCCGATGCTGATGATCACGTTTGCCTTTCTCGGCAACACGCTGTTCCTGACCATCTTGGTCGCCATGTTGACCAATACATTTTCCAAAATCATCTCCAACGAAGCCGCTGAGATTCAGTTCCGCCGCGCTGTGCTCACCTTCCAAGGTGTCAAGAGCGACGCCATCTTTTCGTATCCACCGCCCTTCAACATGCTCGCCCTACTTATCCTGCTACCGTTAAAGCTCGTGGTCGGTCCGGCAGCATTCCACCACATCAACGTGGCCGCGATTCGCTTCATCAACGCACCGGTGCTTTTGCTCATCAGCCTGTGGGAGCGCCGCCAGTTGTGGGCCAAGGGGTCGAAGACACGAAGACTAAAATTTTGGCGCTACCTCAAATTCCCCAGCTTGTCTCCCCACAGAGACATACAGGCTGTATTTAGCGCCGAGCCGCCGCCCGATGTGATCGACACGCTCGAGAAGCTGGATCCCCTGGACGAGCTGAAGGCTGAACTGGAGTTGGTTGGGCCGCACACTCCCAGGGACTCGACGCGCCAATCATCACGGCGGCGCGAGACTTCCGACTCCAGCAGTCATAGAAGGTCTGATGGCTAGACCAGACATATTGCATTAACACTTGAAGACACAATAGAACTAATACAGCCAATACTGTTCAATGCGTACTAGCCACCTCTCAAGAGGAGACTGCCTCTGGCTTTTTCTCCATCCCTTCCCGCAGGATTGCCACTTGTTTCTTGATCTCTCTCCACAGGATCAGCTCGTCCAGATCGTCATCCTCATCCAAGACTTCTACCCAATCCTGCTCGTCATGGGACCTGGAATTCAATCCTTTTGCGTCTCTGGCAATGGCGAGTAAGGCGGCAACAAATGCTTCCTGGATGTAAGCGAAACTAAAGCCGTCCGTGATCTCAGCAATTGCCTTGCATAGCTTATCAGGGAACGGTAGGTCCTTGTTGTCGGCCAGCTTGCGCTGCCAGAAATGGCAGTAGGCGACTCGCTGTTCTAGGTTTGGGTCTGGGAAGTAATACTTCCTGTCAAACCGGGAGGGGCGTTTCTGAGTGTCTCAGTCAGCCTCTCTTCAGCTCAGACAGGTACCGCTCCTGCACTCACCGCGATGCCCGGGTCCAGACGGTCCAGATGGTTGGTACTGCCGACAATAAAGATGCCGTCGTTGTTCTTGAGCCCGTCGATCTCGTTGAGGAAGTAGCTCCGCACGTAATCGGTCACGAGGGAGTCTAGATCCTCGAAGATGAGGTAGCATGGCGCAACCTGCCGTGCTTTGAGGAAGATCTGGCTGATGGCGTATTCGGGACCGGCGTACTACCGTCATCACGAGGAGTAAGTACGAAGGAACTACCTGGCATCAATACGATAATAAATCCCATGCAAAACTCACCGAACTGAAATTCCGGACATAAAGCGCCGGCACGGGATCCTTCCTCGCGTACAAGGTATGCATCATAGCCTTGATGGAAATGGTCTTGCCATTCCCCGGCGGGCCGTGGTAGATGATCCCCCGCTTCCACGGCACGCCCAACCTATCATACGTCTCTCTTGAGTCAAAGAATGACAAATGGTCATCAATAATGGCCTTCTTCATCCCCTCGTCGAGAATCACCGCGTCCCATGAGGCTTTGGTAATGCTCTGGTACAGCTCCCGGCTCTTCCGCCACCCGCCGTTGTCCCACAGCCAGATCTCGTCGTGCAGCGAGTTGAACCAGGCTCCTGCGGCTATGATCAGGGCCTCGGCGGCTTGTGAGGGGGAGTTGGAGTCGGAGGTGTGGTGAGGGCTGAGGATGTAGCTGTTGCGGATTTGTGGCCAGGGTTGGGTCCCGTCTCGCCCGTCGACTATGTAGATGAGGAAGGAGTGGGATTGCCATGTGTACTGGAACTTGCCGAATTGGACTTGGGAGATGAGGGTCCCCGGGCTGTTGTCGAGACGGCGGGAGGGGGGGATGTAGGCTTTCCAGACTAGGGAGGAGGGGTGGTCATGGTCATGGTCATGGTCTGAGTCGATGTCGAGTGAGCGCACGGTTGCGTGGCCTGCGGCGGCGTAGGCGAGGAGGTCGATGTTGGAGGCGATGGTCAGCTGGTGGTTGGGGTATTGGGCTTTCAGGGACTTGGCGATGACCGCGTCGGTGTTGACGCGTTTGGCGGTGGAGTGGTGGAAGAACTGCTTCGCGGTGGGGTCGGTGGAGTGGGAGTGGAAGGAGGCCATGATGGTTGATGATCCCGGGGGTTGTCCCGGTGGTGATGGAGTGTTGTGGATCAGAGTCTCGGACGGGATGGCTGGGAACTTGAAGTTGAAGTTGTTTCGGAGTCGGAGGATCGGAGGACGCGCGGCATGTGTGCGGGGTCTCCAGGCTCCAGCTCCGGGGAGCCGGGAGTCGGGCTGTGCCGCAGACGGATGTAACCTCACTCACCATTACTACTACGTCACCGTTAACGGTTTGAACGCCTTACTTACATTCCATCTATGCTGCACTTTGGGAACTAGATATTGCTACATGAAGTGGAAAGTAAGTGCCTCTCACTCCATCACTCCGGGCAGTCATTTGAAAGAAACACTACAAGTCTGATATGTTGGAACTGGAATTGGAGATAAAGGACTGTGTTTTCCTGAGAGCTGTGAGCTGTAACATAAAGCTCTTCATTGTAGCTTACTCGATATCTCATTTTGTCGCCATTTGATTTGATAATTACACCGGTTTACCTCATGCACTTTGGCAAGATGACATACGAATACTTACACGCGCCTTTGATGTTCATTGTCCGCTCACCGTCACCTTCGCCTTTTGCTCGAGCTAGCTCACCGAGGTAAACCAAGCTTCTCATCACTCATTTCATCAAGTCGTACATCGAATAGAACTTGTATATGATAACTTATCTGTACGATCTAACTCACTCGCGTGACAAGTCGGATGCATCTTGCCGGTTCTTGAGGCTTTGCCTCTGTTCAGCCGTGGCTAAGATCGGCCAGACGGACCAATGGGCGCGTGTTGACATTCGCAAGTCCCACTCTCGCGTCGTCCCTCCAATAATCCAATTATTTCCGAGTGACTGCAATGTGCGCGCGATAAATATTTTGCTCGGCGGCGGCGACGGTGACGGCAACGGCAACACCCTTGGCGGCATCGCCGGTGCGCAAGCGGACCCGAAGTCCACCTGAATCCTTTTACGGCGATGCAACTCTTTTGACACGCTCCCCTCCAAAAGCCCTGGGATTACCCGGCAGCAGGAGACAAGCATCCCCCCTGGTCAGCACAAGATGGAGGACGCAAGCCGGGAAGGACTGGCCTGGGACGACAACGGCCTGGGGCCTGAGCCGCGATGGACCCGTGAACCGGATATCAAGGCCGTGGAACGCGTTTGCCGTCGGCAGTTGGGCATCCCCAACGATGGCCCAGGGAGCGAATTTGCTGTCGCCTTCCACGCCGATGGCACCTTCAACAAGCTGTATCGAATCCAGAGTTCTCGTGGTCGGTTTATGCTGCGAGTGTCGCTTCCTGTAGACCCCCACAACAAGACACGTGGGGAGGCCGCGACGCTTCAGCTGGTCCGTCGCATCACCGACATACCCGTCCCTGCAGTCGTGGCCTTTGACGACTCGAGGGCCAGTGAAATTGGTTTCGAGTGGCTCCTGATGAACATGGTGCCGGGGACGCCAGCGTACTACCGTTGGCGCATCATGTCCATGGAGCAGAAGGAGAGGCTTACTGCTCGGGTTGCAGATTTTCAGGCCCAACTCTTCCGCTGCGGCAATCTTGGACGCGGCTTCAGGGGTATCGGGACGCTGGGGACTTCGGGTGATCTTGACCGGGATGGGTTTCCTGAGCCTGGCCAGATTGTGTCCGCATTCTTCTTCTCAGGGAAGCGCTACCAGTATCCCATTCCCCGTGGTCCATTCCGGTCGAGCCATGATTGGTACGTGTTTCCAAGTGATTGGAGGCCGGGCAGGGCATGGCTAACAGCGATGCTCAGGCTGCGGGCGCATCTCAACATCATCATTCGAGAGAACACGACAGCTCTCGCTGAGGCTAGGGACGAGGAGGCCAGGCAGTCCGCCGAGGCAGCGCTCCGTGTTGCCCGCAAGCTGCTGCGAATGCTGCACAAGCTCTTCCCGGCCATTGTCAACCCGCCTGAGCGCACGGTGCTCTGGCACGAAGAGCTCTCGCTCAAAAACATCATGGTTGACGGCGAAGGGGGCATTACCGGCGTCATAGGATGGTATGCAAGGCATTCAGTTTCTCAGGTACGCTCATGGCACGATCGGCTGATAAGACGACATACTACTTTTTAGGGAGTGCACCTCAACAATGCCCCGGTGGGTGGCCTCTCAGGTGCCTGAGTTTCTGCGCGGCGCGACGCGAGAGACCAAGCCGGATCGCAATTGCTACACAGACGTCGACAAAGACGGCAGCGATGCTAATGATGCCGAACTGGATGACAACCTTGACAACGAGGGCAAGACGGAGCTCTACTGGATTCACCTGATGGAGTACGAGCAGACGCAGCTCCGTAAGGTCTATGCAGCGCGCATGCGCCAGCTTCGCCCAGAGTGGGATATCGAGGTCGAGGAAGATGCGCTCAAGGTCGATTTCCTCGCCGCCGCCTTGCGCTGTGGAGCTGGGTTCTACCTCCGGCGCATCGAGCAGTGGATCGACGCGGTTGAGAGGAAGGAGTTTCTCCCTCTTATGGAGGTGCTGAGAGTCGGCATCAAGAAGGACAAGGATAAGGCGACTAGTAAGCCGGCGACTTCGAATGCCCTTACCTTGGCGAGCAGGTTGTCTTAGGATATCCTCGCCCCCGAATTGGACGAAACCGATGACACTCGTGTGATCGAACATCCCTGAATATCTCACGTTTGCCACGTTCCCGTCAAGACCCCATCCACCAACTTGCAACATTCGGTTTTTACACGGATTCTTGAACGCACCATGCCCTATACCCCCAACTAAGGCCGGGTAGTACCTAGATCGAAGTCGGCTAGTGTCTGTTTGCACTGCCAAATAGCTCCCATGTTGGTACTTGGTGCAGCAAGCAACGATCAACCATCAAGTGAGACTCCATGGACTCTTGAGTCTTGAATAAGAATGGTTGATAGCTGACAGTCGATTGTGCCAGAAGTAGAACCCGCTTGACGCAATACTCCATGTGCTAGCGGCAAATCCGAAAAGGCTAAATCAACATTGTCACCCTGATCCACATAGTTACAGCTACTATGGTGACCCTAACCCGGTTACGGCTGGAACCTGAGGGGTTGGTGGATGTCTCTGGAGCCTTCTCCTCTCTTTTAACCAGCATCATCGACCAGCAACTACAGAGTATCGACATCTGTCTTGCAATCTCTACTTCCTCACCTTCTGCTTCCCCCCTTACACCTACACAGAACCATTACTGTCCAGTCCAAAATGCCCGTCTACTGCATCACCGGTGCCAACCGCGGCATCGGCCTCGAATTCGTCCGCCAGCTTGCGCAGTCCAGCGAGAACACCATCCTCGCCGGCATCCGGACCCTCACATCCGACCTTACCGACCTGAAAGCCGTCGCCTCCCCATCAACGCACATCCTCGAGTGTGACAGCAGCAGCGTCCAATCCATCCACGGCTTTGTCAAGGAAGTCGCCCGGGTCTTGGGCAGCGACAAGAAAGTCGACTATCTCCTCAACGTCGCCGGCGTCAACATCGCATCATGGCAGAGCTCGCTGACCCTGGGACCGGACGACCTCCAGGCGCAAATCGCCATCAACGTCATTGGCCCCGCCAAGATAGTGGAACTCCTGCTCGACGCGGGCCTGCTGTCCAAAGACGTGCGCGTCCTGAACATGACGTCTGGCCTCGGCAGCATGCAGCGCAGCTCAGAGATCAAGCCGCGCAAATGCGCGGGGTATTCTATCTCCAAGGCTGGGCTGAACATGCTCACGGTGCATCAGAGTGAGGATCTGAAGCCGCATCTGCCCGGGGCCGTGGTTATTTGTATGGATCCGGGTTGGGTCAAGACGAGGATGGGTGGGGAGGGAGCGATGTTGGAGCCGAGTCATAGTGTTGGAAGCATGCTTGGGGTTTTGCATGGGTTGAAGGAGGGGGATAATGGCAAGTTTTATCACTACACTGGTGAGGTGGTCCCTTGGTAGGGGACTAGGGGTGGTGAATACAGCAAAGTCAGCATAGAGCTACCAATCGACAACCCCTACTTCCTTGTTTGCTCCAAATGGATGACCACTGCCTCTGCCTGACCACTGATCAACATTGTGGAGCTTCCTATGCCCCAATTCGTATGAGAGCTGGGGAGAGGTTGGCGACGAGGAGCCGTAACACGAGCGGAACAAATGCTCCCGACAAGGCTGCCAAAAGGAGGTGCCAGATGCTGAATGTCCAACCGTTTTGGTACTCCCGTGGCGCATTGGGGCCGACCATCTTCTTTATAGGGGCGATGTGTTCCTTCTGAGCCGTCTTGCGCGCAATCTCCATGCCGGGCAGGTGGTCGATGCTATAAGAGTTCTTGAGAGCCCAGTACCTACCTGTCGTTAGACTACGTCGAGCTGGTGTCTCGGGTAAATATAAGGGGGGACTAACCTTTCCAAACTCTCCTCCCTGTTCCCCTTCTCAAACCTATCAACCTTCTTGGCAAAGAACTCATTGAGCGTATTCCGGAAACTCTTAAACTCATAATATGGCACCGAATACCCGCACGAGCTCGCCACCTGGTGCACCGCAACAATAATGATAGACCTTGAGCTAGGAACCACCTTCACATCACGTTTCTTGACAAAATCGTCAAACGCCTCGGTGCCTCGCTCCAGCACGCTGCCGTGGCCAAACAGGCGCACGATACGCGGGGGTCCCTCAAAGGCGCTGAACATGACTGTGATGCGGCCGTTGCCGGGTTCGTACAGATGCGAGATGGTCTCGTTGCCGCTGCCGGTTAGGTCCATGTACCAGAATGTCTTGTCGTCGAGGACTCCGAAGTAGGTCCCGCCTTTCGGGGAGACGTTGACGTGACCTGATGCGGAAAGGGGGGAGGAAGCCACCCAGAACATTTTTTGTTCGAGGATCCATCGCATTACGTATTCCGGGATGGTTTCGAAGAATTGGCCCATTGTGGTTGCTGGACGGGTTGTTTAGTCACTTTAGTGTTGAACTTGAATTGACATAGAATGGATGTTGTCGGACTTGTCCGATTTCGAGATGAGAAGAATGAATTTGCATGTAACTTGTAAGTGAGGGGCTCACCGATTTCGGGATGTCATTAATGCTCATAGCTGATTTGTCCCCAGACTCCCCTCGGCTCTCAAAGGGCGCGTGAGTCACAGCGTTGTACTGTATATTCATACTCGGGGAACAAAGAATGAACAACGGTTGTATATGCCTGAACAACTGGTCAAATAGTGGATAACTGTTTCCAATTGCCAATCGTGTTGAGCGTCGATGATTCCACAGCATGCCAGGCGATCATGCTAATTATACCTACCTTAGCAAATTGATTGCTAAAAAGGTCCTTGAACTACATATCCGTATACTGGCCTAATCCGCTAGAGACCTGGCTGAGGTATATAAGGTACCTGAACGGTGAACCTCCCTACTTTCAACGCTCACGTGCTGGAATGGCAGCAGCCGGCTTCAAGGCACTTTGTTCAAATGTGTCATGATTTCATGACTTGGGACATCTTAAGTATCCCGGAAGCGATCAAGTTGTCTGGTTTGGGGTCGATGCCGCTGGTCCGTCCCGCCCAACTGTGCTCTGCGAAGACTGATATATACCGTTATACCCTGCAACCTTCTCCTCGAGCTTATGCACGGTAACTTGACCCAACTTGGCATTTTTGCAAAGGGAGATACCATGGGGGTTCTTGACATCAAGAAGAGCACCCAGAACTCCCTCATAGCCAGCATCAATCACGCCGGCCGTAAGGAGGACGCCCGAGCGCCATAGTGACGATCTGACAAACAATGGGCCCATGCAGTCTAGGGGGATGTGAACCGTCTCATTGAATTCGACGAGATACAATCCTTGGGGCAGCATAACCACCCCATCCGAGTCGTCAACTACTAAAAGGAAGCTTGGATGTGCTGGCGGACTGGCGACGCGAATTGTCAAAGTCGATCACTGGTCGTGAGGTCCATTGGAGGACTTGCCGCAGAGAGACATCGATGCCGCACGGCTGCACTTGCTGATGGACCGACAAAAGATTGCGTACTATCCCGCGTTTAAGGATTGCGGTTCCGGCGAGCAGCATTATGGTATGCCGCAGGGCACCGCTGGTCGACGCCTTGAAGACTTGAAGTGCTACAAGGTAGCATGTAAAGCTTTATCAAAGTCAGCGCGAGCTCTTGTCCGCATATCATGTATGGGGTATGGGGGCATCTTACCGAGGTGTCTAGAAGGAGAGAATGGGCGAATATAAAATTGATGGCGGATGCGAACTGGGCCACACTTTGTGCTGATAGCAGTGATAGGGAAGGTGCTGACCATTAGGATTTAGTAGTTGTTTCAGGGACGTCCGGCGGTCACGTGCCCAAATTTCAGCGCCTGCGGCTTCATGTGCTTTGGCTTGGCTGAACGTGAACGACCTCGACCAGGCAGCACTCCGCACACTTGTGCGTACAAACCTAACCAAGTTTCTTACAGGAAGGTAGCTTCGATCTCAGCGACACAATATACCTTCAGCATTGATTCTAGCGTTATGGGCGTTATAACTCAGGGCCGCATCCATTGCGACCGATTGTGATATGAGCAAGCAAAAAACACACAATTGCACACCTCAGCTCAGGTGACTTTCAAGATCATACATTACTTACCTAGTAGGCTAGTCAGCGGCCATCGACCCTGAGAGTTCAGCCGGCCCAACCAACCTCGCCCAGATTTACCAATCGACTGGATACCTTCCCAGTCGTCGCTCACCGGATTCTACTCTCTTCATTGGCGAGGTACAGGCTTGCAGCTGAGCTGTCACGAACGATTAGAGATGGCCTCGGCACGACACGGGTATCGGGCCAACGCTCACGACAAGGCCCGTTCGGGGACATCTGACGATGAGACCGAACTGATCGATGAGTTGGGCCATAACCATAGCTCCAGCGATGAGCCAGGAAGTGACAATGACGCTGCTTATAGCGGCCGCCTGGATGCCATTGACCGCATCATGAAGAGCTTTTGCGCAAGTCTCGACTCCAAGCTTGCCGCGGCCGGAGCTCCAACGGTCAAAAAAGTGGCGGAGCCCGCTGAACCCATCAGTCTGGACAAGTCGCGGATTGTTACCATCAGGCCGGCCCAGGAGCCTCGAGCATCTAGCCCTCGCAAACGTGCACCACGGAGTCTGAAGTCACCGGCCAGTCCCGCTCCTCCGATCAACCGCCAGCCCGATACCCCTGCATCACCTGTTGGTGGTAGTACTAGTACTGTTCGAACGCGTGGTGCCCACATCTCATCAGCACCAAGACCACAAGTCATGGTCCAGGGCCAAGTGGAAGGTCAACGGCCAGCAACACGTGTCTCACCCGCCGCTCCGCTTGCATTTGCGCAGCCTCAGCAGTCCCTCGGTCCTCCGCCGCCGCCCGCTGCACCGGCGGGGGATTTAGATTCAGCATTAGGACCAACAGTCGCTGCCCCGGGTGGCTCTGTGTCCCGCCCCTGGGAACACATCGATAGGCTGAGGCGGACCACCTATGCATCCCGCTCGGCAAGGACTGCGGCTCGACGTCGAAGCCGTACAAACGGACCAGAAGCTGCACATGGCGAAGAAGATCGGTCCTCGACTGTTCCAGCGCGTGGCGAACCAGGCCTGTTGGACGTGTCTGGACTTGCTGGTGATGTGGTCCAAGAGACTACACCCGGACAAGCCTCTCAGGCTACTACTACTAGTAGTAACGAGCTATCTGCAACCATGTCGACTGTGTCTTCTAGTCTGCCGGACATTTCTCAACAATTATTTGGAATGGGAGGGGAATCCAGCCTGTTTCTGCACATGACTGCCATGCCCTCGCCGAGCCCCGAGGTTTCACATCATTCACAGTATCATGCTCTGACGACGCCGCCCGAAGAGGAAACGCTGGAGGGTGAAATTGTCCCGGCAACTAACAGCCCTGAACACAGAGAGAAACCGCGGAAGACCTTGGAGAGTGAAGCGAAAGCTGCGGCTGACGGAGACGGGGATGGCAGACGCAAAAGGCCAAAACGAGCCCCGTTGGAATCACCCGTTGATCGCGAGAAGAGGGGTAAGAAGTTTGCCTGTCCTTATTACAAGCGCAACCCGAAGAAGTACCGCAACTGGACTTCCTGCCCAGGGCCAGGATGGGACGAAGTGCACCGGGTTAAGTATGCGCACCGCCTACATATACTTACTATTGCTTTAATCTGTATGGTTTACTGACTCGGCGTAGAACTCACCTCTACCGGCGCCACCCGCTCCCCATCCAGTGTCCCCGTTGTTGGGCCGTGTTCAAGGCGGATGGTCAGCTGCAATCACACCTGCAGCAAGACCCGGCATGCACGATTCAAGGGAACCGCATGCCTCATGAGGGGTTTACCAAGGACCAAGAAAAGAGGCTCCGTAGCCGGAAGAAGGCGCATGCAGACATGACGGATGAGGACAAGTGGAGGGAGATTTACGCGATTCTGTTTCCCGATGACGACCAGAGCGCTGTTCCATCCCCTTGTGAGTGTGGCCATGTTCCGTATTGTCCAGCCTCAGAGTACTAAGTACCTAACGCCATGGCAGATTACGACAGCGACAACGACAACGAGGGCGGTGAGCATGCTGACGGGACAGAACTGGAAGACTATGCCACGTTCGTCCGAAGAGAAATGCCCACCCTTGTGCGGCGGGAACTGGAAGTGCTGTTTGAGGGCGAATTCCGTGATATTGAGGAACGGCTGCGTCCTCGTATCGCTGATATCGTGCTTAATTTGCAGCCGCGGCTGCTCAGTTTATACAAACAGTCGCAACTGCCACTGAGCGAGTACGGCCCACAAGACACGGATGGCTCGGGAACGGTCCCTACACCGACGGTGTCACATGGCAAAGATACCGTGACCAGGGCGGACGGGGGAACTCCAGTGGCTGCTCCGTCTGATGGCTTTTTTTACGGCGACTTATCCGGAGTCAACGGTGACATGGGCGAGAACTGGATCGGCGGTCACACACCACAACTGCAACTTCCCGAAACCGGCGGCCTGGGCTTGAACTGGGATTTTGAGTTTGACAGGCTGCTTAACCCGATGATGTTTATGCCTCCGGGGATGGAGAGCGGGTAGACTGCCCTGGCCCCGCTTGATGTGTTCAGGGGCTCCCGGGTGTTCAGCATCTCATGTATGTACGTACACCTTAACCTCCAGATCCTCCCAGGTCTCAACCCTACCTATCAAGCAACCCGACAAAGCCGCCCGTTCTGCGTCGGCAGCTCACTCCCGTCCTGCACCGCCCACGCCTCGCTCCCCGGCGTCGTCGGCGCCCAAAACACACCCCACGGATCCCGACTCCTCTTAACACGAACCAGCTCGTTATAATTCTCCCCAAAAAAGCTCCGCTGCCACTCCGGCTCATTGACATCCGCTTCATTAAAGTACGCCCCTCCCCCCGGAGTAGCCGCCCTAAGCGGCTGCATAAACTCATTCAGCCGCCGCTGCTCCGCAACCGCTTCCGCCGGGGTAAGACTTCCCATGTTGACCCGCGCAAAGACATCCGCGTGCATAACAGCAGTGCGCCACACGGGATTTGCGCCCGCCGGCTCGGGGAATCCGGCTACTTCCAGTGTTGGCGCCATGTTCAGCCCGTGGAAGGTATACCCTGCCTCGACGGTCGCGCGGGCGGCGCGCATGGCGGCGGCGAAGAGCGTGGGGTCTTCGTACGCCGGCCGCGGAAACAGCCGGGACGCGAAGTAGCCGTTGCCTGGGGACCCGCCGGTCGAGCCTGTGGCGCGGCTGTATACTCGGGTTGTTGGCGGGGTGGAGAGGGCGACTGGGATCCCGAGGTTGTTGAGGGTGGTCAGGAGCGGCTGGACAAAGGTCGCTGCGGAGGTGGGGGTGAAGCCGGGTAGTTGGACTTGGACTTGCATGGAGTAGCTGCCGGCACCGTTGGGGATGCCGTTTGTCCAGAGGTACCCGCCGGCGTCAACGGTGGGGATGCCAAAGGCGAAGACCTCGTTGAAGCCTTTCCAGAAGGTTTCGGTGTCGGTGATGGTAACGCTGGGGCCGGGGCTTGGGGACCGGGTGCTGCCGAGGGTGAAGTCGAAGCTTGCGATGGTCAGGTTGATCTGGGGGTGTGCCTTGACGATGGCTGAGATCAGGACGCCGAAGGTGCCTAGATACGCATAGCCGGTCAGATCTATGTTAGGACTGGTCATCCAAGAGTTGGAGAAAGTGAACATACTCCCACCCCCACCCCGCATGGCAAAGAACAAATCCCTGTTCGTTTGCGCATCAACCGTCACGTACCGCCCATCAGCCGTGACAACCTGCATCGAAAGAACCTGGTCGACTCCCAAGCCAAACTTGGAGCTCAACGGCGAGTGGCCGCCTCCCGTGACCCACCCGCCGTACGCCCCAACCGTCAGGCACGACCCGGCGACGAGGGTAACGTTGTGTCGGTCAGCGTGCGCAAAAGCCTCCCAGATCTGCAGTCCGGCGCCGACCCGGGCAGCCGCGCCGCGGTAGTTACCGCCGGGCTGCTTGTAGTTGGGGAGGAATTCGAATCCCTTGAGGTAGTGCGTCCAGATGCTGAGGGAGCCGGCGCCGGTGTTGCGGCCGACGAAGTCATGGCCGGTGTTTCTGCAAGGTTAGCCCAGCCCAAACCAGGAAAGCGGATCATGTGGTTCTTGACTTGACTGAGTTCTTACTTGATGACCAGACGGATATTCTTGTTTCTCGCAAAGTTGACCGCCGCCTGGACATGCTTGACGGTCGTGGCGTTGACCACATACTCCGGGAACCCGCCCTGGGTGCAGTTGCCCGTCGGATTGCGGGAGAGCAGGCAGGTGTTGCCTTGAGGCCATTGGGTCAGGATGCTCAGGGGGTCGTCAAAGTAAAACGTTGTCCTGCTCGCGTTGTTGAGCAGGAAGCTGCAGGCTTCGGCGTTGAAGTTGGGCGAGGTGCGGTAGCACACCGAGGCAGGCGGTAGAGGTTTCAGCAGGGCGCCCCCGAGAGTCTTGTTGAGCTGTGCCCATTCGCTGTCGTCTGGCCAGGCTGCGTCTCCTGGGAAGACTTTGCAGTTTGGGAGGGAGACAGGGGCGGTTCTGTCTGCGAACGAGACGGCTCCGAGATTCGCTATGTCACGGGATGTTAACTGCTCGGTGCGGTCCACGGCTACACTTAGACCCTGGACACGGGCAAAGAGTGCCACAGCGACGAGGGAAGTGAATGTATGCATTGCTGGTCCCTGGATCTCGGCTTACCTTCATGCTCTGGGCGAGGGTACGCTGGAGCCGACATGGAATGGGCGATGAACATATCATTATGAGTCCTTCAGACACCACTGTCGGTCCAACTGTATTGGGTATTGTGTTTCGGACTCTGTCGGCTTACTGGATCATGCAGTAAGCCACAGATCATGACTGCATGTCCGGGGGCAGTCTTTGAACTAAGGAACTTCCCGAATCGAACTGAGGACGGGAGCGGATGCAACCCCTTCCCGCCTCACACAGCACCCAATATTTGCGGGCTTGCAAGGCGAACTGACAGGCAGCTTGGCATGACTTTTAGGCCGATGCCCAATTATCTGCTCAATATCACACGCAATACTACCGTGAGCCACAGCCGTGGGTACTAGTAGTATCTATAAATACCGCAAGGCAAGAGAGGTAGGCATTAGAACCCAGCAGTTGGTGTCCAGATCCTGTATGAATCAGCTACTATCTGCCAGTCACGGAGATATATCTGTACCCGTACCGGTGTCAGGAGTATCGTTAATGTGTTCCCTTACGTCTGATACCCAGTCAGTTCGGTTGATGTTACTAACTATCTACAGCACGAGTACTAGTATTTCTCCTTGTCATTCATCTGATTCACCCGCCGAAGAAACACCCTCGCCTTCTCCAACCCCTCGTCATCGACACTTCCCAACCTAGCCCAGCCATCAACAGCCATGCGAGCATGCCTCGTGGCGTTGACAAAATCGCCGTTGAGCAAGTACAGGTCGGCCATCATGTCATGATACTCCGGTGCCAGTGGCGGAACCCTCTCTTCCTCGGAGAACATGAGCCATTCCTCGGCCATGTTGATGGCATCTTGGTAGAAGCCTTCGGCCTTTGCGTCTGCGATTGTGGCTTTTAGATCCTTGATCCGCCGCCGCAGGCTCTCGGAATCGTCAATGACTTCCTGAGGTGCGCGGCAGAGCGAGCAGGCACAGTCGAACCCCCAGTGTTCCTTGAGGTACGACCTGCGTTTTTCTATTGGGGTCTCGATAGGCACGTCTGACGGTTATGTCAGTGGTTAGGACGGGACGATCACGGGAGAGCTTGACGCTGTGCTTACAGCTCATGACGATCTCTTCCCCTGGTTCAATGGCGTGGTAGGCCACGACCTCCATGGTCAGCCTCCGCTCGGAGAACCGGTAGAACGCACTATGTTCGTGAGCATCCTGTTTAACTTAGGTATTGGAGTTGAGCGGCCACGGGTGAAACGCACTTTGGTCTGCAGGAGTGATTGATCCTCTAAAAGCTAAGGTCAGTGCAGAGTCCAACCCCTGGCAATTCGTCTCACTTGACAGAGTCTCTTGACATACTGCAGCCTCGGTAAACAGACCGACATGTACCTCGCCTTCTGCCAGGACAACAGTGTTTGAGTTTGGCCCCAGGATGGAGTCAACCTCATATTGTGACGTGCCTCGGTGCAGGCCGTAAACTTTATTCTGCGTCTCAGCCGGCAGCTGCTTGAACGCCTGTTTGAGGATGCGTCGGCGGTGGTGCGGTTTAGTATCGGCCAAGAACTCAAGCCCTATGAGAACTGCTGGAAGATCCACCATGATAATCTCTCCCCGTCGGATACGGCGTGTTGCTATCACCCCCATCCCTTTCCCATCGACTGGAACAACCTGGTAGGATAGCTCCCGCGCACTCACATCCTTGCCAAGCGGAACCGGTGGCGGTTCGTCCCAGAGCGCCCCCCAGCCAAGTACATGAGCCGCGGTGGTGATGGAGGTGACAAGGCTGATCCCATGTGCGTTTCTGAAGTCTGTAGAAGTAAACAGGCAGTCAATTCGAGGGGCGCTGCTGTTCTTGGTAAACTGGGTGATGCACCGCGGAGGGAAACCCCACGATATCACATTGTCCTCGTCGGCTATGACCCCTATTCTCCCCGGAACAGGACACAGTCCCGTGTCACCAGCCTGCAGTCTCCCAGCTGGCCTGTGGGGACATTGCTCACGAGAGCCAGCTAACGCCCCGGCGATTTGAAGTACGAGAAGCACACCGCGGTGAAAATAAGAAGGCATACTCGTACCAGGCTTCCCCCACAAAGTCGACTCTATGACAATATGATGACTTGGATATGTTGCCGCGAACATCCCGTCATGAATTTCATCGGGGAAAGATGCAATCTGTCCATACCTTGCACATCCGTACCAGTACATGCAATCACAGCGTTGAAACCGGGGCGATCCATAACGCTGATGCGGCTCCTGAAGAATAACCGCCGGCTAATTTCCTGTACTGGCTGCGTACTACTATGGAACCGCCATCGCAACCAGGTTCTCGGACAAGCTGATGATTTGGGCGGACTTCCGTTAATGAAGAGAAGGGTTACAGCCAATGCTTATCACGATGGATCGGGTGCTCTCAGGCTGCATTATCATAAGCTTCAGACATTACTCGGGTACTATTGACTGCGTGACAACATGAACTGAGGCCGACATCACGAATACAAGCCCAGCGATCATCCAAAACCAGTAGCTCGTTGCGAGGTCGCAACCAGCCAACTTACTAGGTAGTACAGTAAGTAATACCCCCCATCGGCTCAAAACAGACCGAAGCAATTGGCGTAATATGTCACCGTGGCGCTCCAATCTGAAAAGACACCCAACACTCCCACATCCTTGTGCAGGACATGCAACAGATTGTAAACATCCCCCTCATTATCGGTAACATTCGCAATGCTGGCATAGTAATAACCGCCATGCGACCCATCCCCCAACCACCCACTCCGCTCCAAACTCCAAGTAATGATCTTCAACCCCAGCTTCTTCGCAGTCCGCGCATACTCGCTGGGAACAATCTTGCCATTCTCCACCGCCACAAGATACGGCAGAGGCGGCGCGACAATCTTGACCCCATCCTTGGCGTACTTCGCGAGGTTGGCTATCGCCGTTGGCATGCTCACCGGCGTGTCGCCGGTCTCGTCCAGGTAGACAGCCTGCTTGGCCCACTTTGGCTCCGCCTTGAGCCAGTACAGGAGATCGTCGTAGAGGAATGACTGCGGCCAGACCCGCTCAGGTTTAATCCCGGCCGTCTTGAACTCGTCAATCATCTGCTGCGCGAACTTGGCCTGCGTGTAGTCGCTGCCTGGCCCGCCGAACGGCATCGGCACTTCGGGGGTTTTGAGTTCAGGAGTGAACTTGAGCCCTAGGTCGTCGACAATGTCGATGAACTCGCGGAGCGTCAGCACGCGGCCGCAGGTTTTGGCGTAGAGGTCGGTTCGGTAGCCCGGGGTGCCGCCGAGGTAGGCGGCCGGGGTGGTGGCCGTGGGGTCGGACGCGTCCATCTTGGCGCAGAGCGTCTTGATCTCGGCCAGGGTGAAGTCGGACGTGCAGCACTTGGCAGTGGCGGCGGTGCCGTTGGCTGCGGGCCGGAATGGGACGGTGCACTTGGCGTTGAGCTCGGGGATTGCGACCACATTGGTTGTGGTGTGCAGGTCGCACTGGGCATGGCGGCACACGAGCTGCTTGTCCTTGGTGAAGGTCACGTCGCACTCCTGGATGCCGGCGCCCATGCGAGTCTACATAGTACCGGATGAGTGTCAGTGATGGTCAGGCTGTGTTGGGACTTGGAAGACGGCTAACCCCGGCCATGATAGAGTCATAGGTGTGCTCCGGGAACTGCAGAGTTCCGCCTCCGCGATGCGAGATGCTCCAATCGCTGCGCTTCATCTCCTTTTCTGAGCACGAGGCGAGCCGGTCCTTGAGCGGCCCCTCATCCATCTGCTCAATAAGCCAGTATGGGCGGGGTCCCAGCGAGATGCGCTTAACCTTGCCGTGGCCGTGGTCATGACGGCGGCTCACGGCTGCGAAAGCCGGGGCGACGAGAGCCAACCAGCCGAGATAGTGCAACGCCCGCATTTTGGCTGTGATGCTGGTGAGACGGTCGAGTCTCGGCCATGGTGCTTCTTCAACGACGAGCCTAATATAGGTCCTGCGAGGTGCTCACGCATTGGCAGTGCGGAATGAAAGCCAAGAAATAACCACCGGATTCTTTCCATGGTTCCTGATGCATGCAACCACATGGCACCTGTCGGTCCCCAAACCAGTTCATGTCGAGGCTAGGGAAAGCTGCCAAGGCTGGAGAGCCCCCCATTCCCCTCGCCTAGCGCCTTAGCCCTGGGAATGAATGCTTGATCGCAGCATCGCTATTAGGTAGAGCTGGATTCTCGCCTCGCGGGTCAGTGAAGCTAAGCTTGCTAGAAGCTTAGCAAGAACACTACCCGAGGTCTTCCATGCTATGTACCCATGCGGCGCTGTCCCGCGTGCGGCAGTGGGGATGCGTGATTGGTTGGGGGTAAATCGGCAGTACGCGAGACTCGAGGAGAATCGAGAGATGCTGGACCTCGCCTAGGTGTGTGGATTCGCATTGTTGCTCTTGAATGCGCAGTCCGGAATGTACATAGGCGTGTAAAATCCCTGGATAAGGTTCTATTGTAGCACAAGGACCTGCTCTTTGTTAAGAAAAGGAGTAGGTGCCTTCAATTGCTATCTCGTTTAATTCTCCAAAGTCAAGATGGGAAGTCGGCGCCAAAAGTTTTCGGGCTCAAGTTAAGTTGTTGCTGTGCCAAGCCTGTCTGCGTGCGAAGAGAAGGATTGCGCACTGTATTTTCCCATCGGACCATGCACTGCAGCGATCCCTGTTGTTGAAGTGCCCACTGAAGTGGCCCTGTAACTTTGTTTGTGCAGTGAGCTGCTTGCCTCTGTGTTGATGGCCAAGCAAAATACGTACTGTTTAGAGTGGCTCCACTCAGTATTCTTGTTCCTTCCTCAGTACTATGTACTACTCTTAACATACGCCACAGATGCACTTTCCAAAGAATCAGCACGCGTTGAGTTGTGATTTGTGAGGCCGTTATACCCCGCGTTTTCTCGTCAACAGAGTTCAAAATCATCTTTCTGCTTTAGAAAGGCACTCGGCAGCGTCGCGCTCGCGCCAGTGGTCACCGGGCAACAACTGAGACCGAAAGAGTCGACCAACAGCCACGAAAGGGCGATCTTCTGGAATCTGGGCTACGATATATTGCACCCCGGTTGTCAGACACCCTTCTGACGGCGGCGCCGTGATCATAAGCGTTGTGAGCTCATCCTCGATGGCGCACTTCGCACGCTCTTGCGGAAGTACCTAAGGCAGCAAGATCCGGCATAGTACCTAGGGTCGCCCACCACCGCGTCATACTAACTGAACAGAACCGCAATGCCATACACCATCCAGTCACCGACTCGACATCTCCGAGCACCATGCAAAAGGTAACAACAACGATGAAACCCATAGCCCCATTCAAGTCGTGGGCGCTGCCAGTGCTATTCATGGCTCGGGGGCTCGTTCTGGACATGTCACGCGGCTCCTCGGCCAGGTGTGCAGCTGCATCCGACCCAAGCAAGCTGAAGATGGGAGTGAGCATACCTGGGTACCCACAAGCAGACGAGCCCGGTGTTGCCCCAGCCTCCGCCGTGACTGAAAGTGAAGAAAAGAGAACTCGCGTCCCGAAAGCGCGGACCAATTGCCCAGAGCGGGACGAGGACAGCAAAGAACCCATCATTGTGCACCGCTTCAGCGAGTGCCTCAGCCAGGGGCAGTTGCTGATGGAAGAAGGTGTTGTGTTAAAGCCTTGGCTAACGGTCAAGGACTCATCGCTCTGGGACATACGATTCGTGGTTGGGTATAACGAGTCCCTGGACCTGCGGCGAGGTGGCAAACGGGTAGCTGAGGAATCTTTGCGATGACCGCGATGAGAACTCACTCACCCAGTGGTACTGGCCTCCCAGGCCGTCTTACATTGATCACTCCTCGAGTCCTTGGCGTGGATGAGAGAGTGCCGGAGTCCCGGCATAAGCCGCAATATACATGGATATTGAACCCCCAGCATATCAGACAGCTCTAAGATGCGACTAAGTACAAGTAGGCAGTAAACCACAGACTTTTAGCTAACCTGGTCGGTAGGATCTACCTCAAGTTGAGCTTCCTCGTTGTCAGGCAACCTCGGAGTGACAAGCCACTCCGGGAGCAGGAGGGCCACTCGCAACTGCCTCGTTCCAGCTTGAGCATCGTAGACAGCTGCACTTACCAAAGGATCCACGAATTTCAAGCTGTTGGCATTTCCAACCGCTTCCAATGCTTGAGGACACGGAAGTCGCCGAAGACTGACGACAACCGCTTGCTCCGACAACTGCAAACACTTCTTTCTGGGAAAATTCGGTGCCGAGTAGGTATATCCCTCTTCTGTCAGCTCATGCGAGATAAGTAGGGACATTTCCAAACGAATCGACCTCATTGATGTGATCAAAGTTCTACACTCGACTCTCTCGAGTCCGCTCTCTCTCTCAACTGGGTCAATGCATATGGGTAATGCATGCGCCACTTCGTCTGCATCCCAGCGGGAATCTCAGCATTGGTCAATCCATGGTTTGTTATCAGAGTTCTAGACTCAACTGTCTCAACGGTCTGCATTAACCCTACGCCACGTTTACTGCATCTCGTCGGCTTGTTTCAGCCTTACCAGGCAACTCAGAGTTGTTATCATGGCAACTAGGAGCGCTTACTCCGGTAAGCGATGTCCCTGCGAATGAGAAATATCATATTGATGTGACCAGCTCGGATCATGCACAGCAAGAGTCCATGTGGACTCCTGAGGCTGATCGGAATGGTGAAATGGTTGCCCAGCTGTCTTCTTTCACTGCATGTGCAGTCACATAGGATCGTATTCCGGACACAGACCTCGGGAACCAGAAGTTCAAGTCTAGTTTTGCCCGGGCCGGGAAGTGAGGACTTGAGATGGCGGTACAAGGACATATAAAGTCCAAGTCCTTGTCACTGGATAATGGATGGTGGCAGAGTTCGCCCGGCGACGCGTCCTAACGACTTCTGACCGACATCCACTCTGCTTCACAGTTCGTTCTGCTTATCATTTGCTCTTTCCGATTACATTTTAACATTGCAGTACTAGCAGCCGTGCTGATCACTGCAACTCACAATGGCGACTCCAATTCCTACCATCGGGGTTGCTTCGATAACTGGTAAGCAGTTCAGTCCTGCATCATTGCCTCCAACATCTACGGTTTTCCTCCGCTAGAGCACAGCAGAAATCATGCTGATCTAACCAATACAGCATCAATCCGTGAGCGCAAGGAGGTGAGGGACCTGAAAGAGGACACGGTTATGTGGGAGCTTTTTCTTCTGGGACTCCTCAAGTTCCAGAAGGATGCGAAAGAGCACACGTCCTACTACGACATCGCCTGTGAGTGTCTTCATTCTCACTTTGAATAGATGCTCGAGTGATAAGGCTGATACCAAGAACACAGGCATCCATGGCGCGCCATGGGATGTCGCGTGGAACGGGGTAGACCGCAAGCTCATGGGAAAGAGCGGCAAGAAGAGTGGCGGTTACTGCTCGCATTCTTCCAACCTGTTTGCCACCTGGCATCGACCATACGTTGCCTTGTTCGAGGCTAGTATTCCTCTGAATATGAGATGGCACAGTTAAAATCTGACCAAGCGCAGCAAGAATTGTACAAACATGTCCAGGACGAAGCCGAGCGGCTCCAGAGAGAAACCCACCGTCTCGACCTGTTAGAAAAGGCGCGAGGCTTCCGGCTTCCCTACTGGGACTGGGGAGTCAAGAGCGGAAAAAACGCGCAAGAAGGCAGATTTCCCCTTGCCATCTTCGGGGAGAAGAATATCAGGATTACTATCGACCCGAAGCAGCATGAGATTCGGAACCCCCTGGCAGCCTTCTATCGATTCGAAATCCCGGGGAGCCAGGAAATTGCTGCAAGGGTAAGAACCCACATATTTTGAGATGGTATATTTCTCGGTTGTGTGTATTTCAAGCTGACAACTGTCTGGTCTGCAGATGAATTTGGATCCTTTTAAGTCTGAGGAATTCACCCTGAGATATCCCGGGCCTCCGCCGAAGTTAGCATCTCAGAATTCAGAAGTCCAAAGGGCACTTGACAATATTGGGCCCATCGGTTCCCAGATTTCGGGACTGTTTGCAGTTAAAGCAAACAGGGGAGAAAGTGAACTTACCCCTGAGCTCGACTTCAACGTGTTCGCGACGAACAAAATGGTAGGGAGTGGTGCTGCACACTATCCCAGCCTTGAGAGCTTGCATGACACCATCCACATAATTGTGGGCAGCGGGGGCCACATGAACATCCAAGCTTACGCAGCGTTTGATCCCATTTTCTGGCTTCACCATTGGTGAGTTGGATACCATACTCGGCCCGTCTTCGACATGTGATTGGATTCTTTCTTAAGGTGTATTGATTCTAACATGACGCTAGCAATGTCGACCGCCTGCTTGCGATCTACCAAGCGCTGTATCCAAAGAACTGGATCAAGGAGTGGAAGGCTGCAGGGAATGCTGCAGGGACCTTCACCACGGACTTTGGCGACGCTCAGAACGGCAGTACGAAGCTGTACCCTTTCTGGGATAAATCAGGAAAGCTGGACTCGTTTTGGACATCTGATGGTGTCAGACTCACGACAACACTCGGCTATACCTACCCAGAGACCTCAGACACGGTGCGGCAACAGCAGGGGACAAACTACACCACGTGGCTCCGCCGTCGGATCAGTGAGCTGTACCCGGTACCGTCTCAAATGCGTCGAAGAATCCGGGCAACAGAGGCCCCTGTGTCCTTCATGGCTGTCCAACCCGAGCCTATCCTCAAAATCGACAACCCCGGAGAAGACAACCTAGCCAGCGAGGGCATTTCCGTCACTGGGATTGCAGCAGAAACCACCTCCGAAGCCATCACCACCGCGGAGTCTTCCAAGCCGGAATACGACGAGTCCACATTCACGCTGTGGACAGCCAACATGCGCGCCGAGAAGCACGTCCTCGGGCAGCCGTACAGCGTGTACATCTTCTTACGAGATTTCCCTGCTGATCCCGCCACGTGGGATCTCAACCCCACCACGGTCGGTCTCGTGGCCATCCTAGGACAGAGCCAGGACACGGGCTGCGCCAAGTGCGTCACCGACATGGCGGAGGGTTTGTGCGTCACGGGAACAGTGTCGTTGACGGAGGCTCTGGTGGATGCGTACAACCTGGATGACGGAAACGAGGAGAGACTGACAAGTCTGGACAATGATGATGTGGCTAATTATTTGAAGCGGCATCTCCACTGGCGAGTGTTGCTGGCCGACAAGACAGAGGTGCCGCGGGATCAGGTACCGGGACTGATGGTATGCGTCTCGGCGGTGAAGGTCACGCTGGACGAGGATGGATTGCCAGTCTATGATCCGGATCATCGCGTGTACTACAGGGTCACGGATGGGAGGCCGGCCGGGTTGAACCGAGGAGATGAGGTCTGATTGTGTGGAATTTTCTTGCTGTTTTTCTTACACCTATTATCAAGGAGGTGGGGGTATGCCTGTAGCATGCCCGTTTCCGGCGATGAGTAGAGAATGCGAGTTGGCCTCTTTGTCTGCAACTCTGCATTGACCGTCGGTTTGTCCGAACCGGACAATGCTTTGCGTTGTGCGAGCTATGCAGCCTCGGCTCGCCGGACGCACAATGAATGACGCCAGATAAGTAAACATGGAGTGAAAGGGCGCGCAAAACGGAAACATCCCCCCCAGCACCGCAGATCGCATCGACGCAGTTGGACAGAACTCCCAAGATGGCCGACCACGACCGAGTACCCGTTCCCGCGCATCTGGCGGACCATGAAGACGACGACCAGGCTGACCAGAGGGGCTACATCAAGGGCACCGACTATGCGCTGCCCTACTTCTCGCGCTGGTCGCGCATCTACGAGAAGGAGGTCGACAGTGGTCTGCTGCGCCATGTCAACTGCGGCTACCTCTCGACGCACGGGGTGCCGCCGACGCTGCTCGCGCTGAAGCAGCACGCGCAATCGCTGTGCGTGCTCATCCATGCGCTCAACCCAACCCTCAACTCGGGCGAGATCGCCAGCGGCGACCCAAAAAGGGCGAGGCTGGACGCCACAGGAGAGGCAGACCCCCAGGCATTGAAGTTCGAGCTCAACGACGCCTTCGACTTCCTCACCGACCTCACCATCCCCTACACCAACGCCGACCCGAACCACCACAAGCCCTTGCACGCGCTGGCCAACGAAGTCCGCGGCCGTCACGAAGTAGCCGGAACAACCTACCACTGCCCGTTCGCCGAAACCAAACCGCGTTCCAAAGGCGACAAACAGAAACCCTACGCCAACCACCACAACCTGATCATGCACGCCAACGCCTGCCTGGAACGTCTCGACCACGAATTCAGCAGCACCGGCGGCCTGCTCAGCCTGCTGCCCCAAACAGAACCCGAAACCTCATCCACCCAGCACGAATCCCCCGACCTCCACAACGCACGCAAATCCCTCCTCGGGCAATGGCTCCTCTTCACACAGCACCTCGTCGCGCGCATGCACGACCTGGAACGGTCCTACGGCAACGCGCTCGACGCGCTCGCCAGCGACGCCTCCGTTCCTTTACAACACCTCTCCACGCTCGGGCCCGACGGCCGTTCCACAGGGCGCGAAATCGCATACCCGCAAGACCGCTGGGTGCTGGTCAACGCCGGCGACGATGTCTTTGCGCACGTGCATGACCTGCTTGATACCCAGGAGGCCATGGTCCAGGCCAAAGAGGCAATTTGGCACCGGAATGGGGTTGTGGGGGAAGAGATTTGGCGGAGGGAGCGGGGTGGCGAGGAGTATGCGCGGGGCATTGTGCCGGTGAATATTATGACTAGGTATTACCGGCTTGCGGGGAGGGGGAGGAATACGTTGTTTGTGATTCCCGCGTGGGAGGCGCATCCCGGGGTGGGGTATACAAGGGAGGTGGAGAGGAAGCCGACGGTTGTCATGTCGGTGAGGCAACCTAAAGTGCCGGCGGAAAGGGCGAGTGAGTTGGAGAAGAGGTATGATGCGTGGGTTGGTAGGATGAGGGAGGTGGAGAGGGAGAATGCGGAGTTGAGGGATGAGGAGGAGGCGGCGAGGGTGAGGACTGAGGCGCTGGAGCATGAGAATAAGCGGTTGAAGAAGGCGAATGAGGCGCTCAATCAAGCGATCGGGTTGGATAATGCGACGCTGGCGGAGGAGACGCAGGGCCAGCGTATGAGGGCTGCTAGGGCGGAGGAGAGGGTTCAGCAGTTGATGGCGGAGGTGGAGAGGTTGCGGGCGAGGGTTGGCGGGGAGGTATTGACTGTTTGACTTACCCCTTTTTCCCTGCTATATTTATTTCTCCTTTTTTCTGCCTTCTCCCCTTCGCTTACCACGTCCACCACTACAATGCTATGTTTAGGTAGGTACATTAGCTATGGAACGAAGATGGCAAAACGAATTGATTGGATCCCAGTCACAATTCAGGTCACATGCTGGAGTGTTAAGGTAAGCAGACACTACCTCTGGAGTGTGTCTAGCATAACCTGAAATGATATCATTCGTCATCCTCGGCAGGACTCCTTTCCGGCCGGTGATTACCTACTTTGCAGTGTTATTCGTCTTTGCAGCCCTACCTACCACATTCCTTCTAGCGTTTTCAAACCCTTCGGTCGCTGCTGCTTCGTACAGTGACTTCGCAACAAAATCAGAATGATGACAATGGTGTCGTCATTGAGAGCCTTCAGGCTGGCCACGGCCCTTCTGGCTCCAGGTGTCACCGTATCAGCCAGCAACCGGGTACCGGCGCTCCGGAAGCGAAACACGCACCAATGTCCACATATAGCAGCCGTTGATGATCTATTCGAAAATTATCCCTCAGGTCCTGCCACCTTTGCCAATATACCATACGTGAACTGCTTCTCGGCGGACTCCACTGCTAAGGCTGAATACGATATCGCTATCCTTGGGGCACCGTTTGATACGGTATGCAACTGAAATAAAAGGACATGTTCCAGTGAATTGGCTTCACTGCTAGCAGTACAGTAGTTTCGACTAACATCAAACATGATGATATCCCAGGGCGTCACCGGACGACCGGGAGCGAGATTCGGCCCTCAGGGCATTCGAGCCGGGTCATGGCGGATATACCCCGAGTACGCTTGGAGTGTCTACGCAGGTATTCCAGTTCGATTCATGGTTGTTATCTCTGACTGGCCAGCCAGTCCCCTCCCCATGATGGAATTACAGCTTCTGACCGACCAAGGGCGGAACCCATTCAAGGACTGGGCCAGGATCGTCGATTGCGGTGATGCGCCACTGACCTGGCTCGACAACTCCATTGCCTTGGCTGCGCTGGAAAGGGCACACCTGGTAACGCACACTGGCACCCTGATACTAGTAATGACAGCGGCCGGTGATGGGCTAACTTGTGCTCCGTATATGTAGTTAGTATCGGGCCGCCCTGCGAAATCAGCATCCAACATGAAGGGTTCCATACCCAGGATAATCACTCTCGGCGGTGACCATACAACGACTCTTCCTGCCCTCCGAGCAGCGTTTCAGAGATGGGGAGAGCTGTCTGTGGTCCATTTTGATGCTCATATCGGTCAGTGTCGAGTAGTCCACCCCTGGTTTGGCTATCTGTGCGTTCCGCAGTAGCATAAGAATGTCTAATGCACCTCTGTTGACAGATACTTGGGACCCCAAGGTCCTCGGGGGAGAGTCACGATATGCGTAAGTTCGAGGAGGGCCTCGTCTCCAGGCCGCTGTCAAATGTACCTAGGCAGACCAGGGATGCTGACATTAGGACTCAGTGGAACCAACCACGGCACCTTCTTGCATATTGCGCATGAAGAGGTGTGAATGCCATCCCAACAAGCCAGTTCCAGTCCCAGTTGGCCACTGACTTGTCCCCCTAGGGTCTCATCAGCAACAACAGCATCCACGCCGGCATTCGGGCGCCAGTTTCAAGGCCAAAGGAAGACATGGAAAACGACAGACGCTGCGGATTCTCAACCATAACAGCAAGAGACCTGGACAAGCTGGGGACTTCTGGCGTTATTCAGGCCATACGGGATCGCGTTGGGAGTTCGAGGGTTTACATCAGCGTCGATATTGACGTGCTTGATCCGGCGTATGCTCCTGGTAAGTGCTTCTATTTTTTTTTCCCCCGCTTGACTAACCCACACGGTATTGGGTGAGACAGACGCTGATGAGATGGGAACTATCCTGATAGCAACCGGCACTGCTGAACCAGGTGGCTGGACTACTCGGGAATTCCTGACAATTCTTGATGGCTTGGTTGGCCTTAAAGTTGTGGGCGCCGATGTTGTGGAGGTGGCACCGGTTTATGACAACGTCGGAGAGATTACCGTTCTCGTAGCGTCGGAGGTTGTTCAGTCGTTGCTCGATCTGATGGTTCAGGTGCCTGTCGAGTAGGGGTATCTGTAGTAGGCTCCTAGCTTTGTCCCAGGCTGCTTGAGGTACAAACCTTAGTGTGCTAATATCGGGAAATCCCACCTCTTCCTGAAGCGTTATCTGGCCAGCAGTGCCTTTGAAAATTCACGAGTATATATTCTACCCGAATTTGTCGAGTTGCTGTGCTGCCACCGCCACTCGTCACCCCAGTGCTACCGTGACGGTGCTGACAAAATGGAGTTGCCGTGGCAACAATCGCTTTGCCCCGAAATGTGCCGCCACATTTCCCCGCAACGGCCAGTCCTGCGGCAAACCCGACCGTTCAAGGCAAGAGCGAGCCAGTTTCTGCATAAGCGCAGCGATTTGGCCAATGACGGACGCAAGAAGCCGATTCAATCGCGCTGCTTCTTTTGCAGCCGCAGAAAAGGAAAAGGGTGCTTTGTTGACATTGCATATCGTGCGACCCCTCATAGCTCTCGATGCGTCCATTTTTCGCCCGGGTCTTCCCTGGTTCCATTCTGCCGTTTACCTCGGTGTCGAAGCCAGGTCATCGTGCAGAGCTTTTGCGGAGATGATGTCCTGTTCTTACTCTTGCCGGCCTTGTTTTTAGAGCATTGTTTATTCGTACTTGGCATCTTGCTCTCTGCAGCTCCTTTCCCAGCAACGTACCCCCATCGCAAATCAGGGGAAGAGACACGTCGTCATCTCTTCATCGGCTATTGTAGGGTGCGTCGATCGCTCGTAAACATGCCGTGCTAAGCGAGAGCGACACCAGCCAGCTCCGGTTTTCCAACAAGACGTCCAATGCAGGCTCCCGCCCGGGGGATGGCCTGGTCGGGGCCCCTGTCGCCGCCCGGGCCAGGCCCCGCAATCCGGCTCCGTCCCAGGCCCGGTGCCCGTTACCGACGGCACGCATCCAGACCAATATGGACGGCTTTCACCTTTGCATCTCTTAGTCTGGCCGTACTCGCAAGCCCAGAGCGGACGCTGCCCTACGTCCCCACGACTATCTTGTTACCCCCAGACGCCGGCAGCAACGGGAGCAAGTCGGTAGCCTACATCTTCACCCCCCGCAACGACGACAGCCACGCAGTTGACTTCCTCGCCCTCAACATGTCGTCCACCTTGGATGCCTCCTCTCTCCAACCAGACACTCTAACACCAAACCTACCGTTTCTGTCTCCATCCGCGGCCAACTGCACGACCTTTGCGCCCACGATCCTACATAATGGCACCGTTGCGGTAGCAGCAGGCGACTGCTCTTCATCAAACTCCCCGTCCTCCCTCTGGACGTACGCCCCAACCTCAGGGACATGGTCCCGGCACGACATAACCCCAACCTCGGGCTGGGACAACGCGCAGTCAGGACCGTACTCTCTAGGCGGCATTCTGGCCTTCTCCGCCCAACTCAAGCCCGTCCTCTCCGAGCCAACCGTGTACCTCTACGGCGGGATGTGTCCCTGGGCCAACACCAACACCAGCGACAACAGCGACACCTCCCCCCAGGCATCAGCGGCCTACTCAAACCGGATGCTCCGCCTTTCCCCCCCAACAACAGCATCACCGTCCGCCGCGGATGGCTACACACTTACCTACGCCCCGAATACAGGAAGCGGAGGCCCGATCCCCGCGGCAGGCTTCACCCTGACCGAGCTAACCCCGTCCCTAACCACCCGCCGCCCGGGGGCAGGGGGCTCAACCGACACCGGCGACGATAACAACAACAACAGCATTGATGATGGCAATGCCATTGTCACACAGCAAACAAGCCACCTCCTCCTCGGCGGCCACACATCACAAGCCTTTGTCAACATGAGCACGGCCGCGGTCTGGTCGCTGCCCGAGGAGACGTGGTCGTTTGTGGCCATCGCGGCCCCCTCAGGTACTACTACTACTACTACTACTACTACTACTACCACTACCGGTGGGGCGACCGAGTTGGCTGTACGGCAGGGGGCAGAACAGGAACAGGTGGTAGTGGACAGCAGGTCCGGCCACACGGCCGTGCTGAGCGAGGACGGGTCCGCGGTGGTTGTTTATGGTGGCTGGGTGGGCGACCTGAACACACCCGCCGAGCCGCAGTTGGCGGTTTTGAGGATGGGGGTTGACGGAGTGCAGGTTGGGTTTGAAGGCTGGCGGTGGGAGGTTCCAACACAGGCTCAGGATGGGGATAATGGGAACTGGAGGGGGATTTATGGTCATGGGGCTGTCCTGCTGCCGGGGAATGTCATGATGGTGTGGGGCGGGTATGAGATTGCGCCCGGGGCGGAGGGGAATGGGAACGGGAAGAAGAGGCAGGTTGCTGGGGGTCAAGGGCAGAGGGTGTTTTTCAATATCACTAGTCTGACTTGGTCGGACCAGTATGTCAATCCGCTGGGCGCGGGGAGCAGTGGCGGTGGTGGGAGCGGTGGGAGTGGCGGCGGCGGCAGTGGCGGCGGGACAGCAGCGCCGCCTACCGACCGCGATGAAGATGAAGCCCACAGCTCGGACCGCAGCAGACAGATCGGTCTAGGTGTTGGTCTGGGCGTCGGGTTATTCGTCCTCCTTCTTCTCTCGGCATTTGCCGTCCGCTTCTTCCTCCGACGACGCAAGCGCCGCGCCGCCCGCGACGAGGCCCTGCGTGGCTTGGCTCAGGGCGTCAACGGCTCGATGCCCCGTGGCTTTGGCGGGGATGACGAGATGCTCGAGCGCGACTCGGATGACATCTTCCCCTGGACCGCGTCCTCGGCGCGCGAATGGTACACTGGCGGACACGATCCGTACACCCTAGGACGGCGCTCACTGGGGTATGAGAGCCTCCGAGGCGGCAAATCCAAAAACCTGCCGTCGCTTTACATCCCGCCACCGCCAATGTCGTCCAGTTCGGGGACTCGCCCGCGCGGCGCCAAGGGCCTCTACACACCCTCGACCGGCATGGGGTCGAGCGGCGCGTACGACTTTACCCCTGCCATGCGCACACCAACTCGCATCGAGCCGATCTACGAGGCCGACGAGGACGAGGACGGCGAGAAAGGCGCCAACTTCCCACTCAACCCCGAGAAAGACGAGGCTGATGACGACGACCCGTTCCTGACGCCCGCTGCCGAGAGTCCCGTGGGCGGCCTGTTCCCTCCGCCAAGCACCAGCGGCGGCAGTCCGACCTCGCGGAGCTCCGCCAGCCGCAGCCCAGAGCGCCAACCTGTGACTACCCACGGTGGTCGGGGCCAGGAGCAGGACGCCGATGTGCAAGGCTGGGTCTCCGACGTCGACGCGGCAGATAGCATCCTGGCCGCAAGAATCGCCCAGCGCCGGTCTAGCATCCACAGAACGCCACCTCGCCAGCAGCAGCAGGCAACAACACCAGCGGCAGGCACAAGCCGTGGCGCTCCCGGCTCACCCAGCCGTCGACTCTCAACCCGGTCCGGCAAGTCGGCCAGGTCGTCCAAGTCCAAGCACAGTGGCATAGCAGCCGACGCCATGTCCGACTCGGGCCGCACAGGTAGCAATCTTTCAGAGCGCAGCACGTTCAGCTTCGCGCCAAGTGTCAGCCGGCTGCGCGCAGCAGCGGCTGGTATAACCTCCAGCAGTAAAAACAATAACACCGGCGACGCGGCCAGCACACACTCCAGCTCGGCACATACCTTCAGCACGGCCAAGTCGCACCTGAACAACAACAACAACAACAATAACAACCGCGATTTCGCAGCGCTGCAGGCTGAAGGGCCGGGGTTGTTGATGGGAAGCAGCAGCATACCCTCTCCACATACAGACGACCACCACTACTACTACAACACCAACAACGAAGCAACCGGGCTGTCCGATGACGATTACATCCCAGTCCCCAGCAGCCCAAGCAAAGCCGACCGGCGCTCGTCATCATCTGCGTTACGCAGGAGCTGGTTCGGCAGTTTACGGCGCGTGTTCAGCGGCGGCACAGCCACGCCCGACAGCAGCAGCAATACCACCACCAACACGGGACTTGGCAGCTCTCGCGGCGACAGTCCCACTTGGGGATTAGGTTTCGGCGGGCTCTTACCCACCGGTACCGGGGCGGACTACGAGTCACACCACCAGCATTTGGCTGGGGGGAGTCTTCAGCGGAGGAGGGCTCCCCAGGGAGAACATGGGGGTGATGGGGAGGGGGAGGAGTGGGACGTAGAACGCGCCGTCGAACAGAGGCTGGTGCAGGTCATGTTCACGGTGCCGCGGGAAAAGCTGCGGGTGGTCAACGCCGAGGTGGAGAGGGAGGTTGAGCTTGAGGAGGAGCAGGTTGGTGTCGTGGTTGATCCGGCCCGGGACTGGGACCATGACCATGACCGGGACGGGGTGCCTCCCGAGGAGGAGGGTGCGGGAGAGGTTGAGCTGCTAAGCCCCTCTCCGGGTCCGGGTCAGCATCCCGAGTCCGCAGATAATACTATCGCCAGAGAGCAGGACGGTGACCGTGACAGGCACCGTGCCTCAACAGCCACCCCGGAGTCGGAGGCAGATCCGCACATGCACCACCACCCACTCTCACTCTCACTCCCGCTCACAGCCGGCGGCGGCGGCGGCGGCGGGGGGATCTCACCGACCCCATCGCTGCGGGCCGTGTCCATCACGACGACAACGTCAACAACGCTGCACACAGCCGAGGCGGTGCGGCTTGAGCGGCCCGGAGGACCCGGCCGCCGCACACGGGTACTGAAGATGGTGGAGAGCTTCGAGTCACGCAGTGCCAGTGCCAGTGCGACGAGCAGGGACAGCAGTCCCGGCCGCGAGGGCAGTCCGGTGCGGTGCGTGGGGTCTTGATTCTGTGTTGAGAGGGGCCGGAGATCATCTTGGCCGTTGATCTCGACTCCCAAGGCGTTTCAGGTTACGTCATGGGTGATTGGCTGTGATAGATGGACGCTCTTGGTGTTTATTTTTTTCGCAAGGGGAATGATGGGTTGGGATACACGGACGGCTTGGCTGTCCTTGATGGGCTTGCTGATTGGGATAGGGACAAGTTCTGGGCTGATGTATGACTTTGTCGTTGGGGATTCCTGTTCAGAGGGAGGCGCATGGTGTTTTGTTTCATGTCGTGTATGTGCAACTGTAGTACAGTATACACGTAGCTAAATGTTAACGGGGTCAAGTGTCAATGAATCATTCTAGTTTCCCCTTTTCCCTTACCTGCGCGTGTCTCCTGGATCGGCCGGTGACGTCTTCGGTTTCTCAATTCCAACCCGGCAACCATCTCGGAGGGCCGCTCCGGACGGCAGCCGGAAACGTCAAAGGGGCCGCTCGGCGCCGATCCTCATCTCTGGACGGCCCGCCCGCTGACAGGGACGGCCGGGAAATGACCACTCAGAAATCCGCGCAGCAGTGCCAAGGATATCGCGGGATCGGCGGCGCTACTGTAACGTTAGCGCGAATGTCGTTTCCATTCCGGCGATGGGTGAACTCTGGTAGGTAACGTGCGTACGGAGCTACATAATTGGATTACAGACTGGAACCCTTGCCATCCATTGTTGAAAACATGTCCTGTCGATCCCCAAAACCAGACTGCGAACTGCAAAACTGTGTTGCCGCAATGTAAATATGGTGCTCGACATGTAGTCTACTGTGCTTCCGGACTTGCAAAACAATGTAAAAATTACAAGACCTTATGGGTGGTGCGGGAACAGCGATGTGAGCAGGGTGAGACAGATGCAGGCTTGCGTGTCAAGAAGAAACATGAGCATCTCATAGGGAAATCTGTTGTGTCATGAAACGCGCTACAATCGACATGCTTTTGCCAGAAGTTTTTTAAAAGGCTTTGATACGCTCGTGGTTGGCATGCAAATGAATGGCTGCATCTCCCCCGCTCCTGCCACGGACATCGGCGTCTTGTGAAGCCCGGATTTTGTTGAGGTGCAACCTAAAATATTTTCACGTTTCTCTCCACTAAGGCTGATAGGTACGTAAGGTCAGTGAATACAGCTGTCACTGCTTGCTGGTTGGATGCGTAGTGTAGTGTATGGTAATCGCGCTTTATATGACCTGCGCCCATCGAACTTTAAGAAGCGGCGCAGCCGGCCGTCCTCGCATACGTGATGCCGGGATGCCTCGTTTTCCGATCCCGTCGCTCTCGATAGTCGATACGATATCTGTTGCCCGTAACCGGCAGAGCAATACGAGCCTCAGGTGACAATGGGGCTACTTCAGTGCGTCGATAGGCAACCCAAGGTCGCAACCAGGCTGCAGGCTGCACACGAAGGAAAAAAGAGCACGAGGTCTTTTTTTCTTGCTGTTGACTCGAGTCTCGAGAGTTCAAGAGCATTCCACTCGACTGATTTCCAAGGTCAATCAAGCCGAGCATGCCGGCCGGCCACCTGACTGCGATCCAATACGAGTTGGATTTGAACGAAACAATGGAAACGAAACGAAAGATACCCGCCAAGCCCTCAAGGTGCTGAGGGATCCGCCATGTCTCCGCCGCCATCAGCGGTTTCAGCACCCGCAGACCGGATGGGGAAGCACGGACGGCCAATCGCGCAGCGCCAAGGACCACGATTCTTTCCCGTGAAATTCCCAAGCATTCGGCATGGGCGGTGGATACGGATACGGATCTGCTGGCTGCAAGAGCACCAGTGGGGAGGTGACGACATGGCGCTCTGATCAGAAACTCGGATGATTTCCTTACACTACGTACTTTACGGAGTACCTTCCATTCTTCCATCCGCGAATAGGTAGATTGTGCTCGTTCCTGTGTTCGTGCTCGAATACTAGCAATGGCGTTATTGAAATGTTAGGTAGTTGGTATTGAGTTTAGTACTCCCTAAATACAGTGACTTAGGTGTTGCAGGCCCTAGAAGCGGCCATCCCTCCCTTGTCATCAAACATCCCGCAGCGCCTCTTTTCATCTTCCCCCACCCTGTCATTGTTGGCTTGGTTTCCTGCTCCACGACGCTGCAGGGAACAGGGCACCTGCCTTCCCACCTAACCTGCCTCCTCAGCTGCCTTCTTTCCCGGGCCGCAAACAATCCTTCCAGTCGCACCAACTTCACCACCATTCTTTTTCCCTCTCCTCCCAACGCTTCAGTCATTCCTCTCTTTTTGGATCTTCCTCCTTTCATCCCCGCTACGCGACGTCGACCATTGTCCGGTCGAATCGCCCAGGAAAGCCGTCGAGTTGGCCGTCGAATCAATCCGGAAGCCACGCACGCAACTGGCCCTCGACCTCTTATTTTCTCCGCAACCTCTCGCTGCTGATTTGGCATGGCCAGAACTCCGACCCGGCCAATTCACGCCTGAGGTCCGACCCGACCACGAATCATCTTGTGCATGGCACGCTCAACACCAATTGGCTGCCTTCGACGTCCCTTCGAAGCCTAACTCGGCGCTGACCTGTCTCGGATTGCGCGGCTTGTCGACGTTGACGTCCAGATAAAAAAACAACAAGCAGTTCGCCCGCCATGGTACCACATCGCAGCCGCCCCTTACTGAGGGCGAACTTTAGCCTCGCCGTCATTCTATTCAGCATGGCGAAGGGTCAGCCCTCACATCCCATAGAATACTGTTCGCCCGTCAACACGGCCGATATGGAACCTTGTCAGTTACGCTTTTTGCATCTTTCTCTCCACATTTTGACGCTGACCGCTCTCGCAGTTTCCTACACATGGCAGAGTGAAGGCCGCTGTTTCGGCAACTGCACCGATCTAAACTACGCATTCGCCGTCCTGAATAATTACGATTGCTGGTGCTCCAATGTGGTGCCCAACCCCGACGACCAAAAGCCGGTTGAGGAATGCCAGTTCCCTTGTCCCGGCTATCCTACCGATTATTGCGGCGGAAACGGGGGGTTATTTGGCTACTTGGAAATCGCTGCGAATAAGCCGACAGCGACAGCACCTGCAGGATTCGGCTTGTCCGCATCAACATCAACAACCTCGTCGGTAAGCAGTTCTCTTTCCGTCTAATCTGTTCTGTCGGATGGCAGGAGATACACCATCTTCTTCTCTTTTTTCCCCTTATTTCCTTCATTTCTACTATCTTCCTCTCTCTTTCCTCTTGGTCGCCTTACTTTTGGCTCTCTGTTGCGCATGTGACTTTCGACGCCCTCTGCCGTTCTTACGACTCCGCACGCTGAATTCCAGACGACAGAGCAGTGCCCAAACCACGTCGACCGTGACGTCGTCGAGCTCCGAGTCGAGCTCTTCTACTTCTATTGTTTCTTCCTCTTCTGTATGCATGGTGTCCGCTCCTTCCGGCACATGTTTTGATACTCACCCGGAAATGTCTCCGTGAAAATACTGACTCCCTCCACAGGGCCGCAGCACACCAACGACGCCGACAATTCAAACCGTGACAGTGGGCGGAGTCGTCCAAACCGTCACTGTGTCTCCCGATGCCACCGCTACCAGCGACCCGGCGTTATCCGGGGTCGAAAACAATGCCGGCCTCGAGACAGGCGCCATCGTCGGAATCGTGATTGGTGTCATTGGTGGACTGCTTGTGCTTGCAGCCTTCATCTGGCTGTTCCTAATGAAGCGGAGGAAAGAGAACCAAAACGCCGGCACAGGCTACATCTCGCCGATTCCAGGCGGCGGGTCTCCAGGGACCATGACGACGCCGACAACGGGGGAGATCTCGGGAGGCGGGATTTTTGCAGCAGGCTCCCAGTCGTCCGGAAAGAGACGCAGCTACCTCATGCCCGTTGATCCGCGCCTCGATCCGTTCCGCGCCGGCGGCCCGAACAAGAGCCGCGAGAGCTTTACTTCACTGCAGGACAACGAAGACTACTCGAGACCGGTTCACGAGCCCCCAAGGGTTCTGCGGGCTACGAACCCTGACCCTGACGACGACTGATCGATTTGCCAGCTCCTCCGAGGAGCACGCTTGGGAGAAATAATTTGATTGCTATGGATGTGCATGGGGCTGGGTTATCACGACGTACACGAAACCTACCAGTCGGTTTCCTGTCTCTCTCTTGGCATCTCATGAGCCTCTTTTTTCATTATCGTTATGGTACTGCATTTGCATTCCGAGATACCACGGGTCACGGTGTTCAGGCGCGAAGAAGTTCTACATATTACTAGGTTATTGGGCTGGTCGCATGTCTCTTTTGTCAAGACGGAGAAAGAAAAGAAGGGTCTGTTTGAATTGTGTAACTGGGGAACACGGATTGCATGCTGGCTGACACGGTTGTCCTCCTCTATTGGAGTGTCATGAAGACCACCACCCCTGATTCGACTATCGTTATATCTTGTCACGAGGCGAGAGTTCTCTCATCGATACAGAAGCAAATCTGGTTGGGAACGGAGCACTAGCAGGTTTGGGAAGGGGATCAAGGTCTGGGATGAAGGGGATTGCATTGTAATATACTGCTGGGTTGGCGGCCAGCGTAGTTGCTGGTGTTTTATATTACATGAGATCGCCGATAACTACCTACTTAGTTACAATCCGACATGCTATGATGTTGGCCTAGCGCTTTGAAGAATGGACTGTGAAAATGGTTTAAGTTGACCCTGTGCACGCCCCTCCCGGGCCGTTATCCATGAGTTGAACAGTGTCGTTTCCCTTGTCCTTGATCCGAGTCCAGATTCGCCCACTCTCGGCGAACCCTTAATAGGTTCGTTGATCGGTCTATCTGTGCAATTCCAAGGTCGGTCTCGTCGAGACCCAATTCCATCTTGCTCGACATCGGCTTTGTAACATGGGGAATCCTCAAATCTCGATCTCGATGATGGGAAGATCGGTGGTTGGGCGCTTCTGCATTGCAACTGAACCGAGGAACCGTTTGGGTCGTACTCGGCGCCTCATCCTTGCACTCATCGAGATTTAAGATTTGGCTTGATTGCAAAATCAAGATCATCCAGAATAATTGGATGTACGGAACTACGGATTTGGTTCAATGTAAGGTCTGGTACCTGAAATTTCGCGGACTCGGACTCGGGTGCCGACTAGGAGGGCTATCTGTACCTTATCTGATGCCGGTGTCCCGCTGCGGTGCCCTGTTCCCCCTGAGAATCTTGGAGTAGGTTGGAGATCTTTTAGGCGCGCGATAAGTTACTGCCAATACTGCCGCGTTATCGCTCATTCCGGGGATAAAACAGGGAATCGGTAGTAGTACGGCACCTGTTTCGGCCGAAGGAGGGTATATTGTTGGAATGGAAGGGCTTCCGGACCTGACACTCCGGACCCCGGTCCTCTTCGTGTGGGTGCTTTCGATGTACTGTATACCGGGCTGCTAATGTTAAGTTGCAAAGAGAGTACTAGTAGCTAGTATAACAGTATAAGGATGTGGATATCTCAGTCTTCACGGTGGTCATACTGCAAGAGTCGAATATGCTGATTCCCCCTGTCAGTTGCAGTATCTACTCGTCGGCTCGTCGACGTCGTGAGGCCAATAATGGGCTTGCCAACGCGTATCGGTGAACGGGAAGAGCATAACTGGTGCTCCTCCCACTTGTCATCGATGCTAGGCACACACACACATACTGATAGACTCAGGAGCAACAACATCCAGATTGTGTCCATCAACCAGGAGTTTATCATTCGAGCTCATCTCCAGTCCAGGTGTAGTCGTGTTCTGTCCTGTACATACAGGTTTTCGTCTGTCTGATCTGACCAGATCTTATCAAATTCATCCCACGTCTATCTCCCTCCCCGCCTGGCAAAGCAAAGCAACGCAAAGCAAGCATCATAATCATCATGCTCCAAAATGCTCCCAAACACAGTGAACGCCTCGCTATGTAAAGTAAATGCAGACCTGACTCCAGCCCAAGCAACGTGTTGTATCTAATGTACATACAGAGCATATTCTCCCCTTATCGTACGCAGCCATCTCTCATGTATGCCTCCAAGCAATTCTCAATACTAGATCGGCTGGTTTCTCCTTCCTCCTTCTTTCGCTCGCATGTTCAGATCATGTTATCATGTACGGTCGGCACAACACGGACACGTGGAAATCGAAGAAGCTTAGGTATGGCCCAGGACCTCAATCAAGCCGTTGTATGGACCACAGATGTCTAACCCGGGGCAGCTGAACGGGCTGGGTGCTAACGGCCGTGTCCGATGGGAAAGGCTTCAAGTCCTGGCTTCACGTCGTTTCGTTATTGAACGGATGTACACTTTATAGAAGAATGAGAAAGTTTTTTCTGGTCGAAGCTTTCGTTCCAGGAAGCAGCGGTCGCCAACACAAAACTCCCTCCCTGGACGTGGACTGGACTGCTGATGCGCAGACACTTCCTCAATCTTAAGACTTGACTGTTCAGAAAAGTCGCCGGAACAAAGTGTAAACGAAAATGTAAACAGTCGAATTTCGGACCGCCCAAATATTGTCAAGTCTAGCAACTGGCCGCGTGTCTTTGTTCGCTCTGAAATGTTTTGTTTGTTTCCTCGCCCACCCAGAAAAAGCAATGCTTCATCCTCATCCCAATCTGATCTGATCGAACTATCCGTGATCCTCTCGTGGGTCTTCTTCATCCGCATCGTACCGCCCGCTCAGTATTGTACTTGTACTCACTGAACCCAACAGGCCCAAAATGACATCGAGCACTACTACCGCCGCTGCCGTTTGTCCTGATGGTTCCCCGACTCTGCACCTTCCGTCCTGCGCTTCCTGGCCCGATCGTCGCCCCGCGGATCGCCGCGGTCATCGCCCGGTCTCGATCTAGACTCTCTAGACGATGCGCCGCCGCCACGCGAAGAACCACTCCGAGCATAATCTTCACCTCTACCTGCCCCCTCGCCCCTGCCACCATGTCCCTCAGCCCTTCCACCCGGCCCTGGTGGGCCATCATTCCGGTGACTTCGATGACTCGACTCGCGCGACGGCGGCGGCGCGTCTCTGCCGCCTGGGGGTGCCTCCCGGCTGCCGCCCGTCGATTCGCGCATGGGTCGGCGAGGAGCACCCATTTCCCGCTCGTCCCGGTTGCCGCTGAGAGTGCCCGACGACGGATGACTCCTCCTATCCCTGCTGTAATCGCGGGGATCCTTGGCCTCGCGTTCACGGTCGTGGTCCTGGGAGCGCTCCCGACTGCTGCGCCTAGAAGGCCGACTGCTGCGGTCTGACCGATGGTGGTCACGCCGGCCACGATCGTGTTCGTTCCGGTTAGACCCGTAGTCTTCCCCATTCAAGCCACCCCGGCCATCGCGGCTGTCTCCTACGACCTGTATCGGCTCTGGTCCGCGCGGCGCACGATCTAGGCTCATGTCCCGACGTGACGGGTCCCGAAGAGCATCCGGCCGCTCGTGAACAGGAGTCGTGACGGGAGAGGAGCCGGCCAGTATTTGCGCATCTGACCCCGCCAAGCTAGGCCGTGTCCGTGGCATTCGCGAGCTCGGACCTCGAGCATTGTCCGCCGATGCCTTGTCTAATGTATTCTGAATACCCCGAAGCTGTCTCCCCCCTGGCCGTAGCCGCTCAGTCCCGGCCGACGGCCCAGTCGGGGTTGTCGAGAAGTCAGAATTGGCTCCTGGTGGCCCTTGTCGCGCTCCCGAGCTAGGCACCGATATTGATGGTCGATCCGGCGTGTTCATAGGCGGCCGTGAATGCGGGCTGCCGCCGGTTGGCTGAGAAGCAATCTGGTTAAGCCGATCTGGATGAATGCCTGCTGGTCCAGCCGGCGGTGGTGGGGGCGGAGGCGGGGGCGGAGGAGGCGCTGCTTGTTGGCTGATGTGACGCACTCTATCCGGGTGCACTCCCGGGGCAGGTGGCGTGGCCGTGGTCGGCGAATTTGGGTTGGCCATATCGTACTGACTTCGCCGCGCACGCGATGCCGACGGCCCTGTTGGCGGATGGCGTTCAGGGGTCGGAGGCCTGATTGGCTCCAGTCCGGGGAATCTGTTGTCTGGGCGCACAGGGGGTCCGCTGCTTGGCCCGGTTCTAGCACCACTCCTACCACCGCGGCCTCGAGGACCGGAGGGTGCACCTGCGGGCATGTCGACCACTGACTGGATTGGGTTTAGCCGGCCGTAGTTGGGGTCTTGCTGATTGAGCCTGCCGTGATCGGGATCCGGGCGGGGCGCGCCGCCATATGGCGACTCCCTAGGTCCGGCCATTCTCTCTTCGCGGTCTGCACCGCGGTCCGGCCGCGGGTGTGACGGTGTGCTGTCTGCATGCACCTCTCGGCTTAACCCGTGCGGCTCCGGGTGTCGATGCCGGCCATGACGGTCCTCGCGGATATCCGGCTGAGGAGCATTCAGCGTAGGACGATCTGTTCGTCTGGGTGACTCTGTTCGAGTGGGCCGCTCACGAGACTCACGCGACTCGCGAAGCTCACGCTGTTCACGCTGTTCACGCTGCTCCCGTGGCTCCCGAGGCTCGCGCGGTTCACGAGGTTGGTCTCTGGGTGACTGGCGTAACGGAGGCTCTCGCGTGTCATTGATAAGTGCCGCTCGAGCAGGGTTGATGATTTCAGGTCGGTCAGCTTCTCCAATTATTCGTGCCCGTTCTGGGTTAATCGGAGGCTCCTGCGTGCCGGTCTGAGTTGCGGTTGCTGGTGGAGTGGAAACTGCTGGCTCTCTCGGTGGCCGAGAGTCGGTGCGGCCCGAAGGATGAGCCGGTCTTTCTCGCGGGAGACGACCATCTCGCTCAGCTGGTGGGCCGTGATCGTTCCACCGCGCCGGGGGCTCTGGTCGGCTCGGCCATTCTCGGTCGGCCGGACGCCCATTATCGCGCGGTGGGACATCGCCTGCGCGCCGGTCAGGTGGGAAGTCTCGAGGTCGCTCCGGCCGTGCAGCTTCCGGAGTTCGGTAATCCCTACCCTCCCGAGTGGGATGGGGCTCGCGAATGTCACGTTGGTGCGCATCTCGTGGCTCGCGATTGTCTCTGTAATCGCGAGCATCCCGGGGCGGCACATCCCTCCGGTCGTGCCGAACCTGGTCGAACCTAGGCATGGGCACATTGGGTCGGCTGGGAAGATCTGGCCTGCTTGGAAGTCCGTGGCCACCTGGGGGCAGTGTTGAGAATTTGGGGGGTTCCTGTCGACCACCAGGAGTAGAGATGGGCTGAGTAGGCTTTGGGGTGACTGGCCTTCCGGCATTTGTGTTGGGCGCGCCAGGTTTCTGCGCTGGCGCGTTCGTGTCTCTCGACGGCTCCTTGACTGGCGGTGCCTTTGGCGGATTGGGTTCCTTTGCTTTCGCGGGCCCGCTACTAGCTTTACTGTCCTTGACTTCCCCGTCCTCCACCTCGGTAGGTTGCTGGGCACGGGCTCCATTGGGCTTAAACTCAGGTGCCGATGCGCGGAGAGCAGAGTTGGCCGGGGTCGTGGATCCTCTGCCTTCCTCTTTGCTATCGCCCTTCTATGTACGGTCAGTGTCCGCTGCTCTGCACGCTGGAGCATATGTACTTACCACGCCTGGTCGGAACGCCTGGACGAGGATCCATTTGGATTTCCTCTTTTGCAACTCCGAATAGGTCGTTTGTGCCGTGACAGAAAGATCCACCCGGTGACCATGCTCAGATTCCGGTGCGTTCTTGGCGGGTGCCTCACGCTCGGTGATGGTCTTGAGCTGGTCAAGGAACTTGTCGGCCATGAAGTTGATGGCCGGGAAGAAGTCAATGACGGTTTTGAGGATGGTAATGGCATTGCGGATGTGCATCCACTCCATTCCATTCAGGCAGGATCTCAATGCTGTGTTGAGCTCCTTATGCCAACGAAACAGGAGCTCCTTGAACGGATCGTGCTCAATAAACTCGGTGGGCTTTCCTTCCGCATCGAAGGCTGTAGCAAATCCGAGATATTGTCTCGTCTTGTTCCCCTGGAGATCCTTGAGACCTAGGGCTTCCTTTTCGTAGAGGGCCTTGTCGCCGTGCCACCTAGAGAGATCGCCAAGAATGAGCTTCAGGAAACGACCCAGGTGCTCAGCCTCACGCACCGTGCAGGTGAAGATGATGGCACGTAGGCGATTGTGGTTAAACAATCGGTCGTAAAGCGACATGAGTTTGAAATTTGGCGCAGAAAACTCGTGAAGGAATTTGATAAGCCTGAAGCAGTATTCTGAGTCCAGTGCTGAGAGCTGCAGCCGGGGCAAGATGCATTCTTCAAGCAGGGCATCGGAGGTTGCATCAGCTTTCGCCATGCCCGCTGGAAACCAGGTGCCGACCTGCCTGCCGATGTGTAGCTTCGTTTTGGAGAATCGAGTAATCCCGTCGTTCGCTTCTTGAAGAAGATGCTTCTGGCGGTCGAGTATTTCGTTTCGTTTCTGTGTCTTCTTGTTCATGCCGGCCCGCGTCATGTCTGTTCTGTCCTTCATCACTTCCTCTGCCTGCTTTTTGAGCCTCGCGCCCTCAGCAAGGTAGCTATCGTGGGGGAAGACCAAGTTTCCAAGCTGCAGGGACCAGAAAAACACAAAGCATGTCGGGCTGATGTAACGCCAGGTCTGGTGGGGCAAGACACTGGGGATGTCCTCAATAAGCGGTGCCAGGGCCTCAGCGAGGGATTCAGGGATCCGGTTGTGTGATGTCTTAGGTGCCACGGTATTGACGCCCGGATCCCCTTTTGCATCTGTGCGAACGCCATCAGCTTGATCAGGGGTCCCGTTTTCGACTGGCGTCTCCATTGCGACATCGCCGTCAACGTCAACATCGGCTGCAGCCTTTGCCGCCTGGGAAGGGCTGTCTTTGAGTGAGGGATGAACCTTCACTTCCCAGCGGATGCTGGCTCGGCGAATCATGAAGGCAAGATTTGCATCGAGACCATAGTCTTTCATGAGCTGAACGATATCGGGAACTAGGCTGTCGAATGTGTCGGGATCCAAGTCGCTGCGGAGCAGGTCCAGATATTGAAGGAGAATCTGGTGGGTATCATCGACAATGCTCGAAAGGTACTTGATGCGTGCACTCCCATCTGCGGTGTAGATGGCATTCTGTCGATACTGTGCGATGTTGATAAGAAGCTGGCCGGCCAGCTTGGACTGCGACAAGGCCTTGACCAGGCGTTCCGCGCTCCGAGCTGAGGACGCCCGCTTGTCGCCCAGGTTGACGAGCGTCTCACGCCGCAGGAGTTCGCCGCCGGTCATGGCTCGTAATTGGGCGTCAGTAAAGTCAAGGTCGGAAACAACGCCTCCCATGGAGCCGATCAGCTCTTTCAAGATGACCAAATCGGTCGAGTTGCCCTGGAGGAGCTGGCTGTGGACATAACGCAGGACGGGCGAGGGGTCCATGTTGGAATAACGCCGGAAGACCTTTCCGGAGAAGCGCGAGAGCGCCTGTAACCACTTGCTGGTGAGCAGCACCGATGTCTCCTGGGTACGACTCCTTTGCTGGCCACCGAGTGAGCTCAACACAGACCAGACCAGGACATCGTAGCCTAGGTCGGTAAAGTACTTGGCGCACTCGACAAATGCCTCAATCAGGTTGCTGTATGCCTCGATCTGGGACAGCGCGACCTTGCAAACGATGCCAGGGGACGGATAGGCAATCTTGGCCAAGCTCTTAGCCATCTGAGGGATGTTGGTCAGAGAGAGCCGTTTCATTTTGCTGAGTGTCTCCAGCCTCGTCCGAGCGAAGGCCTTCCGCACAGGCTCGAGTCTGGAAACCGAGCCTTCGTACCACTCGGCGTAGATGGTGAACCGGGTGCGGATAGGATATTGTTTGAGCAAATCCCAGACACTCTCGACGACTGATGAGTTGGCTTCGCCTAAGCTTAGCGACGGGACTAGCAGTCGCTTGAGCAGGTCGTGCCATCGCGAAACATTCTCGGGAGACCGGTCGTCAGCGAGGCTCTTAGCGCCGATGCTGGTGATCTTGGCCACTAGAGAAGCATCGAGACCAATGTTCACGCCAACGATGTTTAGCAATGTGTCGCAGAGGGTGAAGAAATCGTCAACTGTTTGGCACACTGGGATATTGTCCGCCCACTCGTCCCAGTAAAATCGGTAGGAGCTTCCGTCTCCAGTCTCCGCCTTGTCCGGGAAGGGCCATCTCAATGCCCGTCTGACAGGTGGCGAGTTCAGTTTCACGCTGCCTTTGGGCACGCCAGACTGATCCAGATCGGGAAGCTTTTTTGCTGGGATTTCAGTCGGCCGGGAAGAGACAAGCCGGCTTTGCTGATAAACAGTCTCAATGGAGTGGTGGAGGATGCGATGTAGTAAGGGGATCAGGTCGGGATAGGCTTGCAGAACCCAGTCGTGCCGCCCGATCATGAAGAGGGATTCGGGAATGGCGCCAATCGTGAGAAGGCACTTGAGAAGATGGACCTTTTGGTCGGCGGGCTCTGGCAGCTTGGATTTCTCTTCTGCCGGCTCCGCGGCTTTGGTTTCAGCATCGGGCTTGCTCGTCGCGGCATCGCGGCGGAGTGGATTTCCGGGAGGAGGCATGTCGTCTGGGAGAGCTCCGGCCATCATGAGCGCGTTTTTCTCGCCACCAAGTCGGCTTGCCTTCTCTTTCTCTTCAAGCTCCTTCATCCTCTGCTCCCTGACAGTTTCCATTTTGTCGTCTTCGGGCCATATGTGGTTCCATAGGTCAGTCAGCGAGATAAAGCCGACCTTGATCAGGAGTGCGATGAGATAGAGCAAGTTTGCGGGAAGCGTGTCTTCAGGATCCCGCCCTTCGGACGTATAAAAGCGCAGCTTGAACCCAAGCATCTGGGCAGCGTCTCGGTTGCCAGGGGGAGGAAGTGTCTTGGTTATCCTGATCCACTCTTTCTCGATGCTAGAGTCCAGGCCGTCTTCGGTGGAGCCATTTGCGAGGTGTTCCTCTTCCTCGGCAGTTAGCCGCCTGCCACCCAACTCGAAGTAAGCGTCGAGCTTGACCTCGCGCGCTCGATCCCAGAAGGCGATATCTCGCTGTAGCCGTTGTGTGGCGAGGACAGCCTCCTCCTCTTCAGTTGCGGCCCAGCCGGAGTGGTCGGGCAAAGCCCATATGGGCAGGCCACCGGTGAATGTGTCAGTCGGCAGGGTAAGCTGACTGCGAGGCCACCACGAGCTGACACGCAAGAATTTTATGAAGAAGCGGAACTGTTTGATGAGCACAGCAGCGAAGACATCAAGCGTGACATCCAGAACGCGGCCAGGATGCAAGTCGAAGGTCCCGATAAGGCCCATAACCTTGTTGAATGTGGCTTGCACAACTTCGGCTATGGGCGGCTCGTTGCTGCTCGTTGTGAACAGCTCGGTGACGAGCTTTGAATAGCCCTCCGTCTCTTCGCGTAACAGATTGTAGTTTGCTTGCCGGTAGAGGAGATTCGTCGACTGGCGGATACCCATCCTCACGAAGGTGTCGCGAATCAATTCGAGCTGTTGGAGAATGGGCGGGTCCAGAACGAGGCGCATCAGACCAGGAGATATCTCTGTTGCCACCATGAACTCGCGCAGCTGAGGAGTGATGGGCCCGGATTCGACATCTAAGAAGGTCGAGACGGTGTCGAGGAACAGAGTGTGGGGGTCGAAAACTAGAGCATTGCGGTCCGCCTCTGACAAATCGGGGCCAAGAATCTCCTTGACAACGCCGCCAGCATCGAGACCTTGCAGCCGGCCGCCAATGACTGAGTGGATGAGCTCTTGGAATATCATGACGACCTCTGTGAGGTCCTCGTCGTCGCGCGACTGGACGCCATGCTGTATGACTTCTTGCCTGGCGCTCTCTGCCCACCTGCTTACGCGCTCATCGGTGATGATGCTGTAGTCGTAGAAAGGTTGGAACGGTTGAACGGGAGAAGGCGGTGCCGATGGCGCGGCGGTCGTTGTTGCAACAGCTGCTGTTAGAGGTGGAAGAACGGCCGAGGAAGAGGAGCTGGATGGGCGAGGAAGTGGCGGAGATATAGGACCTGGCGCATTCGTTGGGGTCGGGGGCACCCGTGGTTGATCAGAATCGCGACGGTCCCCTCTCCGTGGGTTCCTGCCCCCGCGGCCGCTACGTCCGCCATCGAAGCTTCGATCGTGCTGACCGAGTGTTGTATCTCCCGGTCGGTGGGGCGAGGGCCTCGAGGGACCAGAGTCACTCGGACCCCGATCGTTTCTCTTACGCTTCGGAGGCATCATCAAAGCGGAAATGGTCGAAGTCGTGTCATTTATTGAGAGGTGGCGTGCGGCCCCACGACGGCGCCTCCTCGCACAAGTCTGTGATTAAAGGACCACTATCAACGCGCTCTGTTAGAACATAGATCACGTCGCGGTGTGAATGAGAGAATGCGGTGATGAGAGAAACGCAGTAATGTAGTGTGTGCAGGTGGTCGGTGTTGGTCGATTTTGACAAAGGCGGCGAGGGAGAAGGAGGAGCAAAGAAAGGAAGGACGGGCGACAGGCACGAAGAGGAAGAAAGAAAGAAACGCGGGTGTAATTACCGATCAAGCCGATAAAGGTCCAATTCAATGAAAAATGCTGCAGTAGCTGGGCAGTAGCTGGACGGAGAACGAAAGGTTAGGCTGGTGGTGGTGACAGCCAGTTGACGTTTGCTGGCTCGAAAATCGAAGGAGAGCTGCGATTCGCGTCACGATCCAAACGCAGCCAGCGATCACTGGACAGCTGCTTGCTCTGCGATTGGCGACGGGGCTTGGCAGCCTTGCTAAACGAGGCTGTCGCCAAGGATGCGGTACGTACCTACCCTGGTGCAGAGCCCCACTCAAATCTCTCCTCCAAAAATTTAAGGCGCCGCTGAGATGGATGTCCGATTTCCGGCGATCGGCAATTACAATCATGTTACACATCTTACAGTACAGTACGCTACATTACATGTTCCTGAGAACATGGATTGCGAGTTGAAAGAATGGCGCAATCCACGCTTGCGGCTCCGATATGTCTCCATGAATACCTATCTACCGGTGCTTTTAAGACCCAGACCCGTCCCATGCACAATGGTGATCCCATGCCATTAGAACTTCTGATATCAACTTGTCAGACTACTGTCGTGGGTACCAGATTTACAGAGTACATACAGTACACTCACCCTTTTATCGCCAACTACAATACAATACAGATTGGATACCTTAGCTTGAGTCCAACACAACCTTGTTTTAACACATTGCATCGATCAACTTAACACCTTCCAACTTCCAACAAAATCGCCATGACCGCAGACAATCCAAGCAACGGCCATGTGCAGCGGCCGAGATATGGTGAGTCATGCAGCACAAATCTCACTGACCCAACCTCAACCACAATCCATGATATCCCCTCCATGCCCCTTATTATTATACTATACCTAGCAAGAATGAAAAATATCTCTGGGGAGCGGTGACTGAATACGTCCAAGAAAGAATCCCTTCTCAGCCCGAGAATCCGTTCGCGGCTCTCATACCGCACCAGCAGATCGCCATCATCCCCTCATTCACCCTCGAGTCGGGCGTGACTCTGCAAAATGTGCCCGTGGCCTACACCACCCGCGGCACCCTCTCCCCCAACGGCGACAACGTCATGGTCATCTGCCACGCCCTGACGGGCAGCGCCGACGTGGGCGACTGGTGGGGTCCGCTGCTGGGCGGGCCAGGACGGGCGTTTGACACGTCCCGCTTCTTTGTTGTATGCATGAACAGCCTGGGCAGCCCCTACGGCACCGCCAGTCCCGTCACGGCCAAAGACGGAGATCCGTCCAAGGGCCGCTACGGCCCCGAATTCCCCCTGACTACCATCAGGGACGATGTTCGGTAAGAGAGGAGCTACCTTATGCAATCGCATTGCAACTGCAGACGACCCCGTACTGATCCTCTCTCACTAGGCTGCACAAGCTACTTCTCGATGACCTAGGCGTCAAACAAGTCGCTGCCGTAATCGGCGGCTCGCTCGGGGGCATGTTCGTGCTCGAATGGGCCTATCTCGGCAAGGACTATGTGCGGTGCATCGTGCCCATCGCGACCTCGAGCCGGCACAGTGCATGGGGCATCAGCTGGGGCGAGGCGCAGCGGCAGTCCATCTACGCCGATCCCAAGTACGAGGACGGCTACTACTCGTTTGACGACCCGCCGTCGACGGGCCTCGGCGCGGCGCGCATGGCCGCGCTGCTGACCTACCGGAGTCGGAACTCGTTCGAGGCCCGCTTTGGCCGCAACATCCCCGACCCCTCCCGCAGGCAGACCATCCGCGAACGGCCGACGCCCGCGACCGCGTCAGAAGCCCACTTCCACATCCACAACGACGGGCACAAGTGGAAGCGGACGCCGCCTGGACCGACTCGTCAAAATAGCCAGGGAGAGCAACTTACCGGCAGCGGCGATGGTACGCATCATGCTGCTTCTGCTCCCGACCCGCAGTTCGCGAGTGCGAGTTCCCACCAGGGCGGAGGCAGCCTGACAGGCGGGGACGTGATGCCCACGGGAACGACCTATTTCTCCGCGCAATCCTACCTGCGGTACCAAGGCGAGAAATTCGTCAAGCGCTTCGACAGCAACTGCTACATCGCCATCACACGCAAACTCGACACGCACGACGTGAGCCGGGGGCGGGCGGCCACGGTGGCCGAGGCGCTGGCCATGATCGAGCAGCCGACACTGGTACTCGGCATCGAAAGCGACGGGCTGTTCACCTTCGCCGAGCAAGAGGAGCTGGCCGAGCACATCAAGAACGCCCGGCTGGAGCGGATCGACAGCATGGAGGGCCACGACGCGTTCCTGTTGCAGTTTGAGCAGGTCAATCGGTACATTCTGGAGTTTTTGAGGGAGGTGCTCCCGGATATCATGAGCAAGGACTCGAATGGCGCTGTGGAGGAGAGTGCTGTTGGCCAGCTGACCAAGAGCAGCACGTTTGGGGAGGCTGAGGTTGAGGATATCACGGCTTGGTAAGCGGGCTGTGTGGGGTTCGGGTTGGTCGGGGCAATGGGCCCCTGAGTGAGCACAGTTAGCTCCAGGCTGCAAGGACATTGGAGTACACTACTTCAACCTCTACCCTGCTTGTCATGATGGCCGTGGCATTCGCCGTTCAACCCGGCGACAAGTCATTACGATTCCTTGCGGATATGCGGGGAAGTTCAGACTCAGCCGCCGTTGCCCGTTCAAATCGAAAGGGGCAGGCCAGCCACGCCGCGGCGTGGGGTGACTGCTGCACGGCGCAGAACGTGGGCGCGTTTGCGAAAGAGGCTTGGGATGACGCCATGGTAGACGGTATCGAGCTAGCTGCGGGATCATCTAGTTCTTGACTTTTCATCCAGTCGGAGGCATATCGGCGGGAAAAGGCAGACAAAAAAGGCATGTAGCTGGTAATCTGATGAAATTATAGACTTGGTAATTCATGCTCTGACGTTACAACCATCGTGTACCGCATCTCTCAGCCTGACTCGAAGTTGAAAATCCCGAGTGGCTGCTCTACGTCCAATGAGGGACAAGTGCTAGAGATATCTTGCGGAAGATAGCTTTACACAGCATGAAGGCAGGACTCTCTAATGGGTATAAGACTGTTCCGGCTCATCCAGCTCCAGCCCCATTTCCCCGAACCTCTAGTCTGAAAAGGGAGACGTTAAAAACACCACCTAAGTTCCCCCTTGAGACCAATACCGGTTCCCAGTGGCCTATAGCCTTAGCCCGCCAAACCCAACACAACTCACTCCTTATAGATTCAACCCTGAATAGTCGTGCTCAACAAAGGGCACAAAGTTGTTCCGCCCCGCATACCGCTCCCCATCCATCTCGCCCATCATCCAGGTATCTCCATCATCCTCGCCGTCCATCCCTCCTCCTCCGCGTGTCTCCTCAATCCGGCGCTTGCCTTGCCCTTGCCCCTGCGCCGCCACCGCTGCCCGTGGCATGCCCTTATTACCCCCCGAGCCCCCCATCCGCGCAACATCCGCCCTCGCCTTCAGTATATCCCCATACGCCTGCAGCATGTACTTCACCTCATCCCCCATGACCACACAAAACCGCTTCAGCTGCAAAAACTGCACCGCCTGCACCGTATCCAGTCCATACACCGCCATCAAATACGCCGCCACAACCGCCGCAGACCGGTCATTCCCCGTCTCGCACACGACCAACACCTTCCCCGGCCTGCTACTACCCCCCGACTGCCGAACCACCTCCAACAAATGCCCATTGACTTTACCCGCAGCCCCATCAAACACCGCAACCAACCCCTTATTTGGCCCCTGCCCTACACCTCCCCCACCTCCCCCCTCACTGGCACGCTCATCCCCATCCCCAAGCAACGTCCTGACCTCCACCCCCAACCCTACCAGTTCCCCCCTCACCCTCCCCATGGCCCCCCCAAACCTCGCCGCATCCCTCGCATCCAACACCATACTCACCCCCTCACGCGCAAGAAACTCTTTATCCTTAAGCACACTCGCGGGGCCAAGCATCAAAAAATCCAGCACCGCCTGTGCCCTCCGGCGGGACTCATACACCCATGCGTTAGCCGCCGGGTCCGAGGCCGTTTGTGGCTTTCCCTTGCCCGTGATGAGCCACAATTCCTCCTCGGTAAGGTGGGGTGGCCCCGGCAGGGTGTGGATTGCTAGTGGGGAGGGGGTGATCGTCATGAGTGGTTGGGCCCGGGTTTGACTTTGACTGCTGTCGGGGTTGTTGAGGTTGTTGGAGCTGGGCTTGTTGTTTGGGGAGGAAGGTGGTTGGTGGTGGTGGTGGTGGTGAGTGACGGCGGGGACGTAGATGAAGGGCGGTGAAGGCGGACGGAGGGAGTAAGGTGCTGTGGGCTGGGCGTTGCGCTGTATGCTGGGGGGCAGGTCGCTTTCCATCATGGCGAGCCGGGTTACTTGGTTATCTGGGTGGTGAAGGCTGCTTTGGTTATTGTCTTGAGTATGCCGGGCTGTTCAAAGATTCTTTGTCGGTCTGTTGGGATGGATGGAATGGCCTGCTTGGCGCGATGGTTGGAGGTAAGTTCGCTTCCGTGTGAAGATTTCGACTTGATCAACGATGATGTGGGAGAAATTGGTTTGATAGAATCGTGAGAGTGCTGCTCGTTCTTGAACTGAGTCGGCCACTCAGAGGAATGAAATTGTGAAAGCTGGCAGCCGGAGACGTAGTGTTTTGCCGATGTATCTGAAGGCCCTGCTGCGAGTTGCGGATGGTTGGGTAGAAAAGCAAGCGTGGGAGCTTGATGTTCAACGATTATGAATTATTTAGGGAAATAATCTGGTACCAGGCAGAAAACAGTTGTCGGTACGAAGTAGACGGTTTATATTACTCGAACTCGAGGCGTGAGATGACCATCGCAATTACGGTAGTTGCAGTGGCGGCCGTTGGTGCATGTCTGCCTGGACGCGCCTGGGTCGCGTAAAGTGGAAGTTCCAGACGCTCGGGGCCATCACAAGGAAACCCCATCACAAGGCCTGGGCCTGCAGGAGACACTGCAGCGCTATAACCCTAACCCCTACTCTTCAAGACCAAATTATGAACCGAAGTGCATGAGATGAAGGGGTATTTTGCCTGACTTGTATAAAAGTCTACCTTATAAACGGCATGCAGGTATGCGCACGTATTTTACACCAAGCCAACCATCCGTCATGAATTCGAGGGCTCCGTCTCCGGACTGCTCTCTTTGGCCAGCGGGGACGGGATCTCGGGCGTCACCGACCGGGACTCGACGCGAGGCCGGGCCAGCTTCTTGCGCTTCTTTTCCGACCCATTGGACGACGTGCTCCCCTTACGGGCCACACCAGGCCGGTGCTCTTCAGGCTCGAGCGTCGGCGTCGTGCTTCGCGAGCCAGACATGCTGCCGCGCCGCACGGTCCCACTGCCGCTCCTGGTCCGCTTGTGCTCGCCCACCACGGCCGCGTGGCGCGGGTGATGGACCACTTTCTCACCGGCCACAGGCTTCTCCATAATCGGTCTCCGCCACGGAAGCCACCATAACCAGCCCCCCTGTTCCTTGCGCAGCTTCTTCTCCCGCTCCTTGATCTTCACCCTGAGCAGCGCGCGCCGCTCATTCTCCCTCTCCCAATACTCAGCCCGGTACAGCTCCCAGTTCTCCCTGAAAGTCGGCGAGAACGGCTTAGGCAGCAACAACACCTTGACATAATCCCCACCCGGCGCCAAGTCCTCCTCATGACCCCCCTTCTCCTCATCCCACTGATTGACATGTATCGCCGGATGATTCTCCCTCGTCAAGCTCAACTCCTTATCCACCTCCCTAACCAACGCCGGATCCACCCATCTGTACGAACTCCCATTATTCGAAAACAGCCCATACGTCAAAAACCACCCCGCCGTGCTCAGCGCCTCCTTCCACCACGGCCGTTTCATAGCCACCAGCTTACAGTTGAAAGCCCTCAACCCCCTATTCGAGACAGCAAACCACCTCCTAGGCCAGCGCACGCCCCGTTCCCAAATCCCCGTCGCCCACACCAGCAGGGCCGTCATGATACCACCCAGAAAACACATGCGCTCCGTCGTCTCCACGACCCAGTACACACTACCCCCAACCCCGCGGCCGTCCTCGCGCGGCGCCAGGAACAGCGCGTACCCAAACCCCACCGTCCACAGCGTCAGCAGGGACAGGAAGAAAGTGTGGTGGCGCCGGCGGGCGCGCAGCTCGAGGTACTGGGCGCGCAGCGAGGCTTCGAGGATGAGCAGGTTGAGGTAGATCATGGACGGGGAGCTGGGGGTGTGGCCGAGGGGGTCGCTGGCTTTGTCTTTGTGGTTTGAGGAGGCGGCTGTTGAAGAGGAGGAGGAGGACGTGGCGATCGGGGTGGTGCCTCGTCCTCCTCCGCCTGCTGCTCGGGCAACGAGGGCGTCTTGCCCCGGCAGGGAGACGGGGGCGCCTTTGACGATTGAGTCGAGGGGGTCGGCCATGGCGCCTGGAGAGGATGGCAATGGATGGATTAAAGATGGGGTAGCCGGATGGAGGGTATGGTCCTGTGGCCCGATGGCCCGGAACGGATCGGTGACCGCGGACGGCGGAGGGGTTCGGGTTCGCAAGTGGAAGAAGTCGCTTACTGTATCCGTAGGACTAGGCTGTCGGTAAAAGCAACAGAGTGGCGTCTTGCCGGGGGCATTTGTCGGTTCGCGGAGTTTAGCATATTATCGCCGCATGGCCCGTTGCATTGTCAAGGACGCGGCGGTGTCTGATGGTGGTTGCACTGGTTGGTTGTGCCTGAGCTGATGAGTGGGCATCAATCAGTGGGAATTTTCGCCTGAACTCGAGTGACGGGACCTGAATCTGGAAGCCTAGTGCACGGTCCCCACGGCCTAAAAATCTACCCACAGCGCCCAGAAGGTGCCGGCGGTGCCAACTGCCAACGTCATTGGGGTCCAGAGCGTCTTGGTTAGGGGTTCTGGGGGGTTCCAGGGGCTACAGGGCAATTGTGGGCATCCCCGACCGGAGGCACGGAGCGATGCAAAATCCGATGTTTCCGTAGAACGTGGCGGTTGGCTGGGTTTCGGCGTTGTTAGCCTGCCGTCGGCACTCACGGTCAGCTTATGCAACACTCCATGAACCACGCACAGAGAATGCAGAAGCTTCAAATATGGGGCGGCGTCCCTAGGCGGTGTCATTACCATGCTCAAGACGTATCCGACAAGTTTTCTGCTGCCAAAGCGACTGAAGTTAGCCCCGCTGATTGGGCGATTTGAACCTGACAGCACTTCAACTTGTCCCGCGGCGCAACAACAGACGAACTGCCTGTCGACCGACACCGCTGCGACTGCGACTGCGACTTCTTCCTTCTCCCCGCCTCACGACACTTCGCAGCCCGTCTTGCTCGCCCCCCACTCGCGGCCGCCGCAAAACACCATGGCTGACGCCGAGCCAAAGTCCCGACGGCCAAACTTTACTTATTTCCCTCTCGGCTACAAGGAGGCCGTGCAACAATGGGTGAGTTGCGCCGATGGTCCAACAGCCAGCACCAATGCTTATTCGCACCAACTAACTTCACCTGCCTTCCAGTGGACAAGTGTATCACCCCGCCAGGCCGAGCGAAAGGTCCTCTCCTTTGTCCCCTACCTCCGAGAGGCCGGGACAGAAACTGTCGCTTCACAATTACACGAACTCGCCAAGAGTGATCCGTTCGGTCAGCGGGTATGGAGGTCGTCGATGGTGCAGCTGTCCGGGAAGAACCGGACGCTCAACGAGCTGGCCATTGAGCGCGTCGACGAGCAAGCCGAGGACACGTTGGTGATGCTTCACGGCTACGGCGCCGGCCTGGGCTTCTACTACAAAAACTTTGAACCGCTGAGCCGGCCAAAGGGCTGGAGGCTGTACGCGTTGGACATGCTGGGCATGGGCAACTCGTCGAGGCCACCCTTCAAGATCCAGGCCAAAGACCCCAAGGAGAAAATCACCGAGGCCGAAAACTGGTTCATCGACGCGCTCGAAGAATGGCGGAAGGCGCGGAACATCGAAAAGTTCACGCTTCTCGGCCATTCCCTCGGCGGCTACCTAGCCGTCTGCTACGCCCTAAAATACCCCGGCCGTCTCAACAAACTAATCCTCGCCTCGCCCGTAGGCATTCCCGAGGACCCGTGGGCCGTCAACGCCGACATGCCCGAACCCGAAGAATCCACCCTGGCGAACGAGTTCGTCCAAGACCAAGAAAGCATCGTGCGCCGCGAGCCCGCCGGCGACAACGCCGCATACCTGCAAGCCGAAAACAAAGCCGCGGCCGCCGCCAAGCCCAACACCATCACCACCCCGCCCAAACGGCCCATCCCCAACTGGCTCGTATGGCTCTGGGACGCCAACATCTCCCCCTTCAGCATCGTGCGCATGGCGGGGCCTCTCGGCCCGCGCTTCGTCTCGGGCTGGACGACCCGGCGGTTTAACCACCTCCCGCCAGAAGAAAAAGACGCGCTGCATACCTACTCGTACTCGTTATTCCGCCAAAAAGGCAGCGGCGAGTATGCCCTGCCGTACATCCTCGCGCCGGGAGCGTACGCCCGCAATCCCATCATCAACCGCATCGAAGAGGTCGGCCGGCAGGTGATTAGCCCCGCAACAGAGACAGCACCAGCCGTGAAGGAGACAGGCCTGCCTATTGTTTTTATGTATGGAGAAAACGACTGGATGGATGTCGCGGGCGGGTACGCGGCTGAGGAGAAGGTCAAGCAGAGGATTGTCAAGGCGCTGATGGAGGGGAGTGAGGAGGAGAAGAGGAATGAACGGGGCAGTGCGAAGGTGGTGGTGATTCCTAATGCCGGGCATCATTTGCATTTGGATAATCCGGATGAGTTTAATACGGTTATTAGGAGGGAGATGGAGGATACTAGGCAGGCGAGGTTAAGGGAGAGAGGGAATAATGGGGTTTAATCAGACTTGACTGCGGTGAACAGGACCGGGCTTGGTAGGTAATTAGGATTGCTCCAGTTGAGGCGGGGTGATGGATTGCGGATAGACGCTTCATGAGCGAGCGGGCATGGCATGGCGTTTTATATGGTACTGGGCGTATCGGCGATGCTCCGATCACGCTTAGACGGAAGACCGTGCCTAGCATAAGAGCTAGGCGGCGGCACGAATAGATTAGAATCTAATACAGCTCTTTTTTCCACGGTTTATAAGACGATTGGGACTGGGCCAGCCTCCGATGCCCGCCCATCCAGCAGCCGGCTGGCGGGGGGAGATGCTGAAGGTCTTTTCGAGATTGGACACCATGGTCATGAGGACGTACATGTGAACCTGCCGTTATCCAGTCGTCGCTGCTGGTTTTGCTTGCTACACGACGGCACGAAACTATTGCTGCCTGCCCCTGAGTGGCATCCTCCCTTCCATTTCGGCATCATGGCAGCGATCTTCACCAGTCATACAGACGTATCGATACAATGCATTGACATTGACTTTGTTTACTTCAAGCCGCCACCCGTCGTTACCGATACGTCAAGCTGAGCGAAGGTGTGCCTCGGTCGTCCAGTGTTATCCGAGAGGAATGCGAGAGCGTCCTCGCTCTGCGCTGTCGAAAGTCCACGGTATACATCCTGTGTACTGGAGTGATATGTCCCCTGAGCCCGCACGCTTGGGCAACCTCAGGCTAGCAATACTTGATGGGAGATGCAAAGTTTAGGTTGGAGGGTTTCTTTGCACCGCCAGCAAGCCGTGTGCGGCGAGTGGGACAGGACCAGTCCTCATCGGTGGAGTCGTCTGAGTCTGGGACTTGATATCGTCCTCTTGGCTGGCAGGCGGGGATGGGACGGTGTATCGGCCTGGTATCCGAAGTCATCTTTTCAGGAGTCGTCCGAGTCTGGGATTTCGGACCGGCCTTTGGCTGCCGGTGAGGGCGAGTCGTCTTGTACCTCGAACTCGTCGTCTGTCGAGGCGGAAAAGGGAGTCCTGATGCGATTTGGGGGCCAAGACCAGACAAGTTTAGAGCAGCAGCATCATCAGATCAGGAAGCGTCCGTGTCCGGAACCTCGTGCTTGGGGTACTGTACCACAACCACGATACAGTCCTGGATATGTACTCAGGTTAGTGACAGGCAGGGGGAAACGGTAGTAGCGTGATTCGAACTGGTGGCCTGGGTGGACTGTATGGAAGGGGACAACGTAGGTAACTGCTGCTTGACTACTTCTATGGTACTGCCCGTAGGGGGTTGAAAGTAGGAAGGGAAACTTCACTTATAAACTCTTGAGTGATCCTCTGTTGGCTTATGTCAAGTTACCCACCTCAATACCCCGAGTCCAATTTCTCTCTGGGCTACAATGCGGACTACCTACCCAGGTAGGCTGTTTGCTGGGAAAGCAGCTTGAGGTCAAGTAGCGAGCATCCAGAACCGAGAAAACGAGGAGTCGCCAAGCGACATAAGACTACCTAGCAGATTTTCTCTCCCATATAAGTGCTAAGGTGTTCTCAGTCTTGCCTAGCGAAAGGCGAGAGAATGATTGGGTACCTTATGAACTATGAGAATACTGTAGACCTCGGAGCAGAGCGCTCAAGTACGGAGTGTGCCTTATCTAACCATGTGTGTGCAGTCAAGCTACCTTACAAGCTACAACCATGTGCAACATAAACTAAAGCCACCATAGAATATTCAAATCATATTGAAGCTGCCCTTCATCCATAGATCTTCATCATTCCAATACACAAATGAGAATTTTACATCCGTTCATGTTGTCCATATGCATAAGTACTAGTACTATGATCCCAATGATGCATTCATCCAAACCACACACCCACGCTCAAAAGCCGCCACTTCGCCCCTGAAAATGCTCGGATGAAATGATGCTCCGTCCGTCCAACCTGGTCATGATCGTGCATAGACGTAGTGAGAGTGACAAAGGGGAACAAATGAAAGGAGGCCCAGTAACAACACCAAGCAAAACAAACATTAGTTCGAGTTATGAGCCAGCAAAGCAAAGATGGGAAGAAAAACAACGACAGGAACTCATAAACTCCATGTCTGCATCACCACACCACACCTATGCCATGCATGCATGCAACCATCCAATCGTATCAACCGCCCAACCTGCTCGCTTCCCAACACCCCCTAAATGCTGGCAGAAGTCCTAGCCAAGGCAGAAAGGACAAAAAGATAAGAAAGCAAAACCTGGGTGAAACGCCTGAATCCTTTTGGCCAAACTGTAAACAAACAAAATGTAACCAGGTACTGTTGTCAGAAACCTGTAGTTGGGCAGCTTCAAGTTGATTGGCAAAAAAACTTGTTCCTGCTGCCCGTCGACCGTCGACCGTCAACCTTTGATCGAAAACGCCGGGCCCGAATGCCTCGCCGGTACCGACGCCGGTGCTGGTGCCGTCATGTCATATCATAAAAATAGAGATTGAAATGGAAATGGAAATGGAGAGAAAAATAAAGAACCAAGGTGAAGAACCACTTTTTCGTTGAAAAGACAACAACAACAACAACAAGGTTAGGCCGATCCAGCAGATCGGCAACGATTAAGTCGTCCTGATAGGGGACAGCGAATGGAAAGAAGACAAGAAGAGATCGACATGAGGTAACAAAAAGCCAGGATAGGGAGCAAGGCAAGGATGGATCTTCCATGCCAATGCCCGTGGCTAGCTGCCAACCAACCTCTTGACCATCTCAGGCTGAGGTGGCACGGCCAAGGCTAGCGAGCAATGGCTCCCCTCTGGTCTGGCTTTCAGGAACCCCCAGTGATCGATCGCTTGTTGTTGTGTGCAGAGCCTATGGGATGAACCCGTGTGTAGGCAACTGTTGTGGTCGGGCAGCAACACGTGGCTCCGGCTGTAAAGAGCGGTTCCGTGTGTGTGTAACCCGACCGTCATGCCCGGACGGACGCGGAGGGGTGGCCTTGGATTACGGCCTAATAGGCCGTAATGGGATTCGCGAATCGGAGCGGGCTCGGCAAAGCAGGCGAGTGGTGCTGGCTGTGGTCGTTCGAGTACCGGCGGCCAAAGACGTGCTGCATGATGGCTTTTGGACTGACGTTTTCGAGGTTGACCGTTTTGGAGGTCAGGGGCACCGGGATGCGGTGCACCTTCTTCGTCTGCCATGTCTCCTTGATGCAGTCGTCGACGAGAGCCATGAGGCCGGTGGCCATGATGACGCTGGAAAGGGGTTAGTGACTGTTCGCAAACAAACAAGGTTGGTTTTCGTGTGTGCGGTTCGGGCATTTGAGACCCATCATGACTTACTCTGCAACGTCTGTCACGGCGTCCACGACCGATTCATCCGCGATCCACATGAAACACGGCGGAACCCATCCGCCCGCATTTCGGTCGGTAAGAACCTGGCTCGGTGACCTTGTCTCGGGAACAATGTGCGCGACCGGCGCGCCCGTATTTCCGTCCCGAACCAAGTGGAACGACACCAAGCCTAGCTGCCTGTCGACCGAGCGCCTCCAACTGTACCGGTGACCCCACCACTCAAAGTCGTAGCGCTTGTTGCCCTTCCCGCCGCGGCGGCTGACGTCGACGCGGGCGTAGTTGCTGAACTCAAGCTTGATGATGTTGGTCGGCAGCGGCCGCTGAGCCTTGCCCTTGGTCAGGCGACTGTCAAGCGACAGGCGAGACAGGTTGCTCCGGTCGTGGAGCATCTCATCATCGCCATCGCACGACGAGTAGCCCGTGCCAGGCCGGCCAGGGGCCGCCGCCATACCTGATTTAGCGCGGCGCAGGACCGGCTTCCCACCACTCAGTGTCTTGAGAGCAGTAGACATGGACCGCTTCAACGTCGGCCTGTCATCGGCCGCCTTGGCCGCGGCAGGTTCCGTGTACTTGCGCTTCGAGTTGCAGACCTCGCGGCCCGAGTCGCGGGAGTAGCGCCGCAGCGAGAACTCCCGCTTGGCCAGGTCGTACATGCGCAAGTGGAACAGCTGAATGGCGGTCCTCCTCCGGCCCGTTACCACCGTGTCGACGCGCAAGTTCATGTTCCCATCCGGAGTGAACTCGTCATGCCGTATCGTCAGGCGATTGAGTGAGGGATAGAGCTTGGCAAAGTCCTGCGGGGTCGATGCGCGCACATTCGGTTCCACCACATCACGACGGTAGACAGGCAGTGGCGGGATGACGTCCTCCTCGCACTCCATCGGGCTCTCATCAAGGTCCATGGCGTCCACATCCTCCGACGAAGCTGTCGTTGAGACGTAGGTTTCGACCGACGAGCGCGGATAGAGCGAGGTTGCGGGGCTGACATCGTCGCGAGAGTCATATTCGTAGGCGGCTGTGTGTTGCCTCTGGGGAGCGGCAGAGGCGGCAGCGGGGATGGCGCGACTGCTGCATGTTGATGTGGGTGAGGCCTTGATATCTGAGGGGCGTGAGGAAGAGGAATAGAGCGACGTGGGTGCAGTTGACTGTGATCCATATGAATCGTTACTCCTCCGGCTACGAGAGTCGTGGCTGGAGGAGGACTGACTCGAGGTGTGTCTCTTTGAATACGGGAGAGGCATCTTGGGCTGCGTGTCCGAGGTGCTCGGGGCTGTGTGGAAGGAGGAGGTGGAGGTCAATGTGTACCGTGAGGTTGTGTGGGGAGGATGAGGGTCCCCGGTAGAGGAGGGAGGTTGGGGCCCCTGAAGCAGTTTTATAGAGAGTGCGCCGTCACAAGCGGGTGACGCCGAGGGGAGTGGTGGTGATGGTGAGGGTAAGGGTGGGTTGGGTGGCTGCCACGAGGGATTGGCGACTGGGAAGCGCTCCGGCATGGCGTGCCGGGAATTCCTGGGTCGTGCAGGGGCTGCCGGGGGCTGCTGTGCACGGCGGCTGCGTTGTCGAAGACGGCAGATATCAGGTTGGGGTCGGGCATTAAACGCGACGCGGGGAGCGTGCTGGGAGCTTGCTGGCGTCTTGCGTAGCGACAAGTCGAGGGAACAGGTGGGATGGGTGGGAGATGCAGAGATGCAGCAGCGGGACGATACGGTAGAAGGCAACGGCAGCGTCAGAGATATCCAGATCGAAACGATTTGCTGCGCTCTGGAAGCTTGTGCAGACCTCGTCTAGCGATCTGGCCTTGGGCGAACTTGGGCCACTGGAGCGTATTGGCTTCCAATTGACAGGTCACATCGAGCGGAAACGAGATATGCAGGAGCCAAGTGGTCCTGGTTGTCCTGAGGGACGACAGACTTGATGGGATAAAAAGTGTTTTAAGGAATCTGTCCACGCAGCAGTCTGGACGAACACGGGATTTTTACATACTGACTCGACTTGCGTACACACCCATATCCGTACATGCCACACTGATGAATTCCCTGATCATCGAGGAAGGAACAGTCACCCACGCGGCCAAGACTGTCTCTTTCCTCGCCTGCCGTGGGGCACCGCAGGCAATTCAGAACGAGGGCAGGAGGGGCGATGGACCAGCAACGCAGCCATTCATGTCCGAGTTGTGTTGCAGTGGACGTTTTCACTGGATGCTTCAGGGCCGCAAGAGCATGCCGAAAATGCCCGGCAAACTGCCATTGGCTCTAAATCAGCGCTGGAGGGAAAATGTTGTGGTTGGTCCAGGACGGCACTGCCTCGATCGATTGGGGAAGTCGTCATGGGGTGAGGGGTGTCGTTCGGTCACCCGAGTGTGGCAGAAGTCACTCCACCAAAAATCCCGCGGAAAATCCCGTGGGGGAAGGAGCTAGAGATACCTTCAACGGCGGATAGGGCCATGCAGAAAAACGACGAGCAGTATCAGGGCAGCCCACCAAACCCATCACTTTCAGACTTGCCATAACGTTACTCGGTGGTTTTCTCGAAGGTACGAAGGGTTGGACAGCGAGAATAGGGGACAGCAAGGGAGCTGAACTGAACCACCTCGGAGATGCCCTCCAAAGGCATTTGACAGTGGCGGCAAGAGCAATCGCAGACCAGATTCTGGGACGCTACCTACTAACTTGAGTCAACTGTGGCAACGCAGTTAGCAGTAACCTATGTAAGTGGATTCAAAATTCTTCTCCTCGGGCACACACTTCTTCGATCTGTTAGCCCCAAGACCTCGCGATTGGGAAGCTCAATCTCAATTGCTTCAGGTTGCGCCATATTACTCTCCCTTCTCCTCTCGTGCATTCGGAAACAGACGTCTTATTCGCCAGGTCGATCGTGGTCGTCTTGCTGCTTACGCGAGGCGACGCCCGTTGTCGGAGTGACAACCAGCTGGGCTGTCTGGGTAACGTTAACGTTGTCGCTAACTTAACGTAAAACTGCAAGTCCCGGGGAGCTGGCACTGAGGTTCAAGGCGGGGGGCATGAAGCCTAGAACAGAAGCGCTAGTCCGTACATTGGTTCCCAAAACTGATACCCGAGGCCTTAGCGGTCGAACCCTAACTAACGTTCTCTCTACGTTCCAGTACTACATTACCTACCTGCCTACCTGCTTTGGAGAGATACGGCAAAACGTACGTGGCACCTCAGCGGCATGGACCACCTGAAGCGGCGGTTTTAGGGACTGAATCTCGACAACCTAACTAACTGCGTCGCTGCCCAGTTGCTACCACAAGCACTACGCCATGCGATCTCCTAGCCAATATTGAGGCTGCACACGCTGAGCAAAACCATTGGCCAAGAATTAAAATCGTGGGGTTGCCCGACGGTGGGACTTGACCATCCAATGGATGATACCACCGGAGTCGCAAAACCTTGAAGCTACCCCCAACCGCCGTTGCTCAGTCCCGTCAACCGTTAAAGTCCAGAAACGTTAGGCCGTTGCTGGATGGCCTATACACTACCTTCAACGACCTCTGTCATGGTATGTATCCATCAGGGAAACTGATGTTTACATGAGCTAACGTACGCAGCGATGTCAAGCCGCTGGACGACGACAACCTCGTCGTTTTCTAAAGTTCACTCGGTTGATCGGCAGAGGATTTCCCAGCCCAACCCTGAGCTAGCGCATGCCGCCAAGTCATCAAGCTTCCCGTTCCCAGTTGAAACAACGCACGAAGCTCGAGTTCATGGACGACCGTTTGGTGCTTGGCGCAGGATAATACTTCCGCAAATGGGGAACCTGCGCGATCAAGACCCGGCTGATTTGGCTCCCATGCTCGGTTGACTTGTGTCAAGCCCCCATTCGCTGGCAGGTCAAGCTACAACCTCAGCCCAAACTGCGATTTGCACGTGGACAACGACCATCTCTATGGAGGTAAGTCCAACAGTCCTTCCCCTAGCTATTCGTCAGACTGCATTATCCCTAACAGTCTGACCTACGGAGCAAGGTATGTTCGATTCCCGACGTTACGATTGAACCCCTATGGCACGCCTCGAATATGGGGTGCAAACTGGGACGATCCATGTTTCCAAATGTTTTGGGTGCCCTCTGCCGTCCCTGACTCTCGGGTATAGCAGAGAATGACAGCGGACGCCATCAGGTGAGCATCAGGATCAACTCCAGGCCTTCGTGCGAAGCTTGTGGAATGCATCAGAGCCGGGCTCAGCAGCAGCATATGGCTGGAGCAACAGCTTGTCGTCTCAATTATCTACAAGACACTCTCTTATGGCATGTTTCACCACCATAATGCTCTCTGGACAGCCGTCAGCTCTCAGTTTGCTGATTGCATATGATGCAAGCAATTCGATACTCTTCCTCAGCCAATCGACACCCCCCCAGGGTTTCTCCTTTTGGCAATCCCAAAGGGTACACACCCTCAAGCATGCTGGCTTGGATAAGCCTAGTAATTCTGTCAGACCAGAAAAACCTGCACAAAAGTCGGACGGGTGAGCTCGGTGCATCAAATCACCGGGCCATTCACATTTCCCAGGTTGTCACCCTGTGTCAAAGACCCGATAGGTGCAACTGCATTCTTGGACAGCAGCCCACCCTCCTGCCAACTCTCACCTACAACGTCCTTAAACCCGCCGGTAGGAGAATGCCCTTCTCTTTACTTCCATCTTCCTCCCGCATTGTGGTTCTTGTATTGGCCAATGCCTCAAGCACATGACAACTTACGTGCATACAAGCGGAAAGCCGTCCCCGGCTGGTAACTCCAAGACAAACGAATGCCGTTCCCGAAGCGCGCAAGAGGGTGGTCGATTGGATACCCGTCCTCCCCACGGCAAGGCCACTTAAGCCGTTAAGCGAACCATGTCGGGGCGCGCTTAGAACGACGGCTCTTCTGCCATTAGGACATTTCCTGGAGAGGTTGGGTCTAGGTAGGTAGGGCCTCATGCAAAGGTGTAGTAGCCGCGAACCAGTTGGCAATATCTGATTTGTAGGCAGGGGCAGCCCCGGTTGAATACACCACGGCATAGTTACCTGGTATGCATGCCATCATAGGCCGCACACCTCGAGTAAATGGGTGGCTTGAACATGTCGTCTGTTCTCATTCTGGCAGAGGGCTCTTCGAACCAGGACGATACTTGCCGCGGAGAGCCCGTTTTGTTTCAAGTCGACAGGTTCGATCTGCTCGCATGCATGCTGCCTCCGTTCCTATTCATTGGACTCTGCGCGGTTTCATCAATGGGTGTTGCATATGGTGGTTAAACACGATTGGTGTTGCTCCCTTTGCCCCATGATTTTTTGGCTGGTGCAGAGAGGGCCCAGGCCAGTCAAGGCGATCGATTCCCCACGATGGAGCAATCCTGGACATGGGCTGCTATTGTGGCCTGACAGATCTGCGATGTGCACATCTGGGCTCTTGATTTGAGGTGATTGCGGGGAAGAGAACCATGATGGGCGAGACTTGCCTGCCATTTTGACGTCCGGATCCGTTCTGAGTTGGTTCAGTTGCAAAAGGGGACATCAATGTGTTTGCGAGGATGGGAACAATGTGCGTGAAGATGAATTCGAGAGCAGAGGGGTTTTGGACCGGACTACAGGCTGCGCAGCCCCTGCGAGCAGTGAGCAGATGGATGTGGTGACACGACAGGTCAGCGAAGGTCAGCATTCTGACCACCATGCGCGGAGCAGTTCGTCGTCAGGCAACTTGGGACCGTTACACACAACGTCGCGGTATTTAGGTGAGAACTGGGGTCAGAAGTTGCTTCTTGAACTTTTTGTGTGGTGCTACCGGCGATCGCAGCCACCAACAGACCAGCCGGCCAGCAGCCAAAGATCGGACGGGATCATGGGCCGCCCATCGGGGCCGCTTCTTCATGGAAATGCAGATGGGTTATGCGGGAAGGGACCAGCATGCGGGCCTCCACAACCCCCGCGGGATCTACTACCAGTACGTAGGTAGTAGATAGAAGGGAAGTGAGCAGCACCTCCCCGCCCCCACCCCCCCCCTCCCCGGGTCTGCTCTGGCTCTCGAGCCGGCCTCAGAGTCGTGCGGGAGGGCCGATACCGCATGGTTAAGGTAAGATAAGGTAGGTAGGGCACTGCAGGTGTCCTGTATGTACTCTACGGATTGGACGAGGTATGCATTCTGCTAGACACAGACAGAGACGGGACGCAGGCGTGGGTTTTGCACGGGATGTGCTGCATCTATACTCCCTGGGCCAAACGATATACCACTCATCCCGTGCCGACTTGTGGGTGCATGTCCTCCACGGCATGTGCGCGGCAGCGTGGGCGGGTGTTGATGCTATATGCTAGAATGCTTCTTCTTCTTCAATCTTCTGCTGCTGCTGCTAGAGGTACGTTCGTATGTATGCATGTACGGCCGGTTGGCCGTAGGCGTAGGTTGATGCCAGAGATCCCGCACCCTTCAGTTTTTGCCGGGCATGATACCTATGGCCAGCCCCAAACTCCCAGGAACTACTAACCTACGAAAACGACCGTACATATGTATGGTTATGGGGCTGCATGTATGCGCGAAGGGCATCCATGCAGTAGTGCTGCATTCGCAACCACAGCCCAACCCGACAGGGAGCTCACACTACTGTGTACTGTAGGTAGAACACGGCCGGTGCTCGGCCCGATTCCACACACGTGCAGTTGGTGTCAACGGGGATCTAGGTACTGTACAATACCGGTAGTTGAGGCTGTGTTATTGTCTCTTTGAGGCTTACATACATGTTGGCTGCTACCTTAGGGTAGGTACTGGAGTTCAAATTAGCAATTGATCTCAGCGGTGAGGCCGGGGAATGAGAATTACTCGGAGTTCGAGTTCGAATCCTGAGGGGAACTGATGCTGTGGTTAGTGCATGAACTTTGTAGCACTACATCAAAGAGGATTAAACCTGTAGAAAATGATGTTGTGAGGTGCATCCTCGACCCTTCATTGCTGTTGCTGAGTGACGTCCGCGGCCTGGGTCGTTGACTCGGCAGCGAGGACAAGGGAAGATTCATGACTACCTACCTACCTTACCTACCGTAGCTTCCCTTTATTGAGCTGAAAAAATAACATGTTCACACCATCAACAAACCCTCTTCGAGGTCTGTCGGTCGGTCCGTAATTCATGGGTCGATACGGTAATCAGGGTCCCAGCACAGATCACCGTGACAACACTCCCTGAGAAATAAATATAACAAGACGGAAGGCCACACATTCCACCAAGGAGCATAAACTTTCACAATACCAGCCATTCTGTCACCAATTGGACCACAAAACGACTTATTAAACAACTCTGTAAACTAAGGCGAGCAACTGACTAACGTTAATAAAAATAACCGGCATGATTCGGTAAGGTAAGGTAGAGTGTGGTGGTTTATGCTAAAGTAACTAAGAGAAAACTCAACAGTGCAGTGCCCCTCCGTCCTTGGTCCTTGGTTGCGCTTGTGGCTAGCTACCTTACCTAGGCAAGCAAGCAGGTCCTCCGGCGCAGCTATGCATGCGTCGTGGTCTCAATGTTATTGTTCTGCCTCGCTGATCCGATCAACTTGCAACTCAACTCAGCCCAAGAAACCCTCCCTCAAACCGTCAGTCTTCCAACCATACCCTCTCTCACTCCCACCTTCCCACGCAGGCAGTCCACCTAGCCAAGCATTAATCAACCTCCTGAACAGCGCCTCTCCACGACCCTCACCAAAACCCCCAACAGCCCTCTTCCTCCTCCTCCATCACCCGCAAACCCCATCCCCATTCCCATCCCAATCCTCTCCATACCAACGACAGGCCTCACCTCAAGCGCCATAATCTGAACAAGGGCTTCAACTTCCTAATTACCCGCCCCGGCCCCTACCCCACCGTTACTCCCGCTCCCACTCCCACTGCCAGTACTCTCCCAATGAATCCAGCTGCGCGGCATGATCCTCCAAATCTTAACCTCGCCCGACCGGAGGTCATCAAGCTTGAATGACTCCATCTTGACCTTCTTGCTCTCGCGGCCTTGTTCCCAGGCGCGCACCTTCTTCTTTGTGCCGTCCCACTCAGCCACAACAGCGACATGGTCTGGTTTGCCCACCTCGACCGAGTACTTTGCGTGCATGGCGCCGTGTTTGCCCTGGAACTTTGCGTTGCGGATGCTGATGATGTCGCCCGGCCGGATCTCGTCGTTTTGCGTCGTGCTCGCGTTGGCGAGGTTCGAGTAGACGAGGGCGCCGTAGGCACGCGTGCCGACGGGCAACAGGGCGTCCTTAAACGGCCGGAGAAGCTCGTAGATGAGGGCGTGCGGGGTGCCGTCGCCCACGACCGTGTCCTTCTTGGCGGCGACGGCCTCGCTGATGGCGCGGCCGAACCGCTCGTAGCTTTGCTCGAGCTGGTCCTGGCGCAGCGCCCGCGGCGGCGGTTCGTGGCGCTGCTCGAATTGCACGTCGGAGGCGTCCTGCGGGTTGAAGCGCACTGTGATGATTGTCTGCGAGTAGTCCTGGAAGAGGACGTAAATGTCGCGCGTGACAATAGTCTTGCCACCCTTCTGCGCGTCGGCAGAAGTCGCCTCTTCGGACTCAAAGTAAATGTCCTTGCGCCCGTGAAGCTGCGAGGGGAGGCCGTTGGGTTGCAGCCACCACCCGGAATGGCTGGCTAGATCGATGTCGTTAGCAACGTAGCCAGACTCCACCGAGGGCCGCGTGACATCCGCAGACCGTCGCCCGGCGCCGCCACGCTGGACATCCATTGACGGCCGTGCCGGTGGCCGGGTAGAGGACGGCGGCGGTGGCGGCGGGGCCGGAGGAGACATTGACGTGTACGACGTGATCTCTTGAGTTTGCATCTCCTCGTGCTGCCTGAAATGCGGAGCGGGAGGTGGTGGCGGAGGCGGCAGTGGATAAGAGGGCGATGTTGGGATGCCCTGTGTAGGTGAGCTGTAATTATAAGGGTCGTATTCCTCGTCGTATCGGGGAGTCTCTTTAGGATGCGGAGGGGGCGGCGGGGCTGACCGTGGCATATCTACAGATTTGCGAGGTGGCGGTTGGCTTGGGATCGGCGGTGGGCCGGCTCTTGGAACCGTTGCTAGAGTAATGGGAGGCGCCTCAGTGGTTGGCGACTCAAAGCTCGATTCACGTTGATGCGCTTTGAGCGCATCCTTATGGGGAACCGAGGACGCTATATCCGTGTCATAATCCCCCTCATACTCGGTGACTTCATCTTCGGCGTCGTTGTCACTATCCCTATGCGGCGCGGGCACGGGGGGCGGTGGTGGCCTGCTGTCCGGAAATGAATCGTGCCGGATTGGCGGCGCTGCCGAAGGGGGAGGAGGAGGCGGCCTGGTCTGTGTTGGGGGAAGTGTCGGTGGGGAGCTTGGAATGGGCGGCGGCGGCCGGCTGGCCCGTTTGTTCGCCGTTGGCTCGTACGAAGTAGCGGAGCTGTCCTCGGTGTACGATGGGCGACCATCTTGCGAGACACGGGGCGAGGTTGGAATCGGCGGGGGAGCGGCCAGCGCTGGCGGGGGGGGAGGCGGAGCTCTGGTGGCCTGGTTTATATCACCTCTTGGAGTATCGGATTCGTCGTTGGGCTGTTCTGAGAGTTCATCATCCGATGCCGAACCTTCGCTAGGGGACTTAACCACGGATGCAGATGGGGGCGGCGGCGGCGGACGAGCTTTGTGAGATTAACAATAATATCCCATGGTGTGGAGCGATAGGCACTACAATACTCACTCTCCGCAGGGACAGGGGGTGGAGCCGGTCTGCCGCCGGGAATTGGCGGAGGGGCTCCCTGCTCCGTCGGCGACACTGTAACCTGGTCAGCTTCGTCCTCTTTTGGATGCATCCAGCGGAACGTACAAGGCGGAGCAGACTCCTGGTGCGGCGTCTTCAGTTGGGATTCCTCCTCTTCCTCCTCTTCTTCCGGTTCAGGCTGCTGCGGCTCCGGTGGAGGTGGCGGTCGCATCAGGCCAGGGAGAGGCACAGGGGCTGCGCGTGCGGTGGGTGAGACAGGCTCCTCGAGCCCTCCCACCCGCTTCTCTGCGGCCTTCTTCTTCTTGGGCAGTATGGGTGCCGGGGCGCCAAACAGAGGCATGGCCATTCCGGGCATACCCATGCCCCCAGACATTTTGGCCATTCTTGCCCGTAACTCCTCCCTGCGCCGAATCTCCGGATCGACATCGTCCTCTTCCTCCTCGTCGTCGTCCTCTTCTTCTTCCTGATCTTCTTCGTTCTGTTTTGCCGCTGTGGCGACGTGCTTGGCTCTGCCATCACTGTCCTCCTTTTCTGTGAGGTCTTCCTGCCCCTCGGTGGTATCGCCGGCCCCAGACATATCTGCCTCATTACCGTCGCGTGGCTCGGCTCCTCTAGAGGACTTGCGACGCTGAGTGTGCGCCAATCTAGGTGGATGAGGCTCGTCCACGGATGTCCTCTTGTCCGTCTCCTCGGTGTCACGACGCTCCAGAGGCGGCACAACGGCTTCGCCCTCAGCAGCCTCCTGACTGTCGATACGTTTCTTCGCAGGACGTTTTGGCTTTTCCTTTTTGGCGACAGCCTCGGCATGCCGAGCGGCGGTCTCCATTTGTTGTTTTTGCAGGAGGGCCAACCGCTCCTTTAAGCTCATGGGCTTAGGCTGGTCCTCGGCCGCTTCCCCTTCAGCAGTGGATGCCGCGGGGACGAGACCCACCTTCCCAGCATTTTCGAGAGCCTCAGCTTCCTGTGCTTTCACCTCGGGATCTTCTTCCCTCCGGTAGATTTTTGCAACGGGTGCCTGGGTGACGGGCGGGACGTAGGCATTCCTACTGGGAGGGGGGGCGACGAAGGGTTTCTTGATAAAGCCGCTGGCGCCGCCTGAGCTCAGGCCGCTTGGCTTGATAGGGGCGATTGGCGGTGCAGCTTTGTTGAACGCCGCGATACGATCCTTGAAGGAGCTGCTGAGTGGCTTCTCGGACACCGGGGTCGACCCGCTGCTCGGCTTGGGAAGCGACGGGGCTGGTTTCGGGGCGGGCGCTGAGCTAGGGGACGCATTCTCGGCAACTCGCGGAGCAGCTTGCGCAGGGGGCGAAGCGGGGGCGGGGGCGGGGACAGGGGCAGGAATCGGAGCTTCCGCCGGCTGTGCCGGTTTGGGCGCCGGGGTCTCTTGGACGGGTGCGGGCACCGGCGGGGGCGCAGAGACGGCCTGGGACTGGGCGGCCGCCGTTACAGGCTCCCGAGTCTCCTCGGGTCCCGGGGCAATATTCTTTTGCGAATCCGGGGCGGGGGCAGGATCGGCGGCGGAAGCTTCGGAAGGAGGCTCGGGCTCCCTCTTGGGCCGTGCTCTCGTGGGTCGTGCCGGGGCAACGGGCTCGTATCTCTCGACAAAATTCCTTGGAAAGATGCCCTCGTGTTTTGTTCCAGCGTCATCGACATATTCTCCTCCATACCAATCGGCATCCTCCTCGTCGGTCACGGTGATGATCTGACCGACAGTAAAGGTGAGGTCGTCCTCGTGGCCTGAAGCGTAGTCGTACAATGCCTTGACCTTGAACGACATGATGACGCGGCTCGCGGCCAGCAACGAAAGCTGTTGTCAAAGACGTTGAGCGACCGATGTTTGACAGGTGCGGCGGGGCTTGGGGAAGCTTCCAAGCCAAGTGCCGCACGGAGCGCGGGGTTTGACTGCTAAGGGTGCAAAGAACTAACGTCAATGTATTTTGCAAATGTTCGAAAGTTGACAACAAAGCTGCAGCGCGTGCCGACTAACAAGGTTGTCGTCGGAGAGATTGAGAGAGTTGGAACCAGAATCTCAAACAGTAACGCAGCTGTTGTTGGAGGTGTGTCTGCCGCGGGCCAAGGTCGGACCCTGCTTGGTTATTTTCTGTGCAACCAAGCTTACCCACTTGGGGTTGGGTAGTGACTGTGGGTTAGGCGGTGTTAACGTAGGTAGGTTAGCGGCAGAGGCAGCGAGGCGGGAGACGGCGGCACCCAAAAGCCGGGCCAAGAAAGTCGCTCTTCCAAGCTCGATCTTGGACGTCAGTCAAGCTGTCAGCGCATGAATTAGCTTGTTGGCACTTCACATCAGTGCCTTACAGCCTACGTGTGCCGTGTCGCAGTGTGCAAAGCGCCGCCAGACAGCAATTCACCCGGAACAGGTCAGGAGTCAGGAGGTGGCTTAGGCATTCATCGCTTCACGCACGCCTGGCGTTGCAGTTTCCAGTTTGTTCTTGCTCTGACGAACCCCTCTTCCCAATTTCTTGAGCGGAGTGGAGCTCTCGTTGCCTGCTTCCATCAGATACCTATGCGCACGGACCACTCGATATTCAAGCTTCGGTGAAGTTTCAAAAGCCAAAACACCTCAAAGCATCCTCACGCTGGCCTCTGCCATGCAAAACGCCATCTCGAAAGACTTCAGCGAACCTGTTAACTCTTCAAATTTAATCTTCGGATCTAGCCCTTCAACTTTAACTCTTAAAATTTTACTCTT